TTCATGATTCATTAAACATCCCACTTTTTCAGGGCTGAGTTGATGCTGGAAGAGCGTGGGAACGAGCAAACATCTCCACTTACCGAATTAAAGAATGTTATAGATTACGATAGCTGATATAACATGATCCAACCCACACATGAATCAGTGAAGTAACTACAACTGATATATATATATATACATAAATAACCATATGTATATATAAATATAACCATATATATATATAAATAACCATATATATATATATATATATGAACTCGTTAAGTAACTCCATGACCCATCCCTTTGGGTCGTCGCGCAACGCGCTGCTGCACTGAGTTTTGGGCTGCGCCTTCCACGAGCCTGGCGTTTGCGAGGCGGTGTTTTTGTTTCGGGGAGATGGAGATTCCAATCATGTTGGGAACGTTTACCCTCTGGTTATGTTTAACGTAGCTATTGAAAATGACCATTTATAGAGGATTTTCCCATTAAAAATGGTAATTTTCCATAGCTACGTTAAATTACCAGAGGGTAACATACATACATAATCATATAGTATATGTATATATATATATACCCTCTGTTAAATAAACATAGACCCTGAAAATCACAAATTTTTAATGGACACTAGTCTTCCAACCCCTATCTGCCAGGGTCTATGTTACTTTACCAGTGGGTATCATTATATATACATGTATTCCCCAACGAATAAAGATTAATGTCTTGTGTTCCCAGTTCATGGAGGATGATCATCCCCCAGTTTAGCAGCCACTGCTCACTGGAATATTTTTTTTGATTTACTGCAAGCCACCATTTTTTTGGGGTATATAGAGTCATCCAAATATAGGGATAGAATGGATAATAATACAGCACCCCATATTACTTGGAGATTGTTTCATGATCCATGCGCAATGGATACAGCTCATTTGCGTAGTTTAATTCTTGTGAATCAAGGGACATCTACGGATCGATGACGTCAAAGATCTTCATGTTGCCTATCAAATTGCAGTTTTTTTCATGAGATCGGATCCATGGCACATCTCGGAAGCTCTTTAGGTCTCTTACGCGACTTGTCAACTTGATATTTTTTGTATCCTGACTGCCAGGTTGAATATGGACCTACGAATTATGCTTTAAATCCAGTATCTCTGGGATGAAAAAAGGCATCGGCCACCGGTTTCCCCACTTCCAAACAGACCATCACGACCAGGATTCAGACTCTCATGACTGTCAACCCTGTCCTTGACTCTCCAATGTTGATTGAGATTTACTATACAACCATGGTGATACTCCTGTGGAACAGACTTGAATTGGGATTTCAGATGATTTAGGGAATACAAGATGGGACTTAGATAATCAACTCCCTAAGATATCACTAACAAATTTTTTCCCATAATCTTTTCGGAGTTGATTGTCCATAGATGATCTTTTTTTGTTTGCTTGCAGGATATCCTTCAACTGCTTGCTATTTCATAGACCCTCTAATGTTTCAAAGATGACTGGAACATCCACCATTTACTTCGGGAAACTCCCAGCCATGTTTGTGGGTACATATTTAACCATATTATACCCTCCAGTAACATGACGACCCTGGTAGATAGGGGTTGGTTCAGATTAGGAAGATTCGTTTCCTCTATAAAACTAAGCTATTTTCAGGGTCAACAACTTAATTTACCAGAGGGTAAGCCACTTATCAGTGGGGTGTAGCTCAGTCATAGCTGGTGTTTGGCACTTATTGACTAAGGGATGCACACGACTCGGTGAATGGTGTCCTAGAGATCCCGCCCAGGTTAGGCCTCACGTTGGTGTCATGGATCTTTGCTGCTATTGTACCTCGGTGCCGTTTTATTCCGTCGTGAGTTCGATGGAGACTGGTATTGTTTTTTGGAAGCCCCAAAAAGATGCAGAAAAGGTTCAAAGTTCAATTTATCACTTGGATTTTGCCATTTTCTGTCTTTTTGTGGGGTTACTATACCAGGGGGGGAAGCCTATTCTCACATCTTAGGAACGTCAATTAAGAAGGCCTCTTGGGTGGCCACATAGAGGTGATTTCGCAGCGGTATCCCAGGCTGTTCGGATGAAAATTCTAATGATGGGTAGGCTGGAAAAGATGGTGAGAAAAGCGGGGTTGCAAACTTACTGGTGCTTAGTAGGGAATGGGGGAATGATCCACAATGACTATTAAGAATCATCATCCCATTCCCCCATTCCCTCATTCCCCCATTCCCTACTAAGTACCAGCAATTTTGTGGGTTTTCAATCAAAGAACTCGCTGTCATCTAAGGGGTCCATCTAATCTTGAGACGCAGCCACCACAATCACAAGAGGTGTGCAAGTCTACCAGCGCCCTGCCTATCCTTTTGCATCCATGTGTATCTACATATATGGCATTTACGTCAGGAATGTTACTATCATCTTCCATATTTCAGTGTATCATTTATCCATTTATCATCTATCTATCTATCTATTCTAATCTAATCTAATCTAATCTAATCTAATCTTATCTATCTATCTATCTATCTATCTATCTATATACTTATACATGTACATGTAACAGTTTGTAATGGAACATACACGTTAATTAAACTACCTTCATATTTGATGCACAGAATGCCCCTCCCACCTTGAGTTCCCCATGCTGAGGTCGGAAGGCAGTTCGTGGTAGGACGGGGGATTTGTTCGTTTGGAGATGAGCAGTGCCCTGCTACAGCCCGGCTGATGATTACCCTCTGGTAAACATACAAAAAAACTATGGAAAATCACCATGCTATTAATGGGAAAACTCACTATTTCGACTGGGCCATTTTCCAGTTCGCAAACTATGAATGTTTACCAGAGGGTAGTATAAAACACCAACTATACTGCACCATATTTTTTTTTGACTATCAACAGATGGGGATGTATGATTGATAAACGATGGTTGGTTGATTAGTTCGGGGATCAAGATTCATGGTGTCGGATGTGGTTTCATCCCCGAGCCTACTAGACAATGGTTGAAATGGGGGTGTTGAGGGGACTTTTTACGGGGGATGGGATGAACAAAAAAAATATACCAATTGATATCCCATTAAATCACCATAACCCAAATCTTAGCGGCGATATCCGATATCCCCAAAAATCTTAGAACATATTTATCACTGTTATATGATAAATATATGATAAATATATGATAAATATATGATACATATATGATAAATATATGATATGTATCACATATTTATCCCTCGATTTTTGGGGATATCCCCAGTGTTTTTTTGGTCACACCAAGTCACCCGAAAAATCAGGAGTGCTCCTGCGTCGCTGCGTGCGATTGACGTGTTTCCAGGGAGGTGCAGCGAGACATCTGGATGTGCTGGGGCAATGGGAGTTACCCTCTGGTTATGTCAAAATAGCTATTGAAAATGGCCATTTATAGTTGATTTCCCCATTAAACATGGTGATTTTCTATAGTTATGTTAGTTTACCAGAGGGTATATTGCCTGGGTTATTGGGGATTGTGATAAGCCATAGTAGGGAAACCCCCCCAAAAAATCCAACCATGAGATGGGATAGGGAGATTCTTACAGATCTGGTAATTATAACGACTCCACGTCGCAAGCTGGAATGATGGTGAGATTGAGGGAATTATCCGCATAGCTTGCCTTAGTTTAGTGTTATTTTTCGTTTATTTAACCATATAAATGGGAATAACCATGGTGATAACCTCCAAGAGTTGGGATATAACAACCACTACTTGTACAGTTGTTGTTGTATATCAACTTAAAACTGGAACCGCACCCCCAAGTTACCATAAAGGCGTAATTTTTATTGTAGGAAGGCAGGGTTTTTCACGTGGTTTGGCTATCCACAGGCGATTTAATTGAGATATAACCAGTACATTTGCGATAATTTGCGTTTTTACATTGATTGCTCAGAACACCTAGGACCTCAAAGGAAGGCTATTCATCAGCAAACAGAAGAAACATATGTGGGAAAGGTGTAGCCCACAAGCAGGTGGTCATTGATAAATCCCCCCGCTGTGTTGCTACGACATCTTGACATATTTCACATAGATCAGACATGTTACACGTCTTTGGGCAAACTGCCACACTCTGTTCTTTTTTGGATTTGTTTCAACTGAGGAAAATTCGCGGTGAACTCATGGTTACCTCTGATCTTCCATTGTATCCCCATTAAATCACCATTAGACAAAACCAGCCCTAAATCAAGTTATATCACCCCGTTTTCGGCCTATCGCCAAGATTTCATCTGAGTTTCATCTGAGTTTCTCACTCTCGCGCAGGTTCAGAAGGAACTTTGGTGGTTGTTTTTCTCCTTGGGGGCTGCTTCATGTTTGCCGGGATGCTCAAGTTCGATGGCTTTTGGATGGCTGGCAAGGTGATAAATCCTTGGGATTTCACATGGGAAGATTCATGGGATTTCATGGTATTTCATGGGGGGATTTCATGGTATTTCATGGTATTTCATGGGAAAGTCCTTTATAAACGGAGTTTTTAAGGAACATCATCTCGAAACATATGAGATTTTCCATTGCTACGTTTGATTACCGGAGGGTATCTCTCCTTCTTTTTCTTGGGACATCAGTATGTCTGAACATGAGTTACACCCCCCAAATGGCAATCTTAAATGATGTACTAACAAAAAGCCACACATTTTTTTGAGACGTGGGGTTTCCCAATTTTCAAAGATTACACTCACTCTTTTTGGGCTGTAAAAAAATATAGTGACATCTTGGGATGCCACAGATCATTGGATAAAGGAAAGTCATCCTAAATCGTTAAATGGTTCCAGATGAAAAATGATCAATGGCCGTATATCTGGATGTACAGAAACATGCTGGATTTTCCATGTTGATATATAGTTTCTATATGTTTTCCTGGAGGCTAATCATGGTGGATATAATATCCATGATATGTTATTGGTTCATATCTTTTGTTGGCCATAGACTCTACATGTTTTGGCCATCGATATCATTTTAAGCTGTAATTCCCATGATATCCACCGTTTAGTGATGTGACATATTTTGTATGAATGAATACCCGGCCTGGTAAACAAACTATCGAAAATCACCATTTTTAATGGGTAAATCCACTATTTCAATGGTCCATTTTCAATAGCTTTTTGTATGTTTACCAGAGGGTATATTGGCGGGATGATCAATGGTACTTCATCATTCTACCTATGCGACCTATGGATCCATCTATCCATGTCAGCAGCTCAAGCTCCAAGTGACATTGGACAAAGGTCATTGTTGCTCAGTATTCGTCATCAGTGCCCTCTGCTAATCAAACATAGCTATGGATGTTGGCCCATTTAGTTTCATGATTTACCTCTTAAAGTAGTTATGGGCCGTATAACTATAACCATTTAGTTTCATGATTTACTTATGATTTACCATTTAGTTATGGTTTTCCATAAGTTATGTTCCGTTAAATTACGATGTTGTGCATTCCCCAAAAATTATGTGCCTGTTGCTATGCCCAGTTCCGAAGGATCATCGACACACAGTGCTGGGTCAAACGTTGCAACTCCATTTTGGTGGAGTTGTTTGTGGAGAAAGAACACACCATTCTGTGAGTAGTAGTTTTTTTTTTGGCCAAAAACATGAGTTTACATACATGGGGTTGGGTCAATACCTATCAATACCATGTTTAGTGGGATGAACATCCATAAATCCCAGCTATTTTGATGTGAACTACAGGGGTACTATTGGTTTTGACACACTGCCACATTATGATTGTATTTCTCAGACCTGTAGAAGATAGTTGGAGATACAGGTTGAATCCTCCAACGAGGTGGGTGCCCTCATCTACAACCAGCTGGTGCCTGACGATCAACTGGACGGCACGTCCAATGATATGTTCCTCGACGGATTCCGGAGACGTTGTTCCTGATGTTCCCGGAAGGTCTAGATTCTATAGATAGTGCCAATGTTGCCCAATGTTGGGACATGGGCCACATTCACCTGTAGCAAGACTCTCTCAGACTCTCTCATTCTAAACTGGAGTCATGAATTATCTGGAATTTAAGATCATTTGGCTGGCCAGGAAGGTGATTTGCAGCCATTTGTTTGTGATCTGTTGGGGATATCGCTGACAAGTACTGGCACCAATAGACCGAAACATAACCGTTATAGAAAGGTTTTAGCCAGCAGCAACTGGATGTTACCCACTGGTAAACTAACATAGCTATTGAAAATTGCCATAGAAATACTGGATTTTCCCATGAATAGCATGGTGATTTTCCAGTTCGCTATGTTAAAGCGAGATGAGGATTTTGTCAGACATCGGGAGGACACACCAGGGATGCCAGGGATCTAGCCGCTAGCCATTGACACAGTCTATGGCCAGCGAAGGCTTGGAGGTCCCTTTCGAGCGGACATGGGGATCTGATCAATAATGTAGTAATGTGGTTAAAACAATGCCATAAACCATCCCCCAGGAAAATCATCATTTTTATAGGTGGGATGCTATAAACCATTCCCAGTCATGGGTGGTAAACATGGCATTGTTTTGACCACATTAGTCTGAACTGAGATTACATTTGAGGATATTCCCAGCCCCATGGCCCCAACCTTCCCATGACTCGGAGTCACAATTGTCTCAACTTTTTCAGAGCAGAAACCACTGCAACTAAAGACCCAAATGGGGGTTTCCATAAATGGGGTACCCCTAAATCATCCATTTTAATAAGATTGTCTCTTATAGACCATCCAGCGATAAAGGGGTACCCCCATTTATGGAAACCCCCACATGTACATGAGTAATTCCTGAATCAGATGTGCTTTGCCAATTGAGTGCTCTGCCAGACAAGGGTTTGTAAAAGAGATTTGGAGTGCCTTGGACTGTCCCCACCACCTTAAAGTAATCAACAGTGAGATGCAGACCAGGAGAAAAATGCGCGCAGCGTTGGCACAAGCAGACGAAGATCTTTGCGTGTATCCGAATGAAAGTCAGCAAGGATGTTAGTTTCATGCGTCCATGGCCATCCACGACAAGTCATCCACGACATGTTATTTTGACACTGGACGTGTAGACATCGTTTTTTAGGTTGAACAGATTTACGGTTTACAGGTTTCTGCTGCGATTTTTTTATCCGTAACTTTGAATGGCTTGTGCAATCTTTCTTGCTCTGGTTATTTAACATAGCCATGGAAAATCACCATTTTTAATAGGTAAACCATCTATAAATGGACCATTTCCATGGCTATGTTAGTCATAACCAGAGGGTAGCATTTCCAGAAAAAATCTCAAAAAATTCCAGTGTGGGCTTTGGGTTCAGCATCCTGAATCCTGATGAAAAAAACAGTTCCAGTTGACTAGTCTGACTAATCACTGTAAACATCATGACACGTATACCTCATATACCATCAAATATTGTGACTGATATGACTAATGACTACTTGATTATCACATATTATTTAAAAAGAGTAGTTCAACAATCACTCAGATTTGTTTATTGTTATTACTCCTGTCATTACTATTATTATCAGTTGCTGTATCACTTGATTAACCATCAGTTCTTATTGTTTGATTTGATAAACTCTATATAGTTATTCTACTTTTATTATCACATCTTTCATATCTTTAACTACAAACATTTTTTTTAATAGTTTGAATATCACGTGTATATATATATATCACACTAACTATACATAGTTACTATACGTTGATTCTCACAGTCAGACATCCGAAACGGGACGAGAAACGGGAGCGGAACATGCTCAGCAGCCATGGATGGCGAAGCTGTCCCTGCAACGATGCTTGGTACCGGAGGTCTAGCACCATGGAGCTTCACCTGGCATTTTCCAGAGGAAGATGGGGTAAACCTCCAATTTATAGCCACTAAGAAGAAGGGAATATGCTGATTGACCATATTTGTTTGGGTTCCTCTAAATTTCAGAACCCACAACTAGAAAGGCATCCCAAACTTGGTGTACTTTAGATTTGTGGGTGATTGCCAGTTGCCAAGATACAACGCTGGGAAGAATTGCCAAGTCCCAGATGCTTTGCTGATGAAGATAGAATCAAAAAGCCAAGAGCTATGCTCTCTCCGGCTAACGGCTAACATAGATCCTGCATGATCTTGCCATATTCTACTCTTGGGATGGGCAATTCTCAGGGTCTATAGTAGTTAGAAGGGGATATTTGAATCATCTTAACCATGGATCAATCTTTTTTTTTTTGAGGGGGTCCTAATCTTCCTAACAGATGATCATCTTTTTGGGCGAACGCCCAATTTTCCAAGGACATGGCAACTCCACATCGCATTGCCAAGTGGCCAAAGCGAGACGTTCTCTCTTCACCCTTCATCGACAGTTGTGGAACTGAGAATTCTTGCGCAGAAGGCTGGGGGTTACCTTCTGGTAATTTAACATAGCTATTGAAAATGGCTATTTATAGTGGATTTTCCCATTAAAAATGGTGATTTTCCATAGCTATGTTAGTTTACAAGAGGGTAGACTGAAACCGTCTCGGCTAGGCTTCTTCTCAGCTGAGTGGTCCTGTGGCAATGGAAAGCACAAAATCACACCCTATCCATCTGGAATGATGGGTCAGTAATGGGAATCATCCCCAAATAGCCTTATTTATCCTTTAATATTCAGCTATTTTTTTTTGGTTAATGAGTTATTATTATGCTTGAATAGAATCTATGTTCATAGATATAGGATGCTACTTTTACTGCTACAGGATGGTGACATATGATTTTATGGTATCTACGTCCATGGCGGATTCGATATTTGGCCCCTCCACGCAACATTTTCCAGAACGCTCAGGACGGTGCATGGATAGTTGCAGCGTCTAGCCGGATGATCTAACCTTTTGGAACTAGACCACGGCTAAGATAGAAGCGATTGATGTTGGGAATGCCTAGAGTATCATCAGAGTAATTACGCTACGAAAAATCACATGGGTTTGTCTGAAAATGCTTCGTATCCCAAAATCCAAAGGTTTGTCAGGATTTTCTCCCATAAACACGCCCATTTGCGGGGTGAACAGCATTCTGGTTGGTGGTTTGGAACATTTTTTATTTTTCCATATAATTATTGGGAATTTTTATCATACCATCTGACTTTCATATTTTTCAGAGGGGTTGAAACCACCAACCAGTCATTTTTAGACACTACCAGCATCCATTCAAAATCACAGACTACAAAGTTTTTCGCAGCCTACCTTGGACGCACAGCACCAAGCATAGATGTATAATGATGTATAAACAGACACACATATACCTAAGTGTAACATGTATAGATTACGCGTATCTGTATATACATACATATATCATATATAATTACAAATCATATGTATATATATATATGGTATGTATATAATATTGCAAATATTTGTATTTGTATGCATGCAACATATCCACCTATACTTCTCAGAGCCGTAGTCATTCAGATATCCAAAACGTGGAGAATTGCCATCAACGCACTGGGGATTTGATGAGAAAATATGTTTGGATTCTCAAGGTATGGGATGCCATACCGCATTTTTTTAAAATCTTATCCCCATGCTTGGTGACATATGCCACACAGCAAATCTCCATGAAAGATCCAGGAGTAACTTGACTTGTTCCACATGTTTCAGTACGCATGACGGCCTGACGGCCTTACCCCCAGGCATTCAGGCAAGGTTTGCTACGACTGGTGACATCCGATGGATGTGTCTTGGATCCTCGAGCGTCACTGCTTGAAGCAGGACCTTGCGCATGGGTGGTGGGAAGGCGGGAAGCTGAGGAGGTGTCAACAGTACCGGAGATGTAACGGTATGATACTTTGACAATTTAACCAAACCCTATAAATGGCAATGTTTGTGTTGGTTTGACCACCTTTAACCCAACCAACATATATTTTTGAGACAATCCCAATATGGTGAAATCCCTGTGATACTGAACAAACTCACTTGGGAAAAAATTGGAGTCGCCCAATATATCCAGCTCCAGTTCTTTGATCATCACCACTTGAGGGATCTGGGATCCCAAGAATTTAACATCTAGGGTAGTCCGATTTTGACCCCATCCTATAGGGAGCCAACTTGGTTTTTAACTGAATTTTCACGTTTGGGTTTATGGCTATGAAATAACTATAGTTTATATTAAGCTATAGTATTCACGGGTTTATAAACCAACCAACATCACTGGGGGGGCTCCCCTTGCATGTATTGAAGACTTGCCGCTGTGAGCAGTTTCCGGTGGCCCGGGCCCTCACCATGTGGGAGATGGGATCGCTAAGAAAAACAGCCCGGGCTGTGCTTTTGGGAATGATCAATTTCAGTTGCATGATATTTTCGGAAGGGTAGACCACCCATCAGTCTTTTACAGAATGGCAATATTCCACATTAAGTTCCATAGAAATTTGCAGCTGCTGCCAGCAGCAGGACTTCATGATGGAGGATGCCTCACAGCTATTGCCGGACAAGCGCGGGTGGCTACAACAACCTCCGCCTTTGCCTTCTGGTGCACTGGTGGCACTGGAGTGGTCACATGGGGCAATCCCATGTGTGGTGGTGACAACTGCCGAGTACAAGATCAATTGAAAAACGTCCAGCAAGTCTCAGCCACCTTCAGTGCATTTGCTGCTGTCTTGGCAGATGGGACGGTGGTGACCTGGGGCGATGCGAGCCGCGGTGGTGACAGCACCCAAGTTGCAGATCAGCTGAGGAATGTGTGGCAGATCCATGGCTCCCATGGGGCATTTGCTGCGATTCTGCAAGATGGCGCAGTTGTAACTTGGTGAAAACTGAGCCTGGGTTGCCTCAATCAATGGCCATGCAACAGGAACCGATTGATTGGAGGTACCTACTATATATAAGGCCTATATAAGGCCTATTTTTTGAGGCCTATGTAAGGGAATATCCCAGCAAAATATGGCCTTATATGGTACAGTACCTCCATTTTAGGATCCTGAAATTCCCATTGACTCAACCTGGTTGAGGCTCTACAAGATCCTCCTACAAGCAGAAATTCAACAAAAGAACATGTTGGTACACACTATGTATCTATTGTGCAGGTAACTTATTTTGAGTAAATGTCACCCATGCTGAACTGATTGGAATACTCTCCATCATCTTCCGCCAATTTTCCTCACCGAGCTCCGCTCTTGCACCATTTGTTGTGGCTTAAATTCCATATATGTTCTTTAAATCACATGAAATGCGCATTTTCCAAATCTGAATCACAGTTTTCTTCCATCAAATTCCAATTTTCTCTCATTTTCCAACCGAAAATCAATCTTAAATCCAATTTTTCTCACCCTCATATCCAATCTTTACCACTCTAAATCCCTTTTTCCCAAACAATCACCATTTCTCCGCCAAAAATCGCAGTTTTCCAATATTTTCCAAGCCACAGAATTCCCAGTTTGCGCAGGTATCCTGGGGCCATCCGCAGTATGGTGGTGACAGCAGCCTCCTACAGCCGCAGCTCTGCCAAGTTCGTCAGATCACCGGCACTGCTGGTGCCTTTGCAGCGTTGGGCCATGGTGGGCTACGCACCTGGGGCGATGCGGCGTGGGGGGGCGATAGCAGCATGGTGCAGGACCAGGGGTGTTGAAGCTGTTTTTGAACATGTGTCTCCATTATATCCCGTTGCATCCCATATATAGTATATATATATATATATACATACTGTATATATATATATAAGTATATACACATACTATATATATATATAAACATGTACACATACATCCCCAGTATATCCCATAAAATGATGGGTGTTACCCTCTGGTAAACTACTTGTAACATAGCTATGGAAAATCACCATCTTTAATAGGTAAATCAACTACCAGTAGTACCCGCACGAGGCGGGGCGGAAGTTGCCTTAGGGTTATACTATAAGACCTTTTTCATCTATAGAACTTGCATGCGCCGTGCGCCAGCCAGGCCCGTGCGTGCTTTGTGCGAACCTGTTGCACGACAGTTGTCCAAGAACATGACCTGTGCGCGACCCCGGTGCAATGCAACGCCAATCAAACACTTTCTTCGCACTTCACACTTCACACTGCACTCTTCACACCTCGCACTTCGCACTTCACACTTGTACTTCACACTCCACACTCATCTCATCGCAAAAACATGTGAGCTCTTCTCACCTCATCTCACCTCATCTCATCTCATCTCATCCCATCTCTTCTCACATGTCATCTAGACAAGTTCTTCTCAACTGCTTTCATCTCATCCGAGCACTCATCGACCTTTCTCATCTCCCCAAAGTTTTTCTCAACTCATCTCAGCTGTTCTGCACGCCAGAAAGCTCTTACTGTCAGCGAGAAGTCTCTTGCACAAAAAACAATTGGGCGCAGAAAGCTTTTGCACACAGATGCATTTACACAGAAGCCTTTACAAAATACTTTGTGCTACAAAGCTTGCACACAGCACTTCCCAGTACTACTTTGTACTGCAAAGCTTGCACAGAGCACGTCGCAGTATTACTTTGTACCACACATGTTGCACAGAGCACTTCCCAGTACTTCTTTGTACTACCAATCTTGCGCAAAGTACTTCCAAGCATTGCTTTGTACTACAAAGCTTGCACAAAGCACGTCCCAGTACTACTTTATACTGCAAAGCTTGCACAAAGTACGTCCCAGTACTACTTTGTACTATCAAGTTTGCACAAAATACTTCCCAGTACTATGTACTACAAAGTTTGCACAAAGTACTTCCCAGTACTACTTTGTACTACAAAGTTTGCACAAAATACTTCCTAGTACTACTTTGTACTAGAAAGCTTGCACACAACACTTCCCAAAACGCATCAAGCTTTGACGCACAGCAAGCTTTTACGCAGAAAAGCTTTTACACAAAGAAAGCTTTTACACACAGAAAGCTTTACACACAGCAAGCTTTTACACAAAGAAGTGCTTACGCAGAGAAGCTTTCTTGTACACAATGACAACGCAAATTGCAGCTCCAAAACCGGATCTCGGTGCCAAAGCAAAAAAGAAACAAACACGATTTTGAAGCACTTTTTTAAAGGAATTTTAAAAGGAAAATCACCAGCGCCAAAATGGCGAAAATCTGCGGACAGGCACTATCGCAGCCTTGATGCAGCCACCCCAATACGATCTACGATGTCCAGCTGCAAAATAGACAATAGTATTACGCACGCAGCCGCGCCGATTGACGATGTCCAGCTGCAAAAGACACTAGTATTTCCTCCCCAACCCAAGTCCCATGCAACATTCATGCAGCCATTACAATGCGTTTTGCGGCAGCATGTGCACATTCATGCAGCCATTACCATGCGATTTGCATCCACGCGTTGCAGAACACCAAGGAGGAACCGATTACGCTCGGCACGACCCTGGCTGCAACCGCTGCACGCACAAGGTACCCTTCATCGCCGGCCGCAGCCACTTTACACGGAAAAACACATGGTTTCGTGCTCCGGCTTCCTCCCAAAACCAACCCCATGCAACAGTCATGCAGCCATTACACTGCGACTTGTATTGTTTTGCGCTGTATATGTGATGTGTTGTTTTGTGATGTATTGTTATGTGATGTGTTGTTATGCGATGTATCGTTATGCGATGTATTGTTTTGCGACGTATTGTTTTGTGATGTATTGTTATGTGATGTTTTGTTGTGTGATGTATTGTTATGTGATGTATTGTTATGTGGTGTATTGTTATGTGATGTATTGTTTTGTGATGTATTGTTTTGTGATGTATTGTTAGGCGATGTATTGTTATGAGATGTATTGTTATGTGATGTTGTATTGTTCTGTGATATATTGTTATTATGTGTTGTGTTGTTTTGTGATGTATTGTCATGTGATGTATTGTTTTGTGATGTATTGTTCAGTGTTTTTTGTTGTGTGATGTATTGTTATGTGGTGTATTGTTATGTGATGTATGGTTTTGTGATGTATTGTTATGTGATGTATTGTTACTGCGTTACACTTCATCCGTAACTCGGAAGATTGCTTCCCAACTTCCTTTGATAAATGGGCCATTTTCAATAGCTATGTTAAATTACCAGAGGGTATACACCCACTTCTTTTAACCCTACCATTTTCAGTCTGAAGATATTGTCAGGACCAGCTTACAAATGTGCAGCAGGTTTTCGCCACGAACCGAGCCTTTGCTGCGTTGAAAGCAGATGGAAGAATCGTGACCTGGGGTCATCCTGGATATGGCGGAGATAGCTCCAAGGTACACGATCAGTTGCCAGATTTGAAGTGGGTGGTGATGGAATATGGATGGGTATGATGTCGGATAATGTAATATCACCGCAATAAATACTATGCAATTGTAGGATATTGATGGAATGTGAATAAAATATTGACGGAAAATAAACTATGATCCATGCCCGATTGTATGGTCCCATATTTCACCTCCGCTAAACTATGGCGGTTTTGGGGTGTGTTTAGTACTACAGTAAGGGAAGGGGGACTGGATTGTATATGGGACAATCATCGAACTACACATTTGGGATCATAGATGTACTATTCCCATTGGTTGGTTGATTACTGGAGGGGGTTGTTTACCCCTTTAACAACAGGTACATGATGATAGATGGTATACCAAACCGGCCCCTCTATTTTTACCAAAAGGACATTATTGTCTGGGATTTTCCAGCTGAAATTCCTGAAAATGGGATGACCGTTCCAGACTTTGAGAGTTTTGGGGATGGTTTAACAGCACCAACCTTTATTGTTCCTGTTGACCGTACTTTCTTTTCCCAATCTTTCTAACTTTAGAGAACAACCGCGTTGGAAAAATAGTTGTGGGGTGCCGAAGCTGGGAAATGTGTTTTTCTTGTCAATTTGGGAAAACAACATTGGAAATATGTATGTTATATGTATGTTGTATGTATGTAATGTAATGTAATGTGATGTGATGTGATGTGATGTGATGTGATGTATGTATGTGTATATAATATATATATATATAGCGGATATATCTATAATTATAAACTGGTTTACAATGCCATTCATTGTTTTGCTTTATATCATGATATATCATATAGGATATACAACCCCATTGCGTTTTACACCTCTTTCTTTCTGGGTCATAATCTTACATTTTCTATGCGAAACACAGAAGTTTGATGCCCGGAATCACGGTCGCTGATTTCAGACTACAGTTGCAACATTCTTGCGGGAAAAAAGGAAGTCCTACGATTTACTGCTGTAGTGGTAGGGACGAGGAACAAAAACCAATGCCACCCACCAAAATTTTCCGGATTACCAGCTGTCTGGGTGAATTATAACGAGGTCGCTACAACCTGAACTATCCCTGAAATGGCTCAAACTATTTCAGGGTGTTATCATTCACACCAATGTCACTCAGCCAGATCAATGGTTTTTCCCCAACGGGACATCGGTTGAGGCTCCATGATGTGGTGAAGGTGGTTGCCACTCGTCATACCTACGGCGCTGCCTTTGCCGCACTTCGAAGCACTGGATCGGTGGTGACGTGGGGCCACAGCCTCTATGGAGGGGACAGTAGTCTGGTGCAACATCGCTTGAGGACAGGTGGTGGCCATCAGTTTGTATCATTTTTTTCTGACAAAATCTGAGAAAACTAATTCTTTTTGGACCTTAGCTGGATTTTTGTTAAGTCAGCAAATTCCTTTTGGACCTTCGGGGGCGTGGATTGCAGCTCAGCAAGTTTCTTTGATTTCCTGTGGGTTTTTGGAACTTGCATCTCAACTCAGACACATGAAACATATGTCGGACTAAAATATCATCAAGGTTCGCTTTGCATCTTCAACCCACTGATGACCAGCGATGTGATTCACAGCAGGAATGTGCGGCATATTTCTGCCACCCTCAGCGCGTTTGCTGCTGTGGGAGAAGATGGACGTGTCACTACATGGGGCGATGCATTCCTGGGTGGTGACAGCACTGGAGTTCAAGATCAGCTTGTTGGTGTCAGAGAAATTTCTGCCACCAGTGGAGCGTTTGCTGCGATGGCTGATGGACATATTGTGACGTGGCATGAGATGTATTGTTGTTTATCATGTAACAGATCCGGGGACTCTTTATCATAAATCATAAGACTCTGAATTACTTATTGTTGACAGGGTGCTTGAACCATTTCTCCTGCATAACTCCAGTTTCTTCATCGGAAGACTGAGTCTAAACTTGCTTGATTTCGGCTTCCTGGTCAACCGTCGAGGGGACAAGGCTTTATGCATTCTGAGATCTGTTTTCAGACATAATTTATCAATGATAGCATGATTTCTCTTTCGGTACTAGTCCCACCTTTCAGCAGAAAAGGCATTTTTGTTTGATTCCGTTTAGATTCCAATGATCATCTGGTTGGTGCTTTGGAACATGAATTTTATTTTCCATTTCATATATGGGATGTCATCCTTCCCATTGACGAAGTCATATTTTTCAAGATGGTTATTGCACCACCAACCAGATTATAACAATACTATTCAATATTATAATGATGATTTTCCATTATAATCCATTGTAACAATACTAATCCAATGGAAAATCCATTATAATGCTATTAATTATAACCATGGTTTAATGGATTTTAATACCATTATCATGGATTGTAAAAACCATGAATACTAACCATTACCCTATGGTAAACTCACATAGCTATTGAACATGGCCATAGAAATAGTGGATTTACCCATTAATAGCATGGTGATTTTCCATAGCAACATGTAAACGTTTACCAGAGGGTATACCATATCCTAATAAATCCCATTAAATCCCATTAAATCCCATAAGATCCCATAAAAAACCATTAAATCACTATAAAAATGGATGATTTGGCTACCCCCAACTGCTGGAGATCTTCCTCTGAGGTCACCTGGGGTGATGCTTCGCTGGGTGGCGACAGCAGCCATGTCGCGACAGCTGGGCTGCGAGAAGTTTTTGAAGTGCACGCGACGGATGCGCGGTGGCAAAAACCATGGTTGATTTTTACCCACCATTTTTGGAGAGGTGGAAAACCATGGATCAGGTTTGTCTAGAGGTGGACATTTATCCTAAATCTGTGGTCAGTTCAATAGTAAAACTGGTTGGTGGTTTCAAACATGAGTTTTATTGTCCATTTCATATATGGGATGTCATCCCATTGACGAAGTCATATATTTCAAGATGGTTAAAATCACCAACCAGTTACTGAAGTACACCATTTGTCGACCACGAGTTCACAATTACTGTTTCAGTGTGGAGTGAGTTCAGTTGGAATCTGTTGGGAAAAAACACATCGGACTCAAAAGAAAGATGGATGTTGTTTCTTTTCTGTAAGGGCTGGTGCCTTGAATATCCTTGAATGCCATGAAGACATCATTAGAGACACCTGGGGTTAGTGTACCAGCCCTTGTTGCCGCGGGACTTTACCCAAAGATGCTTACCCTCTGGTAATGACTAACATAGCTATTGAAAATCACCATGCTATTAATGGGAAAACTCACTATTTCTATGGCCATTTTCAATAGCTTTTTGTATGTTTACCAGGCCGGGTATTTTGCTTTGGGATCTACCGGCCACCAATTTCATGCGTAGCCTACGGTGGTCTGACAGCCCAGGATGGGGCATTCGCTGCGATCCTTTCAGATGGAAGCGTGGTGACATGGGGCCATTTGAAGCTAGGATTGAAGATGGCCATGTCCATTTTCCATCCCTTTTCATCATTTTCTTCAATGGGGCCGTTTGAACATGTTCATCATTTTCTTCTCTTTGTAGATGTTCATGCAAATGTCATGAAATGTCCATAGAAAGGAGGTTCCCGAAAAAACAAGCGGGCCCAGAAGCCCATCATGCTTGGTCTAGTATTGGCTCCATCATGCTCTATCCCATAAATATGGGCCCCACGTTGTGTGCGCATCTTCATACGGGCTTGGGAGGATTTGGGGCTGGTGTATCGGTCCAGCACATGGCCATTTGGCGCTGAAAATAGAGTATTCAACCCCAAGTTACCTGGCCATGAGAAAATGGTGATGAACCATAGAATGGGGTACCCTCTTGTCAGACAAAACCATAGAAATGAAGATTTGCATTGTGCATGTGACAAAAATCCTGAGCCAGCTTTCGCCACTGTGAATTTTGCAAGGCAAAGGCACATTCCAAAACCTGCAGAAATCACACACTTACAGCTCTGAATCGAATCCTCTGATTGACCATGAATTTCACATAAGATACGGATGTATCCAGATTGGATGGGTTGATAAAAAGTGAACCCCCGCTCCTGGGTTGTCGAAATTCTATGAATTTGGTGTGTTCCATTTCAATGCAAGTCATCCGTTTCTTGGGGTAACCCATAATCAATTTCTCAACTGGGATTGATTCTTCTGGCTTTGATAGACAATCCTTACCCTCTGGTAAACTAACATAACTATGGAAAATCACCATTTTTAATGGGTAAATCAACTATAAATGGCCATTTTCAATAGCTACGTTAAATTACCAGAGGGTAGAGAAATTTCAAAGGCAGTTTTCAATTTTCCCCTTGCGTATCCATCTATCCACATCAAGACTCCTCCGAGGAATTACGGCGGGAACAGCGCCAGGGTGCAAGATCAGCTGCGAAAAGTGTAGCTGCATGAACCCCCAGTGCTGGAACACTGCCTTCGTGTACAGAGCTGCCCGAATTTTTGTAGGGCTTTTTGAAGTACTGATCTTGTAATGTGGTAGAGCCAAACTATGCTAAAACATGCTAAAACCATGCTAAATAACCAAAAATTGGGTGGGTTCCAATGGTTTTTCAATTGGAGGTTGATTATTGGGTCTATCACATTATTGGGTCTATCGCCATGGGATGGGTAGAGCATTTTGGATACTTCTTTTGCATTCAATCTGCAGTAAGCGTGGCCACTGATTCTCAATGTCTTCCAGACTTGGTTTGATCACCAACCAGTCCGACTGTCCGGAATTTTAAAGCTGGCCATGATTCGAGGGTCCATCACCACCAGCAGAAGCAAGGTGTTTCAAACAGAGTTCTGCAGGTTTTTTTTCCTGGAGAAGATGGGATGATCACAGAAACCAGGGATTTTGATACGGGTCCGTTCAGTCATGGGGGTACCAGATCATCCTTACAAAAAAAGACCGTTATAGTATGTTTTAGCCCATGGTGACTGGGGAGTCCCCAATTTTTTTGAAATCTCCATATATTTGCAACCAGCAAAAGTGGCTATGTGAGTAGAAAGGGACCGAGTGGTGGTCTCCAGATTCACTGCACTGTCACCGGTCTACATTGTTCATCCCCATTTAAGCCTAAGATGTGTTTTATGATGTTGTACTGTTGTACCTATCTATATATATATAAATTATATATAATATATAATATATATATATATATATGATCCCGTCTTCCGACCGCGAGGCCCCCCCCCAATGGTATGGTGCAGGTGGCACCCCCCCTGCCCTTCTATTTGCACGCTATTGGCAGCATTTCTGACTACCAGCCTCGCATTTACTAGGTACATGCTACCTTTTAGACGACCTACATAGCACACATGCTCCCTTAAAGTACCTACGTGCTACCTATAGTCATATATACATGTGTTATGTATCTACTTCCTATAGATATATATTTATATATTTACATGTTATAGATACATACATACATATATATATATACACATTCGTATTAACATATACATATATACACATACATACATATATATATATACACATATACATATATTCACAAATATATATATATACACATAAATAAATAAATCAATAAAAATAAATAAATAAATAAATATATGTATATATATATGTACACATACATATACAGATACATAAATATATATATATATACATGTACACATACATATACATATATAAACATATACATATATATGTATATATAGACATGTATATATATATAAATACACATACATATACACATACATATACACATACATATACACATACATATACACATACATATTTACATATATTTAGATATATTTACATATATTTACATATATTTACATATATTTACATATATATTTACATATATATTTACATATATATTTACATATATTTACATATATATTTACATATATATTTACATATATATTTACATATATATTTACATATATATTTACATATATATTTACATATATATTTACATATATATTTACATATATATGTATATATTTACATCTATATTTACATATATATTTACATATATATATTTACATCTATATTTACTTACATCTATATTTACATATATATTTACATATATATTTACATATATATATATTTGCATATATACTTATATATATTTGCATATATACTTATATATATTTACATATATATATTTACATCTATATTTACATCTATATTTATATCTATATTGACATATATGTTTACATATATATTTACATATATTTACATATATATATTTACATCTATGTTTACATATATATTTACATCTATATTTACATGCATCTATATTTACATATATATTTACATATATATTTACATATATATTTACATATATATATATTTGCATATATATTTACATATATATTTACATATATATATATATATATATTTACATCTATATTTACATCTATATTTATATCTATATTTACATATATATTTACATATATATTTACATATATATTTACATATACATATATATATTTACATATATATTTACATATATATATATACATATTTACATATAATTACACATATATATATATATACAGTACCACACCCCCACCACACCACAGAGGGGGGACGGGTAACATAGCTCCTGTATATCCATACCCATTCCTACTACTAACTACTACTCACTACTACTAACCCCCCCACCCCCCTACCCATCGACAGGGGGGGGGCGGGGAAGATAGCTCCTGTATATCCATACCCATTCCTACTACTAACTTTTATTCACTACGACTTGACTAACTACTACTACTACTGCTACTACTACTACTACTACTACTACCACTACCACTACTACCACTACTACCACTACTACCACTACTACCACTACTACCACCACTACCACCACTACCACTACTACCACTACTACCACTACTACCACTACTACCACTACTACCACTACTACCACTACTACCACTACTACCACTACTACCACTACTACCCACCCACACGGGGGGGCGGGGAACATAGCTCCTGTATACCCATACCCATTGGGGGGGGAGGGGGGGGACCTGGGAGGGCTGCATCATATATATGTATATATATATATACATTTGATGGGTACACCTTGCCGATGGCTTGTGTTTGTTTGCCATCTAAAGATCCAAGACAGCAATGACACACAACACATCACAATTTCTCTAATAGGCAATCAGCCTACAAACATGATATTTATTCAACGTCATGTTTGTTTACCATGGATTGAAGTGAAGGACGAACTTTGGTCATGAGCCAGCTGCCACGGCCATGGGCGCTCATGAACCATTGAGCGCCGTCATGACTGATGAATACCTCGCGATTTTTCGAAGAATTGTTGCCCCAGCTGTGCTGAAAATGTGGGGTGGGGTGTTTCCAATTATGAGAGTGAGCTGAGGTAGCCAGGAATATTCATGACCTACGATGACGAAACACTTCCATTGGGCCCAAAAAACATCATATGGGGTTGGTTATTCTCAAATCGAGGGATGAGCAGGACAGATTGGATGCGTGCCGCCATGTGAGAGAAAGATACCATGCAATACATACCAATACTTTTTCTGGTTGCTGGTTTCAAGTATGTTTTTACTTTCAAGCATGTTTGGGATGATGATCCCCAATGACTATTGTAATTGTAATGTTTTTCAGGGATGGGCGGCAGGGTTGTAGACACTCCTGTTGCTGACGGATAAAGAGAAATATGTTTCAAGGGGTTGCAACAAAAACACCCGTTTATTGATGGGCGTAGTTCTTGTTTACAAGTGACCCAATGAAACACCCCAGCAAGTGCAAAGTGCAAGTCCCCGGTTTCGGGAAACGCATCTAAAAAGTAAATTTCTCAATAGGATACCGATCCATGGCTTAATCATCACTTTCCCGATTGTTTGGCCAACGATACCCCAGCCAACTCGAATAAGTGTTGGATAATATCCCGGGTCTATTATATCATATCCCCATCATATCGAATCACATCCGATAAAAACCCGTTAAATCCGATCAAATCCCATTAAGTCTGATTCAATCCCATTAATTCCCAAAAAGTCACCATAAAATCCGCGGTAAGTCACCAGTAAAATTACGGTTAACAAGTGACCACTTCTGGGCAGATGACAGAGACATTGGATCAAACAGCAGGTTTTCAGCTTTGAGCCATGCTGATATTCAGTTGTTGCACCGATGATTTTTTCAATATTGGCTGGTGATCAAAATCTCAGGGTTTCGAACTACCCCCCACCCAAAAGATGCTAACCTGGACGTATGATGTACATATGGAGGTTTCCATAGTCATGGGGTACCCAATAGCTGGATGGTTTTTGTTAGGAAAAATCCGAAACAAAAATGGATGATTTGGGGGCTTTCCTAGGACACCTCCATATCATCGAACTACCATCTTGGAAACACTGTTCGGCTCTTTTTTGGGATTGCTATATAGTGAGAAGCGGTAATTGCAAGCCCAGTTACTGAGTGCAACTTTATCGGTCATCGAAGACCACTTAGATCAGGACTGTGGAAAAACATATTTGGATCCGACCATACATTGAGATGTCAAAACAGAAACCCTGTTGGAATATTTCAAACATACATCCTACATTAAAAACATATTTAATTCCCGAATTGGTGGAAGATCTGCAGGAAAACCATACATTGAGATGTCAAGGTGCCAAGGTGTCGTGCAGATTTTTCCTGAAATCAATATATATATATATATTATACACACTTGTTGCGTATTTGTCAATTTCTTTCTGGCTCTTGGGGATATTCAATATGGCTTCCCTTCGCTGCTGAGTTTCCTGATCTTCGGTGCGCAGACGGAGCAGTATCGCCATGTCAACCAATGTTGGCAGGCATGCGACGGTCACAAGTAGCCAATGGAGGAATTTGGGTACCCTCATGGTAAACATACAAAACACCATGGAAAAAACACAACTTTAATAGGTAAATCGGTAAATCAACTATTTCTATGGATATAAATGGGCCTTTTCAATAGCAAACTGTTGGTTTACCAGAGGGCCGTCATCATAGCGGTAAGTAGCGCCGTGTTGGGACTATTTGGTCCATATCACCTTGAGAATGATCAGTCGGTAGCCATTGCGATTTTGGTTCAAAAAGCAATCAAACATGCTGCTATTTACCATTTACGGTTTCAGAACATTTTTCTGAACATTTTTTGATGTTTTGTGATGATTTTCTACAAAACAACTACTCCCATGTGGAGTAGTGCTCTCCATACCCCAAGTTGTGGAAATCTGGTCATCGCCCGTTGAGATAGCGATATTTATCGGGCAGGGACCAGTTGATTCCTGGTCGTTTTGATTGTGAAATATGCAGATCCAAACATCGCAAACCACCAACAATGGGGTTAAACACCAAACTGGGGGGTAGGGATTGGTAGTGTCATTGATGTAATCCGTGAGTGATGTTTTTTGTTGAAGTTTGGTGAAAATGGGGTTGTTGAAACTGGTCGAATGGGGAGTATAATTGTCCGGTATGGGAACCTCTTGGAGGAAGCAGTATAGAGGGGATAGCAAGGGTTACAATGGCACTGTTCAATTCTAGAGGTTCTTTGGCAGGTACACGTGGTCCTGCCAGGTCTCGATTTTTAGTGTCTCAAGCTTGGGCCTTAGTCTAGTAAACCAGGTTCGATGTCCGTTCTAATTTCTAACATATATACATCTGGTACTCTGGAACCCCGAACAACCAGAGTTAAGTGGTTTCCCAAAACAACCCATGTTGTATAGGGATTCTTCATTACCATAGAGAAACAATGATTTATTGCAAGTTGCTGGGGGTTCCACCCCTCTCCCGCGGATTTGCTGAATCTCTTAGAGGAGCCCATCCAAACGTCAGAAAGATCAAAGGACCAAAGAAAAAGAAAGGCATCCAACAGCCACATCCCCAGTATATTGTAAGATATTGTAAGATCTATTTTTGTATATATATATATTATCCCCATATTGTAAGTTCTACCATTGTAGAAAGTACATCACCAGTTAATATCCATTGCATGTTCAATCCCATGTTCTCCATACCTGTGACTCGATGACAGACAGGCCTTGTCCTTGCTGGTGGATATGTTGACCATCCTCACCGTGCTGGACGTGTGTTTGCAGGCGAGTCGTAAGCTACTCTACCCTTAAACGGTACCCTTTCCAAATCGCTGGTGAACGGATGGATATTAGCGTTTGCGAATATGGTACCCTCTGGTAAACTAGCATAACTATGGAAAATCACAATTTTTCAATGGGAAAGCTCACAATAAATGGCCATTTTCAATAGCAATGTTTGTTTACCAGAGGGTAATAATATCCCAACTTATAGAGGTGATCACCATGCCAGGACTTTTGGGGGGGGTGCAATAGTTATCAATAGTTCTAGCTAAGCTGCCCATTCACATCCCATGAAATCCCCTATGAAATTCCATGACATCTTCCTGAAATCCCATGGAATACCAATTTTGGCCACTTTCCGGGTTCCAAACTACCGTAACCCCCCTGATAGCTGTTTTTCTTAGCCCTTATGATTAGTTAAAGTTGCTGGTTGAGCTTCACCCTGAATGAACTCAACCACTTTTTTTTGTGGGGGTCACCGTTTTTTTGCAGTTGGTCAAATGGGTCGTTTATCCCCGTGATGGTCTTATCCGCTACAAAAGAGGCCGGATCTTTGCGGTTCAATGGTCAGAGGATGCACCGGGAAGTCTCATTTTGTGAATGCCCAGGCTCAGGTGGCCATTCAACAGGGATAACTATGGAGGCCAAACACCATGAAAAAAGGGGAGCAAAAAGGGCCAAATCTGACCCATCTCCGTGAAAACAAGACCTGGATGAAACTCACATTTTTTTCACCTTCTGAAGTATTGAAGTGTTCCAAACCCTCCAAACCCTGTATCTCAGGCTTGTTCCAAGTCGTGTGTGTCGCAGGATGAAATGAGATATCCCAACTTCGTGCCCAGCATCAAAGCCATCTGGATCAGGACGCCACCCCGCGTATTTCGCGTTTCTACTGGGTGGCCAGTCATGGGGAAGTTATCCCCAAGCACCATCCTGGCCATGGATGACCATGGTGACGATGACGACTGGGGATTCCCATGTTAGAACACCACCAGATTTTCCGTCCTGCTGGGGCATTGTTGGTGAAAAATCTGGATGGACTCCGGAAAAAGTAGGTCTGGTGGAGAATGCGAAGAGATGGGAATCTTTTTCAACAATCCCTCAAGAGTAAGGAATTCCAAGAAGCCAGCAACCCTGGCCGGAAAATACTGAAGCTCTTTATTTGAGGGACCCATACTTGATGGGTTCCCCAGTGAACTTAGTGGATATATATGGATATATCATTTCACCAATAGTCAAAAAGGGGCCGGATCTCCCACCTTATGGAGGTGAACGCACCATGGTTGCAACCATTTTTTCTCCAAGCTGCACCCCCAAGTATTCTTTGGGTACTACTTGGAAGATCATCCTACTTAGTAACTGCTTAGTAATCGCAGTTGTAGCCGATTTATGATGATGTCTTTTTGGCATAATCCATAAAAAATCGGTGACTTACGATCACCAGGGTTACTAGTTACTACCCTCTGGATAGCCCTGATAACTTAACATAGCTTGCTATAGAAAATGGCTGAACACGGTCCATTGAGTTTGATGATTTACCGATTATAACATGATTATTTTACATATATATATATATAGTTATGTTAAGTTACCATAGGCTTCACGTGTGTGAATCCCGTTGATATCCCGATTTTTCTGTTACCATGATACCATCTGTTAAAAAATGGGTGGATTATCCGGATTTTCAACCGGATATGGTGACGCTCACCCCGTGATGAAGTTACCAAGAAACATGTTCCAATGGGAATTTCAGGATCCGAACAATGGAGGTACGTTAGTACTATATGTTTGGCCATATTTTCTGGGGATATTCCCTGAAATTTAGGCCTCAAAAATAAGCCTTATATATGATAGGTACGTCCAATTTAAGTTCCTGAAATGGCAATTGATCTCATGGGTATTCATTCATAGCCGTGTGAAAATGGATTGATGGCCAACGATGAATTCATCAATGAATTTTCGAATTGAGGGGTTTTTGCAAATCTCAAAAGCGGATTGATGACCATTAAGCATGGTTAACTCATGTGAACTCCCAGTTTTGCCGAGCAATGCCTTTTTTTTTCCTGTTGCTTAGAATCCTTGGGATTCTCCTCTCGAGGAGCTTTCAGGGATGGGTTCGCGTGGTCTTCGCGACCTGTCTGGAGATTGGGTGCATCAAACATGGGGAGATCATGATTGTCATTTAGAATGAGGTATACATCCTATATAACGTACGTATATATATATATGTATATGTATATGTATAACAATGTATAACATATATACACATATACATATACAGATATAGAGATTACGGCAATGATAATTTTGCACTAGGTATATATTCATATATATATATACACGCATCGACAAGTGATGTCGCGACGTGAGGTCGCGACATCGAAAAAAAAACAAACTACAGTATCCCAAAATAGCCGAACTATTCTGGTTACAATGAATCAATACATATCTTTTGTACTGATTAGTTTTAGGGGATGGGTCAGGCTCTGGAATAGCTAGACGTGATTGATTTATCCCTAATTACGAAGAATTCTTGCCGGGGAAGCAAATGACATCAAGAATGCATCAAAAGTGACCACAGATGTCAAGATGTTAGGGCCCAAAAGGAGTTTTTGCATCTGTTTGCACCTCATTTTGAGCCGCAATCAAGTGATGGATCGATGGTTTCTCTTTTCCAGGCCGTTCCGAAGGGTGGAAGTCCAGTGATCCTCACAGAGCATATTCCGTCACTGGAATGATGCTGCCAGTAGATAAGAGCTATTTTCAGGTTAGTGGGTTATTGTACCCTCTGGTTATGACTAACATTGCCATGGAAGCCATGGCCCATAGAAATAGATGGTTTACCTAGCTATAAAATGGAGATTTTCCATGGCTATGTTAAATAGCCAGATGGTAATTCAGCCAGTAGTAAATGTACCTTTCTGATGGATGCACAAAGTTGTTGGTCAATGTTTATCCTTTTTTTTTGATCCCATAAACCATGAAAAACATCCTCCATAAAACCTGGTGAAAAGGTAGACGATGAAAGCACATCTGACTGGGACCATACCATGGGGTTGTGTAGCATTAGGGGGATAGGATGAAAATTCCCAGCATCGTAGTGGTCAAATGCTTCCCTTTCTCCCAGCATCTCCTGAATTTCTAGGCCTGGTCATGCTTTATTTGTGGCGCTGTGCCCATTGTGTGGCTTGTTTTTCTCACAGGGCCCAATCAGGACGGGTGGCCCGAACTTGGAGGAAACTTTGGTGAAGGGATTTTTCCTTTTTCCTTTTTTCGCATTTTTTGTTTTTAAAGCAAGTAACAAAATCCAACTGTTTCAGTGGATATATATATATATAGATTGGCCACACATATGATCTGTGACTTTTCTTTCGCAAAACTGCATGGATGATCTGGAAATGCCCTGCCAGGCATGGATCTCGTGGATGACGGTATGAAATAGCCCAGTGTTTTTTTGGAGCTGATATTCTATGGGTTAAAACCTATATATTTTTGTATTTGGGGGGATGAAGATCCACAACTGCTATTTTGATTTATTTTTGGGTGAAGAGAAGGGCACCAGGGTTTTGACTTATACCCATATAGGGCTTATAAAGCACTTAACTTACTAGCTCGGATGCATATCCAAGTAGAAGAATTTTTGAAGAGAATTTGTCCCGATTCTACGCAGGGCGGGGTGTGTTTTTTTTTTTTAATTCAACTATAGAACACCTTTAGAATATTGATACAACCGATTTGGCGGGTGTACCCTCGGGGAATCCAAGATGGGAATTTCTCACATCCTCCATTTATTTCGGAAAATCATCTATAAGTGGGCCATTGTTCATAGCTATGGCAAACATTGCCAGAAGGTAGATCCGATTTTTTCTGGGACACTGCACCCTGAACATCCCGAAGAAACGCAGGTGTTTTTTGTCAGATTTTCTGAACGATGGAAAATCGCCGACAGTTTAGCATAGTTCATGTGTCAGGGTGCTGTGATCCAGTATCCACCTTATGGATATCGGCATCTTTTTGAGGGTTTCTATGCCATCTTAGAAAATTTGGAGATTCACCCAACTTTGGAACTGGCTATGGCATGCTGGGTTTGTGATGGTACTAGAATCGCAAGTGCTGCGGACTTGAAATTCATCCGTTCCAACATATCATAAGCAACTCCCGTCAGGAACCCTGGTAATATGTGCAGTATTGGATTTGCGGATTCTATGTGGGCACAAAGATAACAACCTCGCCCGAAAATCCGAGAATGACGCCTAAGAATTAAGGTTTGGATCATCCCCCAGACTGCTATTTTCCCAGGGTTTCATGGAACATCTGCAGGAAAGCTCTGTATCTGAAGGTAAAACCCATGGGTTTCCTGTAGATTTTCGATTAAACCAATCCATTGACATTTCCACTTCAGGAATTGCAATGATTTGCTAAGATTCTTCAACCCAGCGCCGACCCAAACACACCCGAAGAAAGCGTTGAAGTGTGGGTGCTTTATCTCACCGCGGCGGTGATCGATACAACTTTATCAGACATGAGTCAGTTAGACGATGCTTAGTGGAATTTGATCAGCAAGAACGGGGGTGTAAAATCACGCAGAAAATCAGGATATAGTGGGAGTGAAATGGAGTTCATATAATTTGATCAATGAATCATGGATTTGGTTTGTTTGAAAATGGGGTGCAGCAAAGTATAGCCGTTCAATGGGAAAACACTGAGAAATTAACATTGATAAACTACTCGATTTGGGGTAATTAGCTTATTTTTAGACACACCCAAATCATCAGGTTTTTGGAGTCCATTTCAGTTGATGACTTTCCATTGAATTTGAGGATTTGATTTCCCTGTTTGCCATGTTACATTCCAAAGGACAGCTGGATTGTTGCATTTAAAGGTCAGAATGCACATATTCCAAATGATCATCCTTTTGTTACTGTGATTCTTGGCCCCGGAGCACTCAACTTAAATGCGTGGGACTCCCCAAAGAAAATGCGTTGGCCCACCGGTATTGACAGGCATGGATTCCATTATCATGAAATGTTCCCTTGACGATTTGGACATCATTATGTCATATGATGTCTGGAAATTAAACATAAACATGCCACATGATACTATGCCACTATTCATACTAAATGCCACTATACACATGATGCCAAATATGGCATTTCTAATCACTATTTCACTAATCACCACTTCATACTATGCCAAACAAAAATGTTATCACCATCATAGAGACCGAAACGAACCACCGCGTATCTTGGAGTCTAAAAGTGTCCTCCAGCTGGTCGAGAAGAATTCTCCCATGGGATGGTAGCCTGAGTATGTTTCATGCTCCTTCGAAGATGGTGATCATTTTCTGATTTTCCATAGCTATGTTGAATTACCAGAGGCGAAATGTTCACATCATGAGTAATAGATAGGAATAGTGCGAAAAGGGAAAAGAAGGATCATTTGAAGCCAGGAATATATGAACAGTGCTTGTTCTGAAAACAGAAGACTGTGCTCTAAAATAAACATGTTGTTTCATTCCTTATCATGCGGGTAAACAATGCCATAAACCATGCCCCAAATCACCATTTTTATAGGTGGTATTATCCATTCCCAAATGGGTGGTTTATTATTGTTTTACCCATATTAGATGGAGATCATTTGTGGCATGCACAGTTTGCATAGAGACTGCGCTTGGAATGTGACTAAAAAAATGCTGAGATATTCAGTAGCCATTGATCTTCAACAGAGATTTCCCCAACTGAACAGCCAACAGCCTATTCTATCGTTGGACTCCGGACATGACAACAAAGTTGACGAGTTGCACGCAAGTAGGTTCCGGCAAGGTTCCGCGTTCCAAGGTTCCGGAACACCTCAACATAGGGTTCCATTGACATTCACCTGTTGCCGGCAACATCTGGAAGGAACAAGGACGAAAGGAGGACAGCACGATGGCAGATGTCAATTGGCAGCGCAGATGGCAACTGCTGGATTGGGGAAGTGGCGGTTAATGGCCAGCATGGAGCCCAAAGAAACGACAAGAGCGCGCCCCATCGCGCCAAAACTTCAGGCGCAAAGCGACAACCATTTTCTGCCCAATTTGGGGGTAGATAGACAGGTAGGCATATAGACACATAGGTGAGCAGAGATAGGCGCATACCGCGTACATATGTAGATCGTTCGTAGCATGAATTTTGGAAACTGGCCAATCTGCAGATTGGCCGCGAAGAAAAACATTGCTTTGCCCACTCAGGTCCTAGTCCCAAAAAGAACCACACCATTGTATTTGTTGGTTCAGTTTTGTTCGCCCACATAACACGCATGTCTTCACCATCACAGTGGCCTCCCACATGAACCAGGTAAAACTTGAAGTTTGCCCATCCCTGCAATGTTTGTTTCCCAGCCCCAAAGCGGCTGGTTTCAGGACCAAATTTCGGCGCCTGTGATCTTTGGTGGTTCGGATGAGGCGCTAGGGCATCGGGGATGATTGGGGGACCTTGGCGCCTGGGGATGCCAAGTTATGGGCCCATCTAGGAGCTGATGCATAAGCGTAGCAATGCGATCAACTGGTTTGTTTTGGTGCCGGGGTGATGTTGTGGATTTAATTTTTTAGCACATCGGTACAAATGAAGTTTCCGTTATCAGGCACCCAGCACGGTTCCCAGGGGAGAGTTTCGACATTTTGATTGGGCGAAAAAAACTTGTTTTGTGACTCGCACATTTCTCACAAATTCCATCGATGGACATCCGAATCTAATGTTGGGATTTCGACAGAGTTTGTAAAAAAATCATGAAAAGTGCCAATGTCGTTGGGCATGTGTGGAATGAAAACCACAAAAAATTGAACATGGCGGAAATTGGGTACAAATGGTTGTTTCAAACTAATGAAAATGTTGCATGGGTGTGGCCTTGTAGTTGTGATGTTCGGTCAAAAAACATGGTGTTTTTTGCTGGGACGTTGATAGTCCGAGCTTTCCAGCGCCTTGCTCTCCAAATGGCCGTGCCCCAAACTATCAAATTATGGGCGTGATATGTCTTAAAAAATGACAACTATTAATGGGGGTCATTAAGGCAATCCTTGATTTCTGCCACGAGACATGTCATTTTATGATCCGCATTTTTAATTTTTGCGTGTGCTTGTTCTTGTGAATTATACACTATCATAATTCCATTTTGGTTTTGTTGTTTTGTTCAAACTGATATTTCATGGTTATGTTGCATATCAAACAATATTGTAGACCGTTTTTCTCCGTCGGACAATTTCTTAAACTGACATCTGGATTGAAACTGAAACGGGTTTAACCGATGAAATTTCAATCAAAAGGGGACATACATACAGATATACACACACACATATATATATATACACACCAAATACGCAAATATACACATACATATGTACTTTCTCATCACCATATTTGCGCTAGCATGGCCATGGACATCCAACCCAATGTTCTCTGGGCATCTGATGCTTTGAATCCATGGCAGGTGACACGCAGCATTTGCGCTGGTGTCTTAGTCTTCGTTGACCTCCTGGTGACCGTGCAGGACCGAACCTGGAGAATGTTGGAGGTCCAATCAGGGTTTTGAACACACCCGCCATAAAAGAATGGTCAAGTCCTACTAGAATATTGGTAAATTATGTTTTGTAGCTTTGGGGAGGTTACTATACTACAACCAGTTACTTGCTTGAAATTGCTATCATTGGACACTGTGAAACTTTCTTGTCTTTGGTAGTGAAACTGCTGGGTGATTTTTCATTGTCTGAGTTCCAGAGGGAAGGTAAAGCACTTTGTGTGGGGAGATGACTTACAACATATCAAACTGGGAACTACAGATGAACTAAAAAGGTCATGTTTGATATACGTTTCATGTTTCATACGAACTAAGATGACACTGGGAATCAATAACATAAATATGTGTCCCAGTTTCGTATAGATATGGTATGACATGGTTCATGGTCATGTTTCATGATGTTTTAAATCATTTTACTCGTTCTGGTTAGGTTAAAACTCCTGGGTCAGACAAGGTCATGTCCTCTCGAGGATTGGGACTTTCCGACCTTTGAAGAGCCCTTGGAAATTCAGGTGGGGGGGTATTGTATGACTTGAACAGACCCAAATGGTGGGAATTGAAAAAGTATGTGTATAATATATATATATATAATATGTAAATATCATATATGACATAAATATGATATATATATAAATACATAATATGTGACAATTATGATAAATATGATATATGATATATATGAAATACATATATATATATATACATAATATGTGACAATTATGATAAATATGATTCATGATATATATGATATATGTATATATATATGGTAAATATGGTATATATGACAAATATGATATATATGATTAATATGATATACATGATATATATATATATATATGGTATATATGATATATATGGTATATATGATATATATGATATATATGATATATATATGATATATATGAGATATATGATATATATGATATATATATGATATGTGATATATATATAATATATATATATGATATAATTATATGATATATATGATATATATGATATATATGATGTATATGATATATATATATGATATATATGATATATATATATTATATATATGATATATATGACATATATATGATATATATATATGATATATATGATATATATATGATATATATGATATATATGAAATATATATGATATATTTATGATATATACCATATATATAAATGATATATGATATATATGATATATGTATGATTTATATGATATATATTTGATATATATATATATGTAATATATATGATATACATGATATATATTTTTTTTGAAAATGTCATATATGATATATATTTTTATTTATATATGATATATATGATATATCTATATATATGATATATAGATATATGATATATTCATATATATATATATATGAGATATATATTTATATATATGTATGATATATATAAATGATATATATATATATGATATATATATGATATATATATATATGTGATATATATATGATATATATATATGATATATCTATATATATGATATATCTATATATATGATATATCTATATATATGATATATAGATATATGATATATGATATATATATATGATATATATATGATATATATACATGATATATATATATGATATATATATATATATGATATATGTGATATATGATATATATTTATATATATTTATATGATAAATATATATGATATATATTTGCTATATATGATATATATATAAATACCATATATATATATATTTATTATATGATATATATATATGATATATATATGGTATTTATTTATATATATATATATGGTATATATATAATATATATATCATATATATATATATATATCATATATTTGATATATATATATACATATGATATATATATATGATACATATGATATATATGATAGATATGGATACACCAGGATAAATTGTAACGTCCTCACATCGTCTACCGTCACTGCTAGAAATTGGTTGGGATTAGGGGAATCATCCGAACTGGTCTTGTTGCAGGTTGATGAGTTGGTATAATTTCTCCATATTTGTTTGTATCAACTTGAAAAAACAAATCATTTCAACCTGCAATAAGACCATTTTGTATGAGTGCAACAAGAATTCTTACCCTATAATGTTTATCCATATTTGAAACCAATAAGAATGAGGATTTCAGCCAACCAAGAGTAAGGGGAGGCTGGAGAGGGATTGTTCTCAACAATGAGGAGCTGACATTTTTTGAAGACCCACCAGCCCACACATTTTGGAAATTGTTTAGCATTAAACAAACCGAAGGTGTGATAGGTCCAACGATCGGGGGCTAACAAAATACCACAACAATTTTAGGTAAGTAAGTGGTAAATTGGTTGGGTATAGTATTTTCTTAAATTTTATCATCCACTTATCTTTTTGAAAATAGAAATTTAGAAACTGATTAGGGTATGCTGTATGCCATCGTTTGAAGATTTCGACATTTTTCTATATTGGGGATCAACATTGAGGAGCGGGATATCTTGGATGACCAATGAAATAGGGATGTAATGAACAATAAATGGAGATGCAACAAATACGCAAATTGGACTGGTAAAATACATAAGAACACATTCATTGAAGGAATTATATGTATTATGTATCAGATAATGTATCAGACATATATTATTTGTACACATATGATTATTATTGTTATCATTATTATCAACATTACAAGGCGGGGGGTCATGCCTTGTAACGGTTAACCTGTCCGTTATGATAATCGCAATACATGGATTGTGATTGGTTCCCAGCCGTTTCTGATCATGTCTGCTATTATCCCGCCTATGGTGGAAATAATTGTTTTGGGGATATACGTAGACCGATTTTGTATTGAACAATCAAACATCACCAGGTTATGGTTGTTGTTTATGTGCACTACTAGTTTTTTAAGTTTTGATTGAAGTCTTGCAATCAAAATTCAATCTAAGGATCCCTGGTCACGAATCATCAGGGCATAGCATGGGGACATTTTCTGGCAAAGATGAACTCCGCTTGCGCTTGCGTTTCATCGGAAGTCAACACGTTGTTTCGTGGGGTTCCAACTTCAGTTTTTCCTGCCAGATCATCCCAATGAACTGCCATGATTGGGGATGATCAGTTTACATCTGAAAAACCATCCGGTAAACGTACAAAAAACTATGGAAAATCACCATGCTATGTAGCTGGGTAAATCCACTATTTCGACTGGGCCATTTTCCAGTTCGCAAACTGTGAATGTTTACCAGAGGGTACCATCCATTGATGGTAGTACGATGGTGTTTACACCGTTGGGTTTACCGCAGTAGAAAACACGGTGCAAATTCGAAGCCACGAAGCCACAAAGATGTGGAGGTTTTCAGCCACCATGGATGATCAGTTTAGTATTGAAAGCTATGGTGATGCAGTGATGCACCCGGGCATCTTCCATGTGAAGATACCCTCTGGCAATTGAGAATGGCCATTTTTAGTGGATTTTCCCATTAAAAATGGTGATTTTCCATAGTTATGTTAGTTTACCAGAGGGTAATCCCAATTGACTCATCATGGCGTTTTTTGTCAACTTGAAGAGCCAAAGGGACTTGTCAGATTTTTGGCATCGTTTCATCCCATTAAAATGGTCCCCATCTTTTTTTCCATTCCCAGAGAAAGGGGCTGGAACATAGCAGAAACGCAGACTCTAACCAGCTAAGTAAAATAGAACAAAATAGATAAATGCTATCATTCCCACTATTTTTCGGATCCAATAAGGGGCCTCCCGAAATCTCCCGAACGCAGGTGCCAACGAAAGTCTTGGGTACTTTTAGTGACAAGCTGAAGAGCCTTGGCACAGCCAGCTCTCCTGAGCGGGTTTCATGCTTCCAGGCCTTGCATGTCCATAGGATCACAGGTTTTTGGTGACCCTTGCATATTTTCATGAGGATAAAACTTGGGGATATACTGGAATATCATGGAAATATCATGAGAATGTAATGAGATATAGTGATCTACTTGGATATACTATATGTGTGTGAGAGAGTGCCAATTCCCAAGAAGCACTGGAAAATAGTGGGGGCTGCCATGATACACCACAGATGATCTGCAATTCTATGGGTTTGCGGCTAGCTGGATGGCTGTTTCCCTGCTGGCACGGTAAAGAAACGCACAAGGTCTAGTGATTGATTGTTGGCTATATCAGTAGCCTACCCATTCGGAACCTGGAATAGCAGGCCATCAGAAATATATGTAGGTCGCAGAAACAACTACAATAACCACTTTCTGAGTTTGGGTTACGATGAACATTATAAATCAACTAGCATACTTTTTGATAATCCCAGCTTGTTCAATAGTAACTAGCCAAGTAACCGCAGAGAATCTTACGATGGAACTTCGCATGACTTCAAGGCTTCCAGGTTTCCAGGTTTCCATTCTTGGCCTCTGAGGATCACATTCGTGGCCAAGTTCTTAGCTTTGCACCCTGGCAGTTTGGTCATTTTTGGGTATTCCCACACGGGTTGGGGGTTACCCTCTGGTTATGTCAACAGTTTGCTATTGAACATGGCCCAGTCGAAATAGTGAGTTTTCCCATTAATAGCATTTTTGTGGATACTGATACCCTCTGGTAATTTAACATAGCTATTGAAAATGGCCATTTATAGTGAATTTTCCCATTCAAAATGGTGATTTTCCATAGTTATGTAAACGTTTACCAGAGGGTACCATGAAAATACAGAAGCCAATGTAGTCCCCTGGGTTTGAATTTTGATCCATTCTCACAGCTGGTAGTTCTGGATGTTCATCCACCCAAAAAATATAGGTTTGTAGGTTTTGATCCATCCCGCCTATATTTTAGTGTACTTGTATATTTTTTCTATGAAGCATGATGAAGCATGAAATTTTAGGGTGTCATTCCCTCTAAACCTTCGGCTCACCACGAGCAACATTTTTTGGGCTTGGTAGGGTTGGTCACCGTCACGGCACCATATACGAAAGGGTATATCATTTCGCCCATTTATGGATTGTGTCATGGGTGGCTCACGCATACTACTAGTCCAATCTTCGCAGGAATCACGGCAAGGCGATTTTGGTTGTCTCTTTGTGAACAACTATAGACACATATTATTAAAACTCTAGTTCTGCATAGCTGTACATAGCCAACATCATAACATCATCGTAACATCTATAGCCATGTTACAACATATGGGGATGGGTCAAAACCTTATAATTATATACTCCTGTAGTTCACGGTAGTTCACATCGATCCATAGCCGGTGTCAAAGAGGATGTTCATCCCATAGCCAAAATGCTACGTCTATAGGTATTGATCCATAGCCATAAACATGTTACCTCCAGTGGCGCTGACTCCGTCAGGATACCTCAACCCTCCTGCAGTTGCTGGAAACGCCTGGAGACTCAGCCATGATGGTTACCGGTTTTCTCCGGTAACACGTAGAGATTGATTAGATCAGATATGGCGCCATGGGTCATGGCAGCCTGGTACCCAGTGAACCTCAAGTCAGAGCTGGGATTTTTTTCGGTGTTCATCCCACAAATTTTGAATGGTTTTGACCCACCCTCATATATGAATCAAAGGATGTAAGGAATCAAAAAGACATCCATGTTCATCTATGAAGTGGCATATAGTGGCATTATCAGATGTCTCAATTCTCACGAACGAGAGATATACCCTCTGGTAAACGTTTACATAACTATGGAACATCACCATGCTATTCATGTGTAAATCAACAATTTCTATGGCCATTTTCCAGTTCGCAAACTGTTAGTTTACCAGAGGGTATACCATCATATATCCTAATAACAAATTCATATAAATCCCATTAAATCAAATTTAATCCTATTGAATCCCATTAAATCCTATTGAATCCCATTAAATCCTATTGAATCCCATTAAATCCCATTAAATCCCATTAAATCCTATTAAATCCTATGGAATCCTATTGAATCCCATTATGACAGCTTTAGTAAGAAACTACATGCGAACCCCGCCTGGCAAACGAAGCCTTCGCCCACGCTGGGATTCTCTTGAAAATCTCACGTGGACGATTCGCACGGTTTGGAGCCCCGGGGCTTTCTATAGATACTAATGTGGTTACCCTCTGGTAAACAAACTTAGCTATTGATTTAATGGGATTTAATGGGATCTAATGGGATTTATTAGGATATATGATGGTATACCCTCTGGTAAACAAACAGTTTGCTATTGAAAATGGCCCAGTCGAAATAGTTGATTTACCTATTAATAGCATGGTGATTTTACATAGTTATGTGAACGTTTACCAGAGTAATGGCAAATCCTATCAAAATGGATGAGAAATGGGGTACCCCTACTACAATGAAACCCCCTATTTGTTGATTATGTATAACGTGGGTAAAGCAATTTTGTGAACCACCCATTTGGGAATGGGAGCTATACCACCTACAGTATAAAAAATGGTGATTGTTTTGCCAACATTACTATTTTGCTGGAGAGTAAATCCCGGATATCGATCAACCTCTCTTGTCTCGACTTGGTGAAAGCAAAGGTTTTCTTTGACCAACGCTTGGAAAATCGACGTTAAGCGTAGTAAGACCACCTACATAGTGCGTGTCACACGAATCTAGCTTTCAGCATCACTTGCTTGCTTGCTTGCCAGGGGAGATCTGAAAAAATATGTGGTCCAATCTGTTTGAAAACTTGCGGGGTGAGAGAGCTTGCGCTTATCAGTTTTTTTGGACACACTCATCTTGGCAGCAACTTGAGATGAATGCACGAGGCAATGGAACACCCCGCTAGTAGGAAATTCATCTAGCCAACTTGGGTGGCATCCGATCCAGGATCAGGAATCACAGGACACATTTTCAGTCCATGATTTTGGGTGGATGAACATCCATAACTACCAACTATTTTTGGTGTGAAAAGGGTACTGCAGCTCCAAACTTTGCCCCGTTTTAAAAGCGAGGCCTCTGTCGATATCTGCCGGGCCCAGAGTTCTTTCAAGCCGCTTGGACTCAGCTGGGCATTTCACAGGCTGCAGGTTGCCTACCCAGAGGGCTATGAGGGGCACATCATGGGCGTCTCGGATAAACTTGGGCATTTCACAGGTTGTAGGTTGCCAACATGGCTGAGGGCACATCAGGTGCAAGGTCGGTCCAGCACTGAAGCCAGGTCTCCATCCGTGGGAAGTGGTTGCAGTATGGGCCGCTCTGCGTTGCAGCCTGGCGGAGTTGCAAGGGTTATGGGTTGATGCTGATGGTTCTGGGTGAAATCATCGATACATAATCTCAAAGTGATCCAATTAGTTAGTATTACTGGTTGGTGGTTTGGAACATTTTTTATTTTTCATAATATATGGGATAATCCTTCCCATTGACTAATATTTTTCAAGATGGTTAAAACCACCAACCAGATTAGTATTTATTAGTTATGAGTTATGACTGAATATGAAAAATTGAATTCATGGATAAAAAAGAGTACATTTTTTCAGGACCTCACCACGATGTTACCGTAAATGATGGTGAACGTAAGGGATGTTCTTCGTGAAAAAAAATCAGCGCTACACGGGGACTGAAAAGTCGGTGTCTGTTTCCTCCGCAAATCCGAGCAACCGAGCAATATATACGGATTAATAGGGGATAAACCCATTGGATAATATACCTGGTTGGTGGAACCATGGAATTTTATGACTTTCCATACATTGGGAATGTCATCATCCCAACTGACGAATTCATATTTTTCAGAGGGGTAGGTATACCACCAACCAGGGTTATGTTTGGTGTTCAGCTCTCCGCTTTTGAAATACACTGGGCCATGGCTCAGTACTCGTATTTCCCAAAAATGGATGATTTGATCATGTTTGATTTTTATGTTCTTTTCAGGCTAAGACCATCCTTTTTTTTTGGTCTCAAAAGGTACCCTCTGGTAAACTAACATAGCTATGGAAAATCACCATTTTTAATGGGAAAATCCACTATAAATGGCCATTTTCAATAGCTATGTTAAATTACCAGAGGGTATTCAAGGTTTTTCTCGAGCTATACTGATTGAAGGATCGCCAACGAGATCTGGTACGGATGACTCGTCGGTGGAGATTTTTTTCGCCAGCATTTGGAATCATTACCATGGCATTAACCATAGCATGAACCAACATAGTTCAACTAAGAATGGTGGATTTCGTCCAGCAGTTTTTTTTTGAGAAACCATCGATTCGGCAGGTCATGTTCATTGATTTGTGCCTTGGCTGCGAATACAACAACTTATCCGGTTATCCTCGGGTCATTTGAACAGTTTGCGAACTGGAAGCCATGGCCCAGTCGAAATAGTTGTTTCTCCCATGAATAGCATGGTGATTTTCCAGTTCGTTATGTAGACGTTTACCAGAGGTTAATGGGGGTATTTTTGTACAATTTACACGAGGGTGAACCATCAAGCATCTAGGGATATAATTGATAAATGATACCATCTTGTTTTTTTAACATAGCCATGGAAAATCACCATGCTATTAAGAACGGTAAGCCATCTATTTCTATGGGCCATGGCTTCCATGGCAAACTGTTAGTCAGAACCAGAGGGTAGTTGGTGGATGTTATGTGATGATTGTAGGGAGTCAAAGTATCCGCTTACCATGCAAGATATGGGGGACTATCATCATCAATGGGGCCCAGCTGGGGGATCCAGCTGAACGGTGAAAAACCGGGATCCAGCCCATCTTCCAAGTGCTTTAGGGAACCCATGTGTCTTGAGTTTGTTTTAATGTTCTGTTGTGCCCAAAGTCCAAAAACCAGAAATCATTTTGGTGATTACAAATTTGCTGCTTGGTGGCTTGGAACATTTTTTATGACTTTCCATATATTGGGAATGTCATCATCCCAACTGACGAAGGCATATTATTCAGAGGGGTAGGTATACCACCAACCAGTTTGCAACTTTGGGCTTTTCTATGGTCCGAAAAATCTCCGAATTTTGATGATTCATTGAATGTTTTTCTTTGGCGATGCTTAACCATCGATGCTTGGCGCGGGGGGCAAAGTACCAAGTAGTTTCCGTTTCAGGTAGGTTTTCGGAGGCTGCCACCTATCTGTATCAAAACTCCGTGGCGTTCTTACCTGTCAGGGCCGGTGTCATGTAAGGAAGGGTAGGCCTAAGGAAGTCCCAGGTCCCATGTGCAAGTATTGCAGGTGTCTTTACCAGCGTTTGCCTGCAAATTGCCAGAATATGATTCCCCTGAGTTTTCTATCTACCCTCTGGTAAACTAACAGTTTGCTATGGAAAATCACTATGTTTTATAGGTAAATCAATGTAAATCATCTATAAATGGTCCATTTTCCAGTTCGCAAACTGTTACTGGTTGGTGGTTTGGAACATGAATTTTATGACTTTCCATATATTGGGAATGTCATCATCCCAACTGACGAACTCATATTTTTCAGGGGGGTAGGTCAACCACCAACCAGGTTAGTTTACTGCAGGGTAAGTGTAGCATATTGAAACACCAACCGCCAATCGCTTCGTCTCTCCTGAAAGTTCCCAGTGCTGCTCCAGGTGCTACTCCCGGACTCAGCTCTTCTACGATCCCAGTTTCTTCGGACAATATGCAGATCCCAGAGTGTCTTGGCATCCGCACAAAGACAACACATATTTGAGGCTTTTCCATAGTCATGGGTCCCCCAAAATGGATGGTTTATAATGGAAAATACTGAACATACCATTAACAATTGATGTTTTGGGGGTACCCCTATTTCAGGAAACACCCATTTGTGTCAATCTATCTAGACAATTGATAGGGAGCTCGAAAAATCTCACCGCATGTGATAAGTACTTCTACGGAAACCATGAACAACGGACTGTAGCCAGATTTGATGCTTGATGTACCCTCTGGTAAACGTTTACATAACTATGGAAAATCACCATGCTATTAATGGGAAAATCCACTATTTCGACTGGGCCATGTTCAATAGCTATTTTGACATAACCAGAGGGTAAATAACGGTAAGCTACAGTGTCCAGAGTCCGTAAACGGACCTGTCACGACCTGAAGAGATGGGAAACCTGCAAAGATTGAACCTGGAACCCTTGCTGGAAGACCATTTGTGATTGGTTTTGAAGGTCCCTCAAGTGCTAGAGGCAAACCTCTTGCTTGCGGGAGAAGAAACGAACATCCTTGTTGGATTCAATCTGAGAAGGCGCCAGTCCCAAGCCACGCGATTTAAATCTCTCAGGCGGGTCTGTCTGATTACAATTGTGGTAATCGAACAAATATACGTATAATGTGTAGAAAGTAAAAGATTACTTGCATAGTATTTTCATCCATGATAAATACGTGTGTGTATATGTAAATATATATATACACATATATATACATATATATATACACAATATATGTATACATATACATACATACACAATATGTATATATATATATATATATGTATATATATATGTATATATATATGTATATATATATATGTATATATATATATGTATATATATACATACAGATTGCAACCTCCCATTGCCAGATGAATCTCTAAGACTGCCGGAAGCTCATCCCTGAGGATTTCTTCATTTGGACCATCACCGATCAGGCGTGCGTCTGCCTTGCAAGATATCCTCAGCACGAGCAAGAAAAACAGGACTATCATGGATAATCTATGATAATCTACATATTTGACATTATTTCACGATCTGGCACAGTCTGCTAAAGCACATAGAATCATAGAATAGACACATACACACACACACAAACACACAAAAGGCAGATGGCTGCACTTTGAAGTAAATTCTGGATTGGCATCCTGCAATCCCAGAGAAGTAATACATGCCAATGAACCGTGAAACATAGCCTCATTATTGTATGACATCATATGTCGTGGTGGCGTCATGAAAAATGGCTCGCAAAGAACAAGTGCTCGCAGGATTTTTTCCACACTTAAAAGGCCTGTTCTTATTCTGAATACAAGCAGAAATCCCAAGGAAAACCCCTTTCTTCTCATTCCAGGCCACAAAGATAAAAATTGGGGTAGAGGCATCATTGACTGGTAGGATTGCTCTGGATAGATCCTAGCAGTCAACCATTACTTACAGGACAAACATATTTTTTTTGGGATCCACATCCATAGATACCAGTCATTTTTGGCGTTTCTTCACCGGGGGACTGGCCGAAAGAAGATGCGGAGCCCGGAGCCGCATCAGGAAACACTGGAGAGCTCGTATGAAGGCGGATATCTGAAGGACTGGCGCTTGATGGCTTTGACATTTCATTTTCTGGCTATTGAAGAGTTTGCTATGGGAAATGGCCTGTTTTGTTGGATGATTTATGATGATTTACCATGATCTACCTATTATATAAAGGTGATATTCCATAACGACGTTAAACAACCAGAGGATGGATTTCTGGTTGGTGGTTTCAGATTGTTTCCTGTTAAAAATCCCTAGCGATCTCCGGATTTTTGTTTATTTTTTCGGACTGAAACTAGCCACCAGAGGGGCCATGGACCTGATCAGCTTCCATTTGATTTCAAAGTGGACCAGTATATATGGAGGTTTCCTGAAATGGTACCCCAATAGCTGGATGGTTTTCATGGAAAATCCAAAAACAAACTAATAAGTTGAATGGATGATGACTGGGGGTAGGTGTCCATGACTTAGGACACCTCCATTTTTATGGCAAGTTTTGTTTACTTAAGTGACCCCAAGAAGGCCTTTGTTGGGTCATCCAGATTTCTTTTCTCTATTGTTAGATTCGATCATGACATGATTTCTGCAGGTCGGATAGATGCTCACAATCTGAAATTGTGGAATGGTGGATTTTGGAATGAACGCGTTTTGGATTATTTATTTGTTTATCCATGTTTTATGTAAATAAAAATCACCTATGTTTTAGAATAAACGCTCATCCAAAAATGGATTTTATGATTTATTTATCCATGTTTTGGAACAATGGTATCAGTGGGTGGTCACTTGCGCGATTTACCAGGCATTCACCTTCTCTTTGTCATCTGTTGTCAATCATAAAACAATCCTAAATTGGGGGTACAAGTCTGAACCAAAATCCTTCAAAATTGATTATTATCAATGAGGAAACCAATGGTTTGGGGTAGCCATATTTTAGGAAACCCACATTTAGCATTTTTCCCGGACAGTTTCCAACCATTTACTAACCGTGTTGAAAGTACTCAGAATTCCTTCCCCTGACATTAAAGGATATTCAGTACCCACCAATCAAAACGAATTGAGCGCAAAATTTCGAGGATATCTGATGTAATCGTGGGATTGGATTGCCCATGATGATCATGATCGCTAAAATTTGCACATCTGTTTGATGCCATTTTTGTTAAGCCCAACTTTTGGCTGACCGAATTCATCACCAATTGGCTGATGAAAAGCTGCTTAAATCCACGATCATACCAGTGCCATGAGATTAGACTCCCTATTCTTGTCCCAATCTCAGTAGGTTTTTTTTTTTTTTTAAAATACTCTCTACGGTGGTTGCGAAATCCTGCATCAGCAATTTTGGATGGTTTTTCAACCCCACCAAAATCCTGGGATGCAGCAACCACCGACCATTTTCAACTGCAGGTTTTCGCTGGCCCATCCACAGTATTATCATTAACAATCTATTGAACCGCCACAATTGTAGTGGTTTATCTAACCCATAACGATCAAAAAAAATAACATATCTTATATAATACCCTCTGGTAATTTAACATAGCTATGGGAAATCACAATCTTTTATAGGTAAATCAACTATTTCTATGGGCCATGTTCCATAGCTATGTAACAAATTACCAGAGGGTATACCATCATATATCCTAATAAATCCCATTGGATCCCATTAAATCCCATTAGATCCCATAAATGAAGCCCACGAACCCGAATGCTCACACGTATGTTAATGGTACAGATGTCAAAACACATGGTTATGCAGTCACGCACAATACCTTTCTGCAATAGTTTATTTGAACAGTCTTGTACATGTTTCCCTTGTTACCAGTCTGCAGTGTGGAGTGGAAAGTGTAGAGTGTGGAGTGTGGAGTGTGAAGTAAGGAGTGTGGAGGGTAAAGTGTGGAGTGGGGAGTTTAGAGTGTGTAAAGTGTAGAATGCGGAGTGTAAAGTCTAGAGTGTGGAGTATGGAGTGTAAAGTGTAGAGTGTGGAGTGTGGAGTGTAAAGTGTGGAGTGTAAAGTGGAAAGCGTGGAGTGTAAAGTGGAAAGCGTGGAGTGTAAAGTGTAAAGTGTGGAGTGTAGAGTGTATAGTGTAGAGTGTAAAGTGTAGAGTGTGGAGTGTGGAGTGTAAAGTGTGGAGTGTAAAGTGTAGTGTGGAGTGTGGAGTGTGGAGTGTAAAGTGTGGAGTGTAAAGTGTGGAGTGAGGAGTGTAAAGTGTGGAGTGTAAAGTGTGGAGTGTGGAGTGTGGAGTGGAAAGTGTGGAGTGGAGTGGAAAGTGTGAAGTGTGGAGTGAGGAGTGTAAAGTGTGGAGTGTGGAGTGAGGAGTGTAAAGTGTGGAGTGTGGAGTGTAAAGTGTGGAGTGTGGAGTGTAAAGTGTGGAGTGTGGAGCGTAAAGTGTAGAGTGTGGAGTCTGGAGTGGAAAGTGTAGAGTGTGGTGTGTAGAGTGTGGAGTGTGGTGTGTAAAGTGAGGAGTGTAAAGTGTGCAGTGAGGAGTGTAAAGTATAAAGTGTGGAGTGTACAGTAAAGTGTGGAGTGTGGAGTGCGGAGTGTGGAGTGGAAAGTGTAGAGTGTGGAGTGTGGAGTGTAAAGTGGGGAGTGTGGAGTGTAGAGTGTGGAGTGAGGAGTGTAAAGTGTAAAGTGTGGAGTGTGGAGTGTAAAGTGTGGAGTGCGAAATGTGGAGTGGAAAGTGTAGAGTGTGGTGTGTAGAGTGGAGCGTGGAGTGTAAAATGTAAAGTGTGGAGTGTAGAGTGTAAAGTGTAGAGTGTGGAGTGTGGAGTGTAGAGTGTAAAGTGTAGAGTGTAAAGTGTAGAGTGTGGAGTGTAGAGGGGAAAGTGTAGAGTGTGGAGTGTGGAGTGTAAAGTGTGGAGTGGGGAGTGTAGAGTGTGGAGTGAGGAGTGTAAAGTGTAAAGTGTGGAGTGTGGAGTGTAAAGTGTGGAGTGCGAAATGTGGAGTGGAAAGTGTAGAGTGTGGTGTGTAGAGTGGAGTGTGGAGAGTAAAATGTAAAGTGTGGAGTGTAGAGTGTAAAGTGTAGAGTGTGGAGTGTGGAGTGTAGAGTGTAGAGTGTAAAGTGTAGAGTGTAAAGAGTAGAGTGTGGAGTGTAGAGTGTGGAGTGTAGAGTGTAAAGTGTAGAGTGTGGAGTGTTGAGTGTAGAGTGTAGAGTGTAAAGTGTAGAGTGTAAAGTGTAGAGTGTGGAGTGTAGAGTGTAGAGTGACGAGTGTAAAGTGTGGAGTGAGGAGTGTAAAGTGTGGAGTGTGGAGTGTAAAGTGTGGAGTGTGGAGTGTGGAGTGGAAAGTGTGGAGTGTGAAGTGTGGAGTGTAAAGTAAGGAGTGTGTAGTGTAAAGTGTGGAGTGTAAAGTGTAGAGTGTGGAGTGTGGAGTGTAAAGCGTAGAGTGAGGAGTGAGGAGTGGAAAGTGTAGAGTGTAGTGTAAAGTGTGGAGTGTGGAGTGTAAAGTCTCAGGTGAGGAGAGAGGAGTGTAAAGTGCAAAGTGTAAAGCGTGGGGTGTAAAGTGTAGAGTGTGGAGTCTAAAGTGTAAATTGTGGAGTGTGGAGTGTAAAGAGTAGAGTGTGGAGTGCGGAGCGTCCCCCATAGACACGGCGACGCCAGAGGAAAACCAGAGACTCGAGACGAGACACGTGGGTGCAAAAAAACGAGCATTTCGTGCGAGACTTCCTCCAATTTTGATATTTTCCACACGTTATCAAACAGGTTGGAATGTCACAAAGTGCCACGCCTGCCACGCAAAACGACATGACAACCTGCTTGGACACATTCGAATAGGAGATGTTTTCCAGCTTCCCCCATAGACACGGCGACGCCACAGGAAAACCAGCGACTCGAGACAAGACACGTGGATGCAGAAAAACCAGCATTTTGTACGAGACTTCCGGCAATTTTCACAGTTGGCAACATGACAAAAGGACAGGTTTTGCAGCTTCCCCCATAGACACGGCGAAGCCACGGGAAAACCAGAGACTCGAGACGAGACACGTGGGAGCACCAAAACGAGCATTTCGTACGAGACTTCCGGCAATTTTCACAGTTGGCATCATGACAAAAAGACAAGTTTTGCAGCTTCCCCCATAGACACGGCGAGGCCACGGGAAAACCAGAGACGCGACACGAGACACGTGGGAGCGCCAAAACGAGCATTTCGTGCGAGACTTCCTCCAATTTTCACACTTTGTAGCTTCAAAATCGACGTTTTCCTACGAGTTTTCCTTAGAACCCGAAAATTTGCAACCTCAAAATCGATGTTTCGTGCGAGGCTTCCGTCAATTTTCAGCACATCGCACAAAATGCCACGCCTGCCACGGAATTTGCACTTTGTCGCCACTTGACGCAGCCCTGCCAATGCGATTTACAAAAAACACGCAACACGACACGTCTAAAGTGCTGCGCCTGCCACGAAAAATCACGATGGACATGTCCAAAGTGCTGCGCCTGCCACGAAAATGCAACACATCTGAAAACGTCGCAAAAGTATTGCGCCTGCCACACGAAACGACTTTCGACACGTTACAAAATACGTCTGAATGTCACGAAGTGCCATGGCTGCCACGCGAAACGAAGCAACGAGACGTTTGACACCTACAAAAAGCACCCCTCCTGCAGAACTTACCATAGGCACGGCCATATAGCAATCGCGCGGACGGTTGCGAACGGTTGCGAACGGTTGCGGACGGTTGCGGACGGTTGCGGACGGTTGCGACCGTGAACGCAACGTCGAGCGAACACACCTTCAACCCCCAGACCCCCAGAGTGAAACGGGAACCCTTGCTACGCATTCGGAACAAAACCATTAAATCCCATGAAAATCCTGTTTTTCCCGAGTCTTTTTTGGTTTCTTGATCATCCAATCCCCAGGAAAACGCCAGCGAGTTGATCTCCTTTGAAGGCCGTACCATGGCGAGCTCTGAAACAAAAACGTAACGCCAGTGGATGGTAACTGGTTGGTGGTGACTGGAACATTGCTTTAGTATGGGATAATGATGGTTAATGATGGTGAATACATGTTAATAATGGTTTATTTAGTTTATTTAAAAAAACTGTTAATTATGGTGTATGGTAGATATAACGAACTAGTTAATGGGGATTATTTCATGGTTTATAAAGCAACAAATTTGCTGGTTGGTGGTGACTGGAACCATGGAATTTGACATGACTTTCCAGAAACAGTTGGGAATAAGGTGAACAACTGACGAAGTCCATCATTTTTCAGAGGGGTAGGGCTCAAAACCGCCAACCAGATCATCTGTCAGTATATCAATGGAGGATTTTGCAAACGTGGGATGTATTCAACAATTATGGGGATGCAACTAGGACAAGCTAGGTTGTCAAGAAGCTTAATAGATGGGGTTTCATCTATTACCAAAGAGTACCCGGGACCCAGGTCAAAAAGGTTAATGGAACCAACATGGGGTCGTAATCAAGTAGAATTGCGGTATGGCGTTTTGTGCGCCCCAGCCTACCACGAGGCATGCAGGCAGTAATTACTTGGTTTTCTGGAAACCAGAGTTTTTGTCAGCAAAAAACTAGCCTTCTGCGGAAAGCAATTGTTTGACGTATCTTGACAGTTGCTTATTAAAGGGTTTATTTTTCAAAGTGAAACTCGCCTTTTGCTTTTGTGACAAGGTTCCAGACTGCAAACTTAAGCATTTTCCTAAGATCCAGAGGATTTTCTCCCTTTTTCAAGTTCCAAAACCATGCCCAAATCTTTCTTCAAATCAGCCTGATGCAGTCAAGGAGTCGAACAAATCGACTGGCAGAAACTTCCTACTGAAAAATCATCAGCTAAGGCTTTTTGGGGCACCTCTTATCCTAAATGTTGAGCCAGAAAAGCCCAGCCAAATGAAGAAAAAACGTGGGTCTGGGTTTGGGCAGAGAAGGTTCAGAAAATGCTATGTCCCAACTGCATCAAAGCCGGTGGAACAGTTTGGCGGTTTGCTGTATCCCCAAATTTCAATTACAAAATCCGAGAATTCTCCCGAACCATTTTCCGGTGACTCGAAATATCCTTCAATCTGGTCATCTTCGATGGCCAGAACGATGATCTTAGGCTGGAACACCAGTACCTACGAAGTGTTGACTCCGGAAGCACTGACCGATGCGACGACCCAAGTCGGAACGGAACGTTTCACGGAACGGCTGATGGGCTGCGGGTGACTCCCCATCCTCCCAAGAGGATCTAGGGCTTAGCATTTTTCAGATTTCACGCCCATCAACCTATTGTAATTAAAATGTTCCAACAAAGAGAGACGGCAGGATAAGTTCCCAAAGCCAGTTACAGCGGCGAAAATTGGATTCCCAGTTGTATTATTTCATTTAGGACTAAGGATTGGGTGTGATAGTCTTGGTTTCGCATAAGATGGCCACTTGGCAATGACACTAAGTCCAGACTCTACAGCTACCCAGAAAGCTTCTCGCACCTTGGGGTGAGCGAGAACATGGGAGAACCACTTTTGGTTGCCCAGCTGGATTACATCGAAAGAGGTCCTGCCTTGGGAAAGCACCCTCAGCAATTTCTGTGAATTCGGAACGTCTCAACCTGTTGCCACCTTGGCCCTCGTTTTTTTAGTGGAAATCACTAATATTTATAGATATTTCAGAAATGATCAAAATCCTCTCACAGTTGACCCTTTGTTTCACTATAGCACTCGACCAACAGCTGCATTTGACCCACACTCGACTCCGTGGTCGCCTTTTTGCAGCTGAGGTGAAGCTCAACTCTCGCTTCGTGAACTCCGGGATGAAATATTTGGCGTCCCGCCCGCCATGTCTTGCCACGGCAACGGCCACAAAACATGTTGAAACTTGGGTGCTGTGATACTCAACATGGAAAAACATCTGGGTTGTTTGGTACCTTAAGTTTGTTGGCTACATACACTTCTTGTTTGGACATATCAATTTAATTCAATTTATGTATGCTTCCATCTCGATTTATTTTTGGTTGACTGCACGATGATCCCCATTTTGGTTGTTGTTGCTGACCTCCCCACTTTTGCAAGTGAACATCCCCATTTGTGTTGAGTATAATCTTCAAATTTCGGTAGAGGTAATCCTTGGGTGCCCCAACCACTGATAGGTTGAGACTGAACCGTGAACCGCAATAACCCGAAAAAAAACATCGTTTATGTATCTGGTTCACAATGCGGACCAGCGGCCACGACAAAATTAGTCGATCCCCAGGGGGATCTGAAGAATTTTCAATGACCCAAGCTGAGCAGCCATAGAATCAAGCAATAATGAACTGATATGAACTGTAATTAGATTCCGGCTGGTCCTGTGAAACTTCGGCCCTAGCAAGGAATTTCTCTCCAAAACCAACAAGACGCACCGTTTGTTGAATCGGAACTGTCACAGGTCCCATTTCATGGGTTCAATGGAAATGTTTACTGGAAATCTGCACGATTTTGGTAATGTCAACCCTGGATGAGACTAAACCATGGTTTATTAATTAGGGGGTATTCCCCCAATAGTCATTTCATCTGATACTTAAATGGTATCCCCCCAATTAAACAGCCAAGGGGTTTATTAATCCAGGGTTGACATTACTCGTATAGATTTCTCCAGAAAACATAGCACCAACTCAGGGACGGCTCATTACGCTAGATTTTTATCCGATTTTTCCAATTTCAAGCACCAATTGGTCATAATTCTCGGAAATCCCAGTATTTATCATTTTCCATCAAATGTGCTTTCCTGCACATGTTCTACGCCAACCTAAATGTGGTAAAGCCAATGACCAACCGTCCCCAATTTCCTAAATTACCATGTTAGATGCATAAAAGTTATGGTGTTTATAATGACATTAGATAGTCAAAATGACTTGTAACGCCATAATTATAATGACTTTACCCAATGGGTTCATTATGGGGTTTTCCACTTTACTAAAAAAATGACTATCGATCAAAGTTGGCGTACCATTGGACCAAAATTCGTCGGCCATGGACCCATTTCAGACCCATGTCCACATATCATATTCTTAGTTATATCATATCCCCGTTATATTCGTTATATCTCATTCAATCACCCGTAACATGGCTTCACTACAAGATTTTCCGTGGCTTTCTATGCGATTTCTCCATATTTTTCTATGGTTTTCCATGGTTGTTCGCATGATTTTCTGATAGTTTTCCAGGGTTTTCCTAACATCTCACCAGCCTTTTTTGAACACGTCCACCACGACAGGCTCTGGATCAGCGGCTCCGCGTTGTTCTCCTTCGCCTGCTGCATCTGCACCGCCGATTGGAGGAGGCGCTTCACCGTGCCGTGCCTGCGAACGGCTTGTGGGGATTGAAGTCCGACCAACTGGATGGATAGATAAACATAGTGTGGTTAAAACAGTGTCACTAGGGTTATTAATGGTTATAGTTATATATGGTTATTAATAATGGCTAATGGTTATGAAAATGGTGGTTTTCATGGCTAGTTGATGGTTATTACAATAATGATTACTGTGGTTAAAACAATGTCATAAACCATCCATGACTGGGACTGGTTTATACTTACCACCCATAAAAATGGTGATGACGATGGTTTATGGCATTGTTTTATTGTTTCAGAGGTGTAGGTATACCACCAATTAGATATGAACATTGCGACCACATCCCGTGCATTTGAAACCGCAGAAAACTCGATGGATCCACCCGGCTGCGTCGCCTCGCAGGGCTCGGGTTCTACAGGAGATCAAATTGGAGGCCAGGTTTGCCAGCTGTGGAACAGACCGGTCATGCCGGTCTACCGGGATAAGGAACAGGATTTCACCGGTCAGATCTCGTGAATTTTTGGGCAAAAAAAAGAGGATTTCATCAGAGATCGTTTTTTTTTCATATGTTCAAGCGTTGGGATGTGACCATGAACAGTTGGGACTTTTTTTCCATGAAAACAATGGATTTTTCACAACCAAACGTTGAGATTTACCCTCTGGTAATTTAACACAGCTATTGAACATGGTTATTTATAGTGGATTTACCCATTAAACATGGTGATTTTCCATAGTTATGTTAGTTTACCAGAGGGTAATCTTCGAACATTGGGATCCAAGCTTCACATACTGGATAAACCAAGAGATATCAAGAGGTGAATGCCCCGAAAGATGTTCCAAAATGAAGCTCAACCCCGGTGAGAATACCATTGTCGTTACCAGATTTAGGTAATACAATGGTGGGCATGCTTGAACCTGAGGGTATATTTAGATGGTTCTATACCCCCTTTCTCATGTTCTAGGCAGTTCTTGGAGTTGTTGAGACTTCAATCAATCTCAAGAAACCACAACAAACCCAATAGTTCCCCCATTTATAAACATTTATATATAGCCTTATTCAACAGGGATGAATATAATGCTTACTATACTAATGAAATTCTCATTTACTGGTGGCCAAATTCCCATACTAGTCCTACCCTCTGGTAAACTAACATAACTATGGAAAATCACCATTTTTAATGGGACAAGTCACTATAAATGGCTATTTTCAATAGCAAACTGTTAGTTTCCCAGAGGGTACTGGTGGCCAAATTCCCATACTAGTCCTATATCATATCCATTACTATTCCCATTTTGCCGGTCTTCCAATCCTTCCAGTCCCCAGGAAGAAGAAAACCGTGCCCGCGCGAGAGAAGTTGAAGAGAAACCGGAGGCAGAAGAATTTTTGAAATCTGGATGCCCCAAGTTTCCATGGATCTTATAATAATATGGCAATGGGTCAAAACCCTGGTACCTAATGAACCCCAAAATAGCTGGTGAATGGATGTAAATGGATATTCATCTCACTAAAAGTTGATGATTTCATAGGTTTTGAACCATCTCCATATAAGGTGATTGGATGCCAATAGAAATAGGTCAATAATGCCAATAGGTTGATAATGCCAATAGGTTAATAATGCCAATAGGTCACCAGAAAATTGGTACCCCAAGTTAATATTGGCATAATATTTTGGATGATTATGCCGTCAATAATGGGCCAATTATCTCATAATATTATGGTTAATATTGGTCATCCATATATTATCCCATTATTTCCCATACTATTCCCATTTTGGTTAATATATGGAAAATCATAGGTATACAACATGCACAACATATTCCCATATTATCCCATTATTTCCCATAATGTCCCATTATTTCCCATAATAGTCCCATATTATTCCCATTTTGTTATTTGGTTAATATAGGGATAATCATGTTTTTTTTTTGACTTTGGAAAATACAACATTCTTGCGGAGTCCATAGGGACGATCGTGTTTTGTTGGGCCTTCAACAAAGCCGTTTGTACATCACTAAATTTACATGGCTTTGAAAATAGGCAAGCCTCAAAGTTGATGGTTGATCATCAATGATCATCAATGATCATCAGTGATCATCAATGATCATCAATGATCATCAATGATCATCAATGATCATCAATGATCATCAATGATCATCATTTTCTTATGTCATAGTGATAACATATGGCATTTTTTTCTGGAGTTTTGCTTATATATTTCAGACTCATCTGCCCCATGATCGCGAGAAGTTGCAAACCATGATGGAAGTTATTCATTGTGCCATAACAGTTATCCCGGGACTTTGGGACTTGGGATGTTTTAGCTTAGCCCCAAAATCACAGGACAGTATATAACTCCAATTTGTCTTCACCATCTCGTATCGGGGTTTGTGAATTTGGATACACCCAAAGTGGAATGATATGTAACCTCTGGTAAACTTACAAAAAACTATGGAACATCACCATTTTTAATCAATAGCTATGTTAGTTTAACGGAGGGTACATGCCATGCCCCCCCTATTATGGTTGGTTGCTGGGATGATTTACGATCGGGTTTACCACATTCAGGATTCACGATAGATCACAGCATGATAGTTTACAGTTTACATAAATCACTAAATCCGGTTCGATCATAATGAGTCACAAAAAGTCACAACGAAAATTTTGGCTTGTTTTGGAGTGGTCATTGAATTACAGTGGTCATTGAATAACAATGTAATTCCTTTTAAACCACAATTACCATGAAATAACAATGCATTTGTTCAAGGTGGTCTCCCCCCCATTCATAAGTTGGTTAAGAAAACCCCCAACTATAGATATATCTACCATAAACATCCATAAACCATCGTGCATCTAGTAAAGTATTGTAGCTAACTATGTGGCACCACCTCGCCACCTTGCCGGACCCTGCGTGGGATTCATTCGTAGGCTGCGGCGATTTCTGAAACGCCCAAAGAGACACCTGAGGTGCGGCTTTGAAGATGCCTTCCCAGAATTGACCGGAGAAAATCGAGATTTACCCGGCCTGGTAAATTAACATGACTATGGAAAATTACAATTTTTAATGGGTAAACCAACTATGAATTACCATTTTCAATAGCAAACTGTTAGTTTCCCAGAGGGTATCTATAGCAATTTGAACGGGATAAAATGACAAAAGAGACCCCAAAGGTAAACTACCAATGTTAAAAAAAAGATCAAGAAAATCCCTATGAAATCATCTAGAAATGCTGAGTTTTTCCACTATGTTAGTTTACAGGAGGGTATGTGGAGATCAAAATAACTTGATTTTAATGAGATGTTAGTAACCAACACGGATGATATTTGGTGGTTAACTTCATCATATTTGGATCTACCCTCTGCTAATAAAAAACATAGCTATTGAACATGGCCGATTGAGTTCGTTTTGATTTACCCATTAAGAGTGGTGATTTTCCAGTTCGCAAACTGTAAACGTTTATCAGAGGGTACCCTGGGTACCCTATTTTCCGACAAACCCAAATTTGCAGGACACCCCTGTATTTAGGTCTTCCTGAAAGTTTCCCTGTAATAGTTACTGCTATTAGGAACGATTCAAACTAACATGTGGTAACTGGCGATTTCATCACCTGCGACATGCGTTGAACGTGGCCAGGTGCCTCCAGCACCTCAACCAGCAGAGGCCAGCGAGGTGATCTCCGATTTTAGTAGTGGCTTGGTGGAGACGCTGTGATTCGAGAAAAAAAGAGACCACTTGGAACCACGAATCGGATCGGTTTTTAATCCCATAAGTATCCATAAGTGGGGATATTCATGGATATTCCACGATATTCCATATCTCACATGTTTTTTTTTTGAGCCACCAATCCACCAAGTGGGATGCGGCCTCAAGAAGATGGCGTTGTTTAACCCCCAAAAAACCAGTGGCTTAGGCTGGAAAATTCCCCCCAGCTGTAGTTCGATGATCACCGGTCACTTATGGTTTAACTACGATTTAACCATCGTGGAGATCCCTCAGACATCATGGAGATGGTGCTGAGTTGTTGAGTTTACAGATTTTGTTGGGGGAGTTTTACAAACACACAGGGATTCAACCATTAAAAAATGATGATTTAAACATAGAACAAACACGTCCCAAAGACGGGGAGTCATTCCACCAAAGTGTGGAATTAATCACTATTCAAAGAACAGATCACCAAAAAACAACACAACCAATATATAAATATGATATATGGCTTGTCCAAGCATGGGGAGATACCACAATTTATCTTCATAATTATATTGCCGTCAATTATACTAGAACCAGGGGTTAGGATCCATTTCAACCTAAAGGATCCGAAAGGTACATGATCAATGACAGCGACTGGTATGCTTAACCAGCCCCTTTGTTTTTCTGAACGGACATGATTGGTTTTGGAAAGCCACCGGTGTTGGGGGGTAGCTCCATGGGGGACAAAGTGTTTGGACACAACCATGTGATCACAAATGCATTCTTTGCGACTCTCTGTTTATGGGCTTCACTACTGCTGTTTCACAAAGCTTCATGGGGACATGGGATAGATTCCGGTCACAAACTATGAGCCACTTCTTGGGATGTTTTCCTTGCCGCCAAGCGGCGCATGCCGATGGTGCCAATCTTCCAAAGGAAGACTGGTCGAGCAAACGAACACCTAGCTGAGACAACCATGGATCCGTAGAAAACTGAAGTATCATGCCCTGGAACATTTAGGTGCATTAATTCCATCCCCCCGTTCATATTGAACACCCCCATTCTATGGTCCCAATTACCCTCTGGTAAACTAACATAACTATTGAAAATGGCCCAGTCGAAATAGTGGTTTAGTTAGCTGATTTACCCATTAAAAGTGGTGGATTGTTCCATAGTTATGTTAAATTACCAGAGGGTATGTGGAAATCCTCGAGAAAAACGATGGTTTCTCGGGGGGACGGGATGGTTGTTTCAAGGCTTTGACAAATTCGCAGCACATCGTGGCAACCGGTGGCAGCGTTTGAGAGAAACTCCAGCCATAAAGTGATGGGGGTTTCCTAAGTCATGGGGGTACCCCTAAATCATCCATTTTCTTTGGGATTTTCAATTGTAAGCCATCCATTTTGTATTTAAATATATTTAAATGTGTATTATATATATATATGCTCAGCCCCCCCCAACGACCCCCCTCAACCCGCCATCTGCTTCACTATGCTTGACTTGTGTCTGCACAGAACCACGTTGAAGTCACCAACGAGTCGACCCTGCCGCAGCAGCATCACTTTTGCTAAGCTGAGGTCTTATGCTGCTGTGAAAACTGCCTCTACGCACCAATCGCTAATAGGAAAATTTTTGCGCTTGAGACTTTCCTACTAACATTTTTTCTAAAATTTTGAAAGCATTGCATGTCGAAGAAGCAAATGCGATGATCCAGGAAGCAGTTTGGAATTGAAATGGCTGAGTTGAAGCTGGACAGATGCATGAATGACAGACAGGTCAAGGCAGTAGTTTGGATTTGAAACAGTTCAGTTACGGATTGGCAGATGCATGAGTGACAGACAGTGTTTGCATTTAAGAAATATTGGAGAAATTATGAGTTTTCATATTCTTATAATCTTCTGGGGTCACTCCATGAAACAATTAAAAAAAAACGAAGAAGCAAATGCGATGATCCAGGAAGCAGTTTGGAATTGAAATGGCTGAGTTGAAGCTGGACAGATGCATGAATGACAGACAGGTCAAGGCAGTAGTTTGGATTTGAAACAGTTCAGTTACGGATTGGCAGATGCATGAGTGATAGACAGTGTTTGCATTTAAGAAATATTGGAGAAATTATGAGTTTTCATATTCTTATAATCTTCTGGGGTCACTCCATGAAAAAACCAAAAAAACCTTGAGAAAACAAAAAAAACAAAAAAAACAATATTTTCAGACTCTTCTGGGGTCACTCCATGAAAAAACCAAAAAAACCTTGAGAAAACCAAAAAAAACAAAAAAAAACAATATTTAGCGATTCTTTGGGGGGGGGGCCCTCGAGATAGTTTCTAAATATTGTTTTTTTTGTTTTTGTTTTTTTTGGTTTTCTCAAGGTTTTTTTGGTTTTTTCATGGAGTGACCCCAGAAGAGTCTGAAAATATTGGTTTTTTTGGTGTTTTTAGTTTTTTTGGTTTTCTCAAGGTTTTTTTTGTTTTTTCATGGAGTGACCCCAGAAGAGTCTGAAAATATTGTTTTTTTTGTTTTTTTTGGTTTTCTCAAGGTTTTTTTTTGGTTTTTTCATGGAGTGACCCCAGAAGAGTCTGAAAATATTGTTTTTTTTTGTTTTTTTGTTTTTTTGGTTTTCTCAAGGTTTTTTTGTTTTTTTCATGGAGTGACCCCAGAAGAGTCTGAAAATATTGTTTTTTTTGTTTTTGTTTTTTGTTTTCCCGATGTTTTTTTGATTTTGGGCCGGCGGTCAATTGTGTTTCTATGGGGCCTTCCCCAAAGTGCCTTAAGATATTGTATTGTTATGACTATATACGAAGAAGACAAAAATGGAATACTAAAAATACGCATTTTATGCTGTAAATAACAATACAAATGACACATTGGGGGGTCGTAGGGGGGGGGGTGACCATATATATATATATATATGGACAGGGCTGCCATGTTGGTATGTTGGTGAAATGGCAACTTGGCTAACGAGACTTGTTTCCAAACACAAAACCCTAAACCCTAAAACCCAAATCTTACATGAAACCCGAAGTAAGCCTTGAAAGTAAAATCTTATCAAAACCCTGGCAAAGAACAGAAAAATACATGAACCCCTAAAGGAACCCTAAAGGAACTCTAAACAAACCCTAAAGAGTTGGTCCGATGACAAGCCTCTGGGCGGCAACCCCCGGCCTTCGGGCATATATAATTGTATGTATATAAATAGCATAACTAGGGAAAAAACACAACTTTTATATACTTTGATATGGTAAATCACCTATAACCGGGCCATTTTCCATAGCTACATTGTTAATTACCGGAGGTTAGAGAACAAGGAGGAATCTCAAACGCTTGGATCATGATATCGTGCTGCGATTAGCAGCCAAAGTGAGCTGTCCGTGCCAAGCGAAAGTGTTGCTTCAGCTTGGGGGTGACAGGTGATAGGTCTGCAGTAGTTGTATTTTTTTGCTTTTTCATAAAAGCAAATCATATCTGAACACATTAAAAGGAATCAAACGAATATTTGTAAATATATTGTTTGCCAGTTTTTGATGGTTGAGGCCTACCATCACAGTCTTGGCACTTGTAGCTTGATTCCGACATGCAGGGCACTGTTTGATTATGTTTGATTTACATATCAATAGATTAATACTATATACACTCTGCATATGTTGTAACCTCTGCCTGAATAGTTGTTTCTCATTTTCATTGCTGTTTATGTTTCCTTCAGATAGCCATAAGTTGGTAATTTTGGTCAGCTTATAACCAGCTTATAACATATATTAAACATCGTTACACCCCTTTTTAAAGCAGCTGGCTGGCTTTCCATGTTCGAAGAACGAACAGATGTATTTCCTTAACGCGGTATACAAACAGCGACGCCCAAGGTGATATTATGGATCACAGTTTGGGATCAAATCTGCAACTGGTTGGGATGTCATCCGAAACCCATTGACGAAGTCTTTCATTTTTTTCAAGATGGTTAAAAGATGTTAAGTCACCAACCAGACAAGCTCTGAACTCAACTTGCAATGGGGGATGTCGATGTCGTAAATTTTGTTTTTTTTTCTTCTTTTTACCACCTTCATGTTGCCAACGCAATGCCCCTTTTGGCAATGACGTGGCCGTAAGATTAGAGGCTCATCCAGTACTAATCGCCAGGAACGTTCACCGCGGAACCACCGTGATCAGTACCGAGTCAGGCTCAATCGATTCCCTTTTTCAAGCAGTCCTCAAAGCCCTTAAGTTTGCGGACCGGGATATTTCAGTGAAAGATTGTGAAAGTATTTTTTGTGTACTATATCAATCTAGATCATTTTTTGGAACAATTATGAACATATATACCCTCTGGTAAACTAACAGTTTGCTATTGATAATGGTGATTTAGTTCGTGGATTTACCCATTAACAATGGTGGATTGTTCCATAGTTATGTAAACATTTTTTATTTTCCATAATATATTGGGAATAATCATCCCAAGTGACGAACTCATATTTTTCAGAGGGGTAGGCTCAACCACCAACCAGATAACTATGGTTATCAATGGTTATATAATAAGGTTAATAATAATGGCTAATGGTTATTAATGGTGGTTTTCATGGCTAATATATATATATATATATATACATACCCTCTGGTTATTTAACATAGCCATGGAAAATGGCCCATTTATAGTTGATTTTCCCATTAAAACCTCCATTTATGGTTGGGATTTTCCAGTTAGCTATGTTAAATAACCAGATGGTATTTTCAGTAAATAGATGAAAACTTGGAAATACTAATCTATTTACATATATATATATATACATACATATATATATATATATATCCCTATCCTATTGATTCACAAAAGCCACAAAAGCCGAGGGTTCAGTGATTTGGCCACGGCTCAAAAAGAGGCCATCCACTGGCCCACGGCGAAAATGTTGCATTGTGAGTCGACGTTGAAGAACATGTAGTTTCTGACTAAAGCTGTCATAATGGGATTTAATGGGATTTAATAGGATTTAATGGGATTTAATAGGATTTAATGGGATTTAATGGGATTTAATGGGATTTAATAGGATTTAATGGGATTTACCGGGATTTAATGGGATATATGATGGTATACCCTCTGGTAAACGTTTACATAGCTGTTGAAAATCACCATGCTATTAATGGGAAAATCAACGAACTAAATGGACCATTTTCAATAGCGAACTGTTAGTTTACCAGAGCGTAGGAGTCTGAAATTCCAAACATGATTTCACAGCAGCTTTCAGAGCCCAGACATGTCCAGACAATTGGAAAAACAACCGTAGTCAACCAGATGATTTTCCATGCACACAGCTTAAGTACGACACACTGGAGATCCAGTTCATCCATCGCAATGTTGCCTTCTGTCCGTGGGACCTTTTCCGCTGTAGAGTGGCAGGTGGGGGAAGACTGGTTGGGTGGATAGATGATAGAGTGATGTGCAGAAAAGGGGTCGGTTCAAACAATTGGAACCACGAGTTTCACATGATGTAATCATTTCAGAAGGAATTTGAGTGGTCAGTACTGCTGGCTGCTGGCTTTGTGGAAAGCCCCAAATTCTGCTATGCGTCCAGTGATAGCCCCATTCTCCCCAGTTGATGGCTGATGAGGATCCAAATAGTGGTAACAAGAGTAATCATAACAAGTTCAAGATACAATACGAATAAACATGATGATGATGATGATGATGATGATGGTGGTGATGATGATGACGACGACGACGACGACGATGATGATTATGAACAATAGTGATAAGTAATAGATAGTAATAGGAACAACAACGCATCCATTCTCCCATTTCACGAGACTCGAAGGCTTCGCTGACTTCGCCTCGCGTCTTGCAGAGACGCTGGCGCAGACATCCCAAGGGCGGCATCTATGGCCCCAACTTCAACCACTTCCCCACCGAGGTGGGAGCCGAAATACCCCGAAGCCCATGGATTGATGTTGATGTTTGATGAAACATATGCATATGCCTCTATTTTGACAGCTTGAGGATCCGATTGACTATACATGATGTATATATATATATATATGTATATATAATTATTTATATATCATATATATATATATATCTATCTTGATTTGTCATATTTCATTAGTGATTCAAGCCAATTCCAATGCTGCTTAGTTGTCGCGAAACTCTCGTATTTTCTCCATTTCAGGAGCATGGATTCAGGGTCAACCAACGGGATCCAGGTGCAAAAAAAACTGCTGGCTGGCTTCAAACAGACACTGCTTGGTGCTTTGGAAATCCTTGGAGCCATGGAATTAGAAATGACTTTCCAGAAACAGTCGGGAATTTCATCATCCCAACTCACGAACAACCATATTTTTCAGAGGGGTAGGTATACCACCAACCATATATATATAACATAACTATGCAAAATCACCATGCTATGTAGCTGGGTAAATCAACTATTTCGACTGGGCCATATATCCCATTAAATCCCATTAAATCCCATTGAATCACCATTAAAGGTCCAATTTTTCATGGGTAAATCACCATTTTTCATGGGTAAATCAACTATTTCTATGGCCATTTTCAATAGTTTTTTGTGAATGTTTACCAGAGGGCTAGGCTCAACCAGCAGGACATCGACATCTCAGTTTGAAGCGCCGCCAGGTGAAGATGGATTGGCCGCCCAAGGATTGGGCTGGGCAGATCGGTTGGCAGTTGGCAGTTTTTTCAAAGGTCCCTAAGTCGCCAATATGGTTACTTAATCTAGCATAATATGGTCCAATAGGTTTAGTAAATAGATTAGTATTTCCAAGTTTTCATCTATTTACTGAAATTACCATCTGGTTATGACTAACATAGCTAACTGGAAAATCCCAACCATAAATGGAGGTATTAATAGGAACATCATCTATAAATGGGCCATTTTCCATGGCTATGTTAAATAAACAGAGGGTAATTAACAATGATCATCAATAGTCATCAATAAGCAAAAAAATCATCAGTACTGAATTATCAATAATCATCAATAATCATCAATAACCATCAACCATCATCAATAACCATCAATAATCATCAATTAAGCCACAATAAGCCAAACAAAATAACTCCAGTTCTAAACATGTTGACCAACGTTGAAGTTCCATCGTTGATGGTTCTTTACTGCGCCCACCTTGGCAGTTTCAGCGGAGGACCGAAGCCGTCTCTTTAAACTTCCAGAGTCCAAACGCTTGCTGTGCGTGTCGCATGGCTGGCTGGGACACCAAGATTGGCTTTTCTCGATGATCATCCGCAGCCAGGTTTGAGTAGGTTTTGTTGGTGAAAAGGAAATGCGCTGGTAAATGGGGACATTTTCCAGCGCCAGGTTTAAGTACCAGAGGGTATTCACCAATGATTATCCCATGAATATGCCATTAATGTGGTTACAATAATAAACCATCCCCCAGTCATCACCATAAATAGGTGGTATAAACCTTAAATATGGGTGGTTTATGGCATTGTTCTACCACATTCATATATCGTTTTGAGTTATGAAGAACATGAGGCCCCCGGTTGAATCAGATCGATGCCTTCATCTGGTATTTTTTCCGGGTCATCCCATGTTTCTTTTTGGGTTGAAGGGTACCCTCCGGAAAACTAACAGTTTGCGAACTGGAAAATTACCAATTGGTAGACAGTTTACCTATTATAGCATGGTGATTTTCCATAGCGAACTGTTAAATTACCAGAGGGTATCCCGGTATCGTTAGTGACACCACGAGTTGGGATATGGTAAAAGAATTGTGTGAGGATCTGGGTGGACTCCCCTTTTTTTCACCATGGGTTAACCAGTCGAAAAATGGTCATCCATGACGACTGAAGATGGGGCTACTCCATCTCCCTGCCATCATGATCTCATGGGGGGGAGTATTTTGGGCCAATTGTTCTGTCCCCAGGATCTGAATTGGTCATAGCTACCCTCTGGTGAACTAACATAGCAATGGAAAATGGCTATTTATAGTGGATTTTCCCATTAAGAATGGTGATTTTCCATTGCTATGTTAGTTCACCAGAGGGTAATTGAAGAGTTTGCCATGGAAAATCATCATTTTCAGCAGGTCAATCATTGATAGATGGGCCATTCTCCATGGCAAAATGCTAAATTACCAGAGGGTATACCATCGTATATCCTAATAAATCCCATTAAATCCCATTAAATCCCATTAAATCCCTATGATGTCTCATTGAATAGCCATTAAATAACAAACATCTTCGGAAGGTCAACGGTTGTCACTTACTTTTTCCCGGCGTCCGTAAAGCAAGGTACTACCCCGATGGTATCCGTTCAAAAGGCAACAAGGCCGGTATCCGCATGGATTGGCAATATGGAGGTTTGCTAAAATGATCCCCCAATAGCTGGATGGTTATAATTTGGAAAATCCTCTCAAAATGGATGAGAAATGGGAGTACCCCCATGACTTAGGAAATCTCCAAATGAATATAAATGAATGAGCTCACAACGACCTCATGATAATTGCAGCAGTGGCTGCAATCTACCCCTGTTGGTTGACGATTAGTTCGGGGATCAAAAACTATGTACCCAATATATTGGGGATTATCATAATTTCCATTAAGGGTTAACCTGTTCTGAACCAACCAATACAAAGGGATAACAATGTATTAATTTTTCAGGAACGCCATTCCCAAATACATGTTCCATTGAGATACTGGTAGTAGTAATGCGGAGAAACCACTGCCCCAAACCTGTCATTTGTTGCCGGCGGCGCAACGCCTCGGATGTGCCCCAAGGGGACCTGCCGTCACCCCCAAACGGGTCACAAAAAAAACTTTCCAAAGCTCTTCGCTGCTGATTTCATATGCCTACCACACTCATTGACGCAAGCTTGGTATTATAATGTATTATATCTACATCTACCCTCTGGTAAACTAACATAGCTATTGAAAATGGTGATTTATAGTGGATTTTCCCATGAAAAATGGTGATTTTCCAGTTCGCTACGTTAATTTACCAGAGGGTACATCCACTCCTTGTGGCTGACGATGGCTGACCATCACACAGCTTTTGGAGCACGGATTGATCGTCGTTTTACAACAATGGCCCTAAATTTGGGGGCCCAATTCACCATTTTCAGACAATGTGTGTTTTTTTTTTACTATAGTTGTGATTAATTATGATGATGATGATGATGATTATTATTATTATTGTTATTATCATCATCATTATTATTATTAGTTAATAATAATAATTTATTATTATCATTATATGTATATATATATATCATTACTCTTCGAATTAAATCCACACGAACTCCACGAATGAGTTCTCCTTCAGATTTCATGGATGCCGTCTACGGCCAGACCATCTCCACTGTGCTCTGTTTCGCCTCGCCTCACAAGCACAACCACATGGACAGTTTGACCATACAGGAGGTGGGAAGTCATGGGAAGTCATGGGAAGTCATGGGAAGTCATGGGAAGTCATGGGAAGTCATGGTATGTGGAACATCATGGTAATTTCATGGGGAAAAATGGATGAACATGGCTACTTTGATTGATATATCAGTGGGTCAAAAGCTATGACAATTATTGTATATTGACTTGTCAATTTTAGTGGAATGAACTATCAAATATGGAACATGAAGCGTGGAAAATGACATGTCATATGAAATATGACCACAATGACCACAGGTGACACACAATATGGAAAATGATGGAACATGGCTAGGTCAATGGGGAAATTTCTGATTATTGTTAGGGGAATAATGGCTGGTTGGTGGTTTCAAACATTTTTTATTTTCCACAATATATAGGATGTCATCCTTCCCATTGACGAAGTCATATTTTTCAAGATGGTTAAAACCATCATGATGGTGCCATGGTCAAGTTATAAGTGGATTTTGATTCACCCACTCCGACTGATTGGAATTTTGATGGCTAGCCATTGGATTGTTGGATTCCGTCAATTGACGGATTGGACGACCATAAACTATACCCTCTGGTAAACTAACATAGCTATTGAAAAAATATAGTGGATTTACCCATTAAAAATAGTGATTTTCCATAGCTATGTTAGTTTACCAGAGGTATACATCACATCAATATAGCACCAGTTTTGAGCATGGCACATATGACATGTGGCTGCGAAAGCACCGTTTTCGTTGATCATATGGGGATTATCACCGTCCATGAACTGGAAAATCCATGACCAGCCAGTATTTTTAGGAATGACAGAGTCTTCGGTGTGTCTGCAAAATGGGGTATGTAAATGTATGTAAATTATAGCCATTTATTGGCCGTTGAAATGGGACACGTGCTGATGTCCAAAATCCAAATCATTGGTGAACTTAGCCAGCATGAGGGTAAATGTACTGAAATCATTCTTTTGAGGGGCAATTGAGGGTCTAAGAAACTTACCCTCTGGTAAACTAAGAGTTTGCTATGGAAACCCACTCTTTTAAGAAAGCAAGTATATTTCTATGGGCCATGGCTTCAATCCATTTTCAATAGCTACGTTAGTCATAACCAGAGGGTATAAATAGGGATTCTCTTCACGATTCAACCTCGCTGATCAAAAACACACCTCCATTGGGGGATTCAACCTCAGCCATGGAGGGATCAACCTATCACGGATATCAGGGATAAAAAAAACCAACAAAACAAGCATTGAAAAAAAAATGAGAAAAGTGATGAAATCAGAACCACTAGACTTGGGATGATTTGGGTGTAGCCTATTTTCGATCAGCCAGACCTTTGTTGAAACCAAATAAGACCAGATGATCGCGCGGATATCGCGGATGACGCTTCTATGAACATTTCAGGATGTTCGCTGTTCCAGGTCAGGGTTTCAGCAGATTCCCATGTTTCCAGTTCGTTATGTGGTCAGGTTTACCAGAGGGTATACCATCATATATCCTAATAAATCCTCCTATTAAATCCCATTAAATCCCATTATGACAGCTTTAGTAAGATTGTCCTCACAAGCTCCGGGATTCATTTCCGGCTGGCCACGGGTGAAAACCCCCACCCGAAACAGTAACCGATGATGTTCGCGAACGTTCGCGACACCTCCACGGCTTGGCCACGGGGATTTTCCAAACATCTAGCTGATGACACCGGAGGGTACTCGGCCTGGTAAACCTGACCACATAACGAACTGGAAAACCACCATGCTATGTAGCTGGGAAAATCAACTATTTCGATTGGGCCATGTTCCATGTCGCTTTTTGTATGTTTACCAGAGGGTAATCACCATTAATTCACTATTAGCCATTAATAACCACCATTAATCACCATTAATCCACTATTAATCACTATTAACCATAGATATTCTGTTTGACTGGAAACACGTGTCCGTTTGACCTTGCTCCCTGATGACCCTAAAGTCACGTTTTACCTTGGTGCCTGCATGCCATCTCTCGATTCGGATGCCATAAAGATTGGATGGGCCTCACGTTTGAAATGCTTTAGCTATCCTTCCTGGTTGGTGGTGACTGGAACCATGGAATTTTATGACTTTCCATATATATATATATATTGGGAAGATTTTCATCCCAACTGACTTTCATATTTTTCAGAGGGGTAGGTATACCACCAACCAGCTTCACATTGTTTTTGGTTTGCCATATAATGCGTTGCTGAAAAATATTAAGAGCAAGCAAAATCCGATGGGCGTGTACAATTTCCACTATTCAAAAAAGCCAGCCGCCCAAAACAGAGAAAACCGTAATTTACACCACTATTTTAGTGGGATTCTAGAATTCTATCTTTTTTGGGGTTTGCATTTCTCTATTTCTGTAGCAAATTGAAAGACTCCACAATTTGGGAGTCTTTTTTATCATGCAGCCAACTCCCAAGTCCCTCCAAGATTGGGGAATGGTGATCAATCCATCTACCGAATCTACCATGTACCAGGTACCATGTACCATGTACCATGGCATATACGGGCCAGAAAATTCTGCTGAGAACTGTCAACTTGCTGGTTTCACACTGGTTTGAAGGTTTCGACTCTTGATATCTCTTGATATCTCTTGATATCTCTTGATATCTCTTGATATCTCTTGATATCTCTTGATATCTCTTGATATCTCTTGATATCTCTTGATATCTCTTGATCCACATCCGCGGGTTCGATGCAGGTTCGAAAGTTCTGGGAGCTGGAGACTGAAATCAAGGTGCTGCAGGGTCCCGAAGATTCACCGGCAAAGATGGCAACAGCCCCGGCGACCCTGCAACGGCCTAGCGGTTGATAGTGTGCGGTGATACCATCATGGCTTTTGGGATCATTACAGAATGAAAATCCTTGCATGATTTTGAGATACCCTCTGGTTATGACTAACATAGCCATGGAAGCCATGGCCAATTTATAGATGGTTTATCTAGCTATAACATGGTGATTTTCCATGGCTATGTTAGTTTACCAGAGGGTAAATTGCTAATAATTGATACAAACACGGACCCAAAGATGCTACCATCTCGAAAACCAAGATATGCAAGACAATACTCATCATGTGGAGTTCAGTCCACTGGCTTTTTTTCGCAGGATGGCTTCGGGTTGTGCCAAGCGAACCCAAACAGATAGGCAAAACTAAAACTGCTGGCTGGATATGTCTAGAAGTTATGCACAGAATACTATCAACCATATCAACATTTAGTCCAAACAAAAGCAGGTAGGGTATGAACCTTACTGACAATAAGGAGGCAAAATAGGTGGAACAAACGACTGGCAGCTGTTGAATTCCATCATATCATGCAGCTGGGAAGTGATCTTGCTGCAGTTGCATTTTCAGACCTGGTTTTGCATGATTTTGAGATACCCTCTGGTTATTTAACATAGCTATGGAAGCCATGGCCCATTTACAGATGATTTTCCCATTAAAGCCTCCATTTATAATGGATTTTCCAGTTAGCTATGTTAAATGACCAGATGGTATCTTGAGACAACATGCAGAGGTCATGTTGAAACCACCACATTCATCGTTTTTTTTTGTTTTTAACGCAGCTTCCAGGCGTTATGTCCAACCCAAAGCTGAAAGAAATCGGTGCAATGTATGGTTTTGGACATGGTTTTGCAAACACATGCTACTATGAGATACTATGAGCAAACACCGGCCTGGATTGTATAGTTTTTGCTGCTTATTTTGAGTTTGGATGACTACCATTTTGAAGACATGAAGTGACACAGGCTTGTTGATGAACATGAGAAAGATTCCCAAATCTCCAACGGGTCAAAATGATCAAACCCCAAAATGGAAGTAGCCTCCAGTGTCAGCATTCCCATGGCAGCCGCTGGGAAATCCCCTTTTTCTGTGATTGAGGTTTAGTTCGCTGGAAGAAACATCCATATAGGGGTTTCCTAAAATATGGGTACCCCCAAATCATCCATTTATAGATGGTTTTTTCATTATAAACCAACCATTTGGGGTACCTCATTTATGGAAATCCCCATATCTTTCCAGTGATTGTCCTTCAACGCCACGTTGACACCGGTGGCCAATGATTAGCCTCTTCTGGGTCGCGACAGAGGCGCACTTCAAGGACTGCGAAGCGAAATTGGAGGAGGACATCTTTCGACATATCGAGACTGTGATTTTTCGACATCTCCATGATGGATTGAAAATCATCCCTCAAGAGCCTTGTGAAACTAACGCTTAGTGAATTGTAATCTATCCAGATGATTAAAGATATTAAAGAGGAAAAGAAAGAGAACATTTGAGGCTCTTTAAGACGATGACTCTGCCAGAACAGATGCGACCAATTCGATGTCAGATCTCAGATCTCTGCCGATCCCAGGTGATCTTATCCAGATCCGCCTGTGGTAAAGCCAATGATAAATGGCTTGGTATAAACTAGTAAAAACCATCCCCAAATGCTAGTTGTTTATGGTGTTTATGGCATATGGCATTAATTTGATGAGTTGGTTTTTGGTGAATTCTTTCGTTCAATTTTTTGGTGTGCTTTCGTTCACATGGCGCCTCTGACATGTCGAATATCTCAACATCTCACATTTAGAATGTCGCCTCAAGGATGCCCTCTGGTAAACTAACATATATGTATATATGTATATATATATGTATATATATATATGTATAATATGTATATGTATATATATATATGTATATATATGTATATATATATGCATATATATATGTATATATTTATACATATGTATATATATATAAGGGAAATCACCATTTTTACTAGATAAATCAACCATAAATGATAATGTTCAATAGCAAACTATTAGTTTACCAGAGGGTGCGTTGTTTCTTCAACCACTTTTTCAGGTTCCGCACAGATCAGGAGATGGAATGGGACAAGACCTTGCAACATGTGTGCAAATAGAGGCAGCTTGGCTCGAACTCACCTCGCCTTGGCATCATCCACTCTGAGAAGATGTTTTGGAAGGTTGTTACCCCCATTTCTGATCATTTCTGATGATATCTGGTTGGTGGTGACTGGAACATTGTTAATATTGGTTAATCATAAATATATGGTTAATATATGGAAATACATGGTTAATATATGGAATTTTATGACTTTCCATATATTGAGAATTTCATAATCCCACTGACGAACTCATATATTTTTCAGAGGGGTTGAAATCACCAACCAGATATCCGTATCCACCAAATGATACGACAAGCATCCTTCTACATGAAAGTCTTTTTCCGGTTATGTCTCAAGAATAAGTCATTACAGTAAATCATGAAGCTGAGCAGGGGCAAAAGCGTTGTTTGTGTTCCTTCCATCAAACCAATGCAGCAATTTTTGATTTCTATAGTATTGTATACCCTCTGGTAAACTAACATAACTATGGAAAATCACAATTTTCAATGGGTAAATCCAATATAAATCACCGTTTTCAATAGCTTTTTGTTAGTTTACCAGAGGGTATGCTGCGCTATGTTTACCTATGTTTGGGTAATTTTTTGGGATTGCTGGAGGTCAATCTATCATAATCTATCACCCTCTACTGCTTCCCCGAAGAACTGAGGCTGCCGTCCTCCAGTTTCACAAAAACAGGAGTTCTCTGCGCCGAACCCGCGCGGATGGAAAACATCTGCGGGTGTCATGAAAGCTCAGGATATCATAACGTACGGATGAACGGAATTGTGCAGCAAAATTATTGATTACCCTCTGGTAAACTAACAGTTCGCGCCGCCTTGGGCAACTGGTGTTTTTTGACGCCTTTTGTTCTTTGCGTCTTGTGCTCTTTTGTTCCTGCGCCATTATCAGCGAGTGTTGCAAGCTTTGGCCAATTGTTTGAGAAAGTGCAATGGAACATTCCCCGACAAGTTAATTTAAGTTGTCTAAACATAAGTATATATATATGTATATAATATATCATATTATATTATATCATATTATATTATATTATATCATATTATATTATATTACATTATATTACATTATATTATATTATATATTATTATATTACATATATTATATTATATTAAATTATATTATATTATATTATATTATAGTCTATTATATTGTACTATACATTATATTATATTATATTATATTATATTTCTTGTATTATATTTTATTATATTATATTATATTTCTTATATTATATTTTATTATATTTTATTATATTATATTATATATATATTATATATATATTATGTTAAATATAGATATTATATATATACATACATGTGCTATATATATATATATGTGTACGTAAGTGAGAAATTTATGTGCATAAGTATAAACAAGAAGATATGTACATTTGTATGTATGCAATCATGAAAATAAATGTATGTGTATGCACATGTCTATATACGTATACAGTATATATATATACACATGTATCTAAATGTGACTTTCATTGTGTAATATTGTGAATATATATAATTATATATGTATGTATATAACCCAGGCAACCCCGAAGTTCACGAAGCATACATGACGTGAGCAAGTTCACAGGGACGTTAACATCCTCCCCCACACCCAAACCCTTAAAAAAGCAAAAAAAAGGGTTTCGTGACCAGTTGCTTGGGGGCGGCGTTGGGAACTACCATAGCTATTGAAAATGGTCATTTATGGTTGATTTACCTGGTGAAAATGGTGATTTTCCATAGTTATGTAGTTATGTTAGTTTACCAGAAGGTATTTGGTGTTTTTCCTTGTTCTTTAATTCACTATTCGATCCTACTTTCTGGGGGGTGATCTATTTATCATTATGTAACTATGTATCTATGTATCGATCGATCCATCCGTCATCCATTTGCCTATCCATCTCTCTGTCTATCTATTGATGTATGTATGATGTGTAATGTAATGTAATCTAATGTAATGCAATGCACTGCACATGTAACCTTATAATCTTAATGTTGATGTTAATGTGGATGTTAATGCTGATGTTAATGCCAATGCTAATGTTAAGGTGGCTGCCAATGTAATGCAAGGTTATGTTATGTTATGTTATGTTATGTTGTGTTATTAATGGTTACATATGATTATTAATCATGGTTAATGGTTATTAATGGTGGTTTTCATGGCTAGTTGATGGTTATGTTTTCAAGCAATACATGGATGCCCCACAGCCAACACCCACTTGGCCGCATGCGCAGCTGCTCATTGATGCGAGGCTTCCAGATACCCATTCATGGGGTATGGAAAAAGATCATCCACGTAGATCAGTGTGGAACATCACTGGTTGGTGGTTTGGAACCATGTTTTTTTGTTTACTTTCCATAATATATGGGAATACATAATACTCCCAACTGACGAACTCATATTTTTCAAGATGATTAAAACCACCAACCAGATCAGTTTTAAGACAAGAACAACATGTCATGAAACCTGGGAACACATCAATGCAGACTTTGCAGACTACTTGCAGTCTTAAATCAGGACACTGCAGAATCCAGCAGGATCAATCGATGTCTTCTTTTGCACCAGTTGATGACTAGGGTTCCCACCTGGTAGCAGCTTGTAACATGGACCATCTTTTTGGCTCAAACAAAACTGGGTTTTTATTCTGGGGTCATATACCATGATTACCCACATTTTCAATGCCTGGGATGTGGCTTAACGCACGATCAATTTGCTTCACAGGGACCGTTCGCGCGTTCGCAGAAAATGGACCCGCAAGCGGCTCATCGCATCGCAAAGTTAGATGAGGCCGGGAACCGCACAGAGGGACGGTGAATCCGGATGGGCCACCAACATAGCCTCCAACAGGTCATCAAAAATGGCAGTTGAAAGACCTCATCAGTTTTTCTTTATATAGATGAGTATGTATTGTATTGTATATATATATATGTATGTATTGTCTTGTCTTGTCTTGTCTTGTCATTGTATTGTATTGTATTGTATTATACTATATCATATTATGTCATATTATATTATGTTATTTTTTAATTATATCACATTATCCCATATTACATCATATCATATATTATATTATTATATTGTTTTAGATTGTATTTTATTGTATTGTATTAACTTACATTGTATTATATATTTCATCATATTATATCATATCATATTATATTATATTATATTATAATATAACATAATATAATATAACATAACATAATATAATATAATATAATATAATATTTGTATAATATATTACATATAGATTATATATAATATATCCCTATTGAAGATGGGAATTTTCAGAAGGATTTTGCATTCTTCATGAGGATGGTATCCCAGAACTGGATGATGGGTATTTGTCTTACAGGAAAATCCTCTACTTTCTGGTAAGAAGCATGGAAAAATTGAAGAAAACCATGGAACAATTGAAGAAAACCATGGAAAAATTGAAGAAAAACATGGAAACATTGAAGACAACCATGGTTTCAGAAGTAGATTTCTCTGAAAGCAATCCATTGATTTTTTGACCAATGTTGAAACACATCTTTGACCACAAAAAACAAACCCCTTTTAAAAATGGTGCTGCAGGGGGCGCGACACCTGTGATGTTTTGCTAAAGGATCCATGAGAGGACCTGTGATGCCTCGGAGGCTCCATGGCTTAACCGGTCAACATTTCTCACCCAAAAAACCATGGGTTTCAGACTGAAACCAATGACTTAATGTGGTAAATCCAATGCCATAATTGCCATAAATCCACAACTGAGGTTCATAAAATATCATGAAATATGAAATGGGGTATACCCTCTGGTAAACTCACCTTTTGCGAACTGGAAAATGACCATTTACAATGGGTAAATCCACTATAAACCACCATTTTCAATGGGTAAATCCCGTATAAATTGGTAATTTTCAATAGCAAACTGTGAAATTACCAGAGGGTATACCGTCATCCTAATAAATCCCATTAAATCCCATGGTTTGTTATTGGATTTACATGGATTTACATGGATTTACCACATGAATGGCCAGAACATGCTGAGATCAATGGCTGAGTCGATGTCCTTTTCCCATTGGTTGGTTGATTGTTTCAAGGTTTACCCCTTTAACAACAGGTTTGTTTGATGATAGATGGTATACCAGTCACCGGCCCATACCTATTTTTACCAAAAGGACAAATTTTTGGGGCCGGCGGCTGAGACAGGTCTTGCGGCAGGTGCCCTACCAGTTGGCTAGCTCAGCGGGTTCTTGGGAAATCCATCGGGGGAATTGGGAAATCTTTGGTGGGTTGTCCCCAGGACTGAAGCCATAGGGAAAATCATGATTTTTATGGGACTCGGACTCAATGTTTTTTTTTTTTACGAGATCTAATGGGATTTAATGGGATTTAATGGGATTTAATGGGATTTAATGGGATTTAATACGATTTAATGGGATTTATTAGGATATATGATGATATACCCCCTGGTAAACTAACAGTTTGCTATTGAACATGGCTGTTTATAGTTGATTAACCTACTATCAATGATGATTTTCGATGGCTATGTTAGTTTACCGGAGGGTTATGGATGGATTGGGGGTACATTATTTTCAGAGAACATCTTTTCAGATCATTTCTCTAGTCTTAAAAGGATCTAAACATGTTACAAGTCAACTGAGGAGTGGAGGTTGCAATGCCGCGGGTTTGAGAAGGAGAGGGAAACAACAAAACAATTATTCTGGTTGGTGGTTTGGAACATTCTTTATTTTTCCATATATTGGGACTAATAATCCCAACTGACTTTTATATTTTTCAGAGGGGTTGAAACCACCAACCAGTATTCTAATTTCTTTTGGTGGCTGATTTGTGTCTATTTGTGCCCACATATGTAGATAGATTTGAAATGATTTGAACACAGTGTAGCAAATCAAAACATGCCCAACAAAAAAACCCATTTCTCAACTGGCAGAAATGCTGACATGCAGTCATGCAGTCCAACAGATTTTTAGGGGCCCCTGAAAGCCCCTGAGGTACCAACACAAGAACCGTTTGCGGTCGGATGTCGCGCAACTTTTGCAGATCTTTGGCATCAGGGCCATGATGGTTTTAGACAGGGGGATGATGGCACCACACATGGCCTGAATACTAAAAATTATGTACAGGATGGGCCCCCCAGGATAGCTACGTTGAGATATAAGTGGCTTAAGTATGGTTTATGGTAGATATAACTATAGTTAATAAGGTTTATAAACCAACTTATAATTGAGGGGCACCATCCTGTATAGATGGTTATATTCTGACAACGGACTTGAGACTTTTTCTCTGGGACTTATTCTGATGTCTAGAAAATTCCCCATACCCTTCATAGCCCCTGAATCTCAGTGCAACCCAGGTGCAATTCCTAGTTTTACGAGAGTGCCTTCTTGCAACGGAAAACCATGAGACGCACATCGGTTTTTTATTCCCCAAACAGTGTGTCCACACTGAGGGGTTCTTACGGTAAGTGTAAAGGCCGGTGCTTGATCAGGGTCCTCACTCTGGGCTGCGGCATTTTTCTTGTAAATTTCCGTATAAACTGCGCAGGCTCGCACAAAGTGTGGTCCTAGCTTCTGTTTTGCGGCATTTTTCCTGTAAATTTCTGTATAAAGTGGCTCTTGGGAATTCTTGACATGCTTTTCGACTACGCAGGCTCACACAAAGTCTGCGCCGTGGTTTTAGGCCGCGGCATTTTTCGTGTACATTTCCGTATAAAGTGGCTCTTGTGACATGTTGAAGCGCATTTCGATTGCGCAGGCTCGGACAAATCGGTCTTCCTCCTCAACATCATCACTTGTTCCTCCTCAACATCAACATCATCATCTTCATCTCCCTTGACATCATCATCCTCAGCATAATCATCCTCCACCTCATCTTCCACAACATCATGATCCTCCACCTCATCTTCCGCAACATTATCATCCTTGTCATCCTCCCCAACATCATCATCCTCACCATCACCATCACCATCATCATCATCATCATCATCATCATCATCATGATCATCATCATGATCATCATCATGATCATCATCATGATCATCATGATCATGCATATTATCATTCATTATCCTCCCACTCCCACACACTGTTTGGGATCTCTTGCCGGGACAATCGGAATGTCTAGAGAAGTTCTCTATTGAACAGACAGAACCATCTGGATTAATTACACTGGTACATGCCACAGTTGTGCCAGTGAATTGGTTTAGATTATAGCCGTTATAGCAGCCCCCGAACAGATGCCGAAAACAGGGTTGAACCTGGAAAATTTGGGGAATGAACAATTTGGGGAAAACATCATGGAACCAACATCCTGGTTGCAACTCCATGGGTTTCCGGTCAACTGAGGAGCTGCAAGACCCTTCAACCGCAGACGGGCACCTTTTCCGGGGGCGCCCGAAGTGTCGGGTAGCCAAAGTGCTACCAGGAGTTTTGGAAGTTTGTTGCAAAGTAGACCGAACAGTTCTCACATGATCCCAACTTCTGGCTATCCTTTGATACCGCTTTCGAGATTTAATGTTTATAGCAACCTGCAAATAGATACAAAAGTAAACATCCTTGAAAATAAAAGTACCGTTCGCATTTTTTTGGGGTTACTCTTGTATTGGATGTCCTACATCAGTATGGCATAAGATTGCCACAAGATGGCTGAAAATTCATCCATTTCAGCCATTCACCAACGTGTATATACCCCCTAAAATTACGATTAGATTTGCCCAAGGAACCCCACCAAAAAACACATATTCCCTACAGATAAACCCATGCAGGGGGTAGAATTTCTAAATCTTAATACTTAATTTATCACTTTTGGAATTGATTCACCCAGAGTTGTTGATCCGTGATCAACTGCTCTGCGGCAATGTCGGCCTGTCAGCCAGTAGGGGTATCAACCCACCCTCTTGGGCAGGAACAACAAGACAAAGCACATCTTTGTTCATGTAAGATTGACCACTCACAGTTGATGAGGCATGTTCAGCTCGTTCATGTATTACTCTTTACCAACACTGGAGGAGTCCCGCAATTGAAAACTGTTTTGAAGAGGCAGATCCACCAACGGGTACTCGGACTAAAAGTAAAGGTCTCAGTCTCTCCTACTAGTAATGATAATCTTTGCGCTTCCATGTCACTTCCTGCTCCGCTGTTCATGGCTGGGTGTTTAACTGTATATTCTTGTTTTTGCTCAGAAGAGACATCCGGAAATGTCAGACAGTCCCTTGGATCCTTGGAATGTTCTCACTTGTGTTCATTTGGCGTTTCTTCAGTACAATGACCAGCAAACTAATCGCACGTACCCATCGAGCTAGGCTGTCATCGTCGTGAGCTAAGCCGACATAAGCCAAGGAAGCAACCCTCAACTTCAAAACAGGGGTCTGAATCCCTCAACAAACAGAAGACACTTGACAATAGCTACATGCTGGCGGTGCAGGTTGTGGCCTTGAATAAGCGTTTCCGACCCTATTTTGGACGAAGAATCCCTCTCACACCCCTTTTCCCCCTCTCAAAATCGCAGTTCAAGCACGATCATAGCTGAAAACTCACCTTTACCATGGCCATGGCCATGGCATCCCCGTCTCCGGTCCAACGCCAAAGATGCCTTTGGACCCCCTGCGTCACCGCCCCTGATGCCCCGCTCCGGGTCCGCCGGGAACTGCACGGTGCCGCTGGCGCCGCGGCCGGCTTCGCGGCCGCGGCGCTGCGGCCGCGGGCTTCGCGGCGCTTCCCGCGGCGGGGGCGAAGGACCCGGCGGTTCCTGCGGCCACGGTGAGTTTGCCGGAGGCCGGGGAGGGGGAGAGTTGGGATCTCCAACCCCCAGCCATGCTGGCAAGATCTGGCAAGGTTTTTTTGTTGGGAAACTGCAGGGAAAACTGCTCAGTTGCCCCATTTGATGGATTGGAACGAAGTAAACAGAATGAACTTGGGAGTTTAAAGTTTTCTGTTTTGATTTCTGGCAATACATGATTCTCAGCATTTCCCAGCATTCACTGTTGTTATTGGGTTTAATCCCCATCTTTGTGCTGTTTGTGCGTGGAATTCTTTTATGGCATATCCCAATTGCTTTGGCTATGTTAACTATCTTGCTTATATCAGCATGTTTGGTGCTGGTATCCCCACGGAACCTTAAGAATTCCGACATATTCCAAGATCAACTGCTAGGAAATTCGCCTCAGTGCCACAGTCTCATGCCAGTTTAAAAGACATTGCTAGATTACCTTCCTCGATGATCCATTTAATTACATAGTCCTACAGGATGGTGCCCCCCCAGTTGTGTTTGTTGGTTTATAACCCCATCTAAATATAATTATAAGTATCATACACTATTGTTATTATAGTTATGTTCACCAACTGAACGCTAACTGTGGGGCCCCATCCTGTAGGTACTATTTGAGCTGAAGCATCCACACTGATATACTGGCGACATCTGGCAACTGTGACATGCAGTAAAGTTCATTTGATGCTTCTCTGCTGTTCTGGGCCCCAGGTAGAGTACCAACAAATACAGAACTGTGTTTGTTATTCGAATATATCCGAGTTGTGCTTTTTACATGCTCACTTCTCACAGTATATTCACAGTTTATCTTATCCGTTTTGGCATTTCACATATATATATATATTATATATATATATTTAATGTAAACTTATATCACACAGGTACGTATTATTATATGAATATAATTATGTATAACTATATATATATATTATATGCATGTACATTCTCAATATTATTGTATTTTATCTGAGCATAATTATTTAAGTAGATATGGACATACACTGTTGTTTGAATATATTTCAATAGAACATATATATATATATATTGATGAAGAGTAAGCATCATTGTTTGAATATGTTTCAATATATTTACTGGTTGGTGGTTTGGAACATTTTTTTCCATAGTATATGGAATAATCCTTCCCATTGACGAACTCATATTTTTCAAGATGGTTATTGCACCACCAACCAGTATTGAACTATATCATAGATGTTGATGATGATACATCTTATCTGATGGGATTAGAAGATTACTATAAATACCATTGATGGTGATTAATAGAATATTAATAATTATCATGGATGGCGATATTTTTGAATCTCCAAATGCATCTGATGTCCGAAAGCCGTCGCCGGATACAGAAAGGTGCTACGCTTTGTTTGGCCCGTAATGCTCACCTTCCTGGCCTCGACGTTTCTCGGCCGTGGGCCTGGAAAATCTGTGGATTTTCTATATGGAACATGTAGAAAAAATATGAGGAATATTTGGGAATATATGATATATATTTTTTGATAGATATTTGATATTTGGATATGATAGATATTTATGTTGAAGCATAGACATTTGGCTTCATTTGTAGATCTTCAGTCTACATAGCGCTTGGTAATTTAACATAGCTATAGACAATCATCATTTTATATAACAGGTAAATCATAATAAATCATCTATAAATAGGCAATTTTCTATAGCTATATTATATTAAATAACCAAAGGGATACAAAATACAGATATGTGCATAATATGTGCACAGGATATGTTAGCATGTCTATTCAATGAATACATATATATATATATATGTATATACAAATAATGTATACCCATATGAATCAGCAAAATGGATTGGAGATATCTTTGAATGTGAGCCAATCATGTTGCAAATTATTTGGAACGAACGCTTCGTCAATAACCCTGATTCGAAGTATGGGGAATTGTGCCATTTCTTCGGGAAAGTCAAGTGTCGATAACTTGATCCAATGCTCAATACCTCAAGAACCAACGTTTGATTATTCACTGTAGGTATGATAATGATAATAATGACATTCCATGGATAGATCAAGAGGTAGGCATATCAGCCAATGTTTGCTTCGAGCATGGAAGGAGCTACAGAGCCAGGGAATGTTAATGTATTGATTAATGACCGTTAGTTTGGAGATGTTTTGAGGGTTGGCCATCCCATTTTAGAGGGCAAATATCCCAAAGTCAGGGTCAGGTGGGGTTCAGGTATGTTTATTTTCTTCTTTCGTTTAAAAGAATCAGTCCATCCATCCAAACCGACAGCATGCATTCATTGCATCTTACAACTTCCAGATGTTTCCAGCTTTCCAGCCATGCCTGGTTCCAAGTTTGTGAAAATCACACATCCGGCACAACCGCAGTATCCCAAAATGAACAGACACTTTTTTTTTTGGGCTTGAACACATCTGGACAAAGCTAAGTTGTGTCCATGTGTGACTGAAAATCTACCATAATATCCAAAATACCCGTATTTATTCCACATCTTCCAAATTAAGTATCCGAAATGCCACAAGAACAAAACTACCCTCCAGTAAACTATAGAATAGATATGAAACCCCCACCAGAACAATGTAGCTTTCATTTTACGAATTGGCAACCATGGGTTTTCATGGGTTTTCCGTTTGTATATGTACATGTATATCTATATCTATACCTATATCTATATCTATATCTATCTATCTATCTGTCTGTCTGTCTGTCTATCTGTCTATCTGTCTGTCTATCTATCTATCTATCTAGCTAGCTAGCTATCTATCTATCTATCCATCTATCTACCTACTATATATATATATATGTATCAATTAACCCTTTGGTAAATCCACTGGCAAATGATCATCTTCCCTTTTTCAGAGTGGCCATTGGGATGCAATATCCCTTGGTGAAATTTCCATGGAAATGACCTTTTCTTTGTTCAAATCACCAAAAGAATCAGGTCGACTCCTCATTTTTCCCTCATTTTTCCCTCATTTTTCCTCATGAAATCCATGAAAGATCCATGAAAAATCCATGAAAAATCCATCGAACTCCCCCCATTTTCGATGGCTTCCCTATGGCTTCCGCCGCTTCGCAGGGTCCAGGGCCTCATCGATTCCGCCTTCGTGGGTCGCTGTGGTGGCTCGGTCCAGCTGGCAGCGCTGGCGCCGGGCACCAGCTGGCTGGACAGCCTGTCGTATCTGCCCCTTGCGCGAAGGGATTCCGGGGATTTTACCTATAAAAAATGGTGGTTCAATGGTGATTCAATGGTGATTTAACGGGATTTAATGGGATTTAATGGGATTTAATGGGATTTAATGGGATTTATTAGGATATATGATGATATAGCCTCTGGTAAACCAACAGTTTGCTATTGAACATGGCCATAGAAATAGTTGATTTACCCATTAATAGCATGGTGATTTTCCATAGTTATGTAAACGTTTACCAGAGGGTAACTGACAGTGACACCAAAAAACGGTGGATTCTTAGAGATTGGGAAAATGTGTTGAATGATTTTACCATTTTTGCTGACAATTGCTGGTGTGAATCCACCTAGATATCCCTAGAAAATCCAGTCATCATGATTTCCCCTATCAAAATCGCCCACTGGTTGGTGGTTTCAAACATTTTTCGTTTTCCATAATATGTGGGATAATCCTTTCCATTGACTAATATTTATTGTCCATAGATGGTGAAGGATTTGTATAGACTTATTTATATAAAATCTATAGATGATTTATTTTCCATAGATGAATGATGGTGATATAGATATGATATCCCATTTGATGAGACTTGAATATTACAGTAAAGATGTTTTTTTCCATAGATGGTGAATGATGGTGATATAGATATGATATATCTGATCTGATGGGATTATGATTTACTATGCACATATGTTTTCTAGATGATATCTATAGAATGCTTTATATAAAATATATAGATGATTTTATATGACATATATTGAAATATATCATGGATGGTGATGATGATACATCTGATCTGATGGGATTAGAATATTACTATAAATATCATTTATAGATGGTTTCTGGATGATTTCCATAGAATTATTTTTATACAACCTATAGGTAATTGTATATGGAATATATAATGTATTTATAGCTGGTTTATAGATGAATTATAGATAAAATTCTGTTGGGATGGGGAATATATTTCGAAAAACATTTGGAATAGAATCTAGAACAACATATATGCTCCTTGTATTGAAATCCAAAAAATAGATTATGAATCTTCTAGTTAGGGATTAATAGATGATTTATTTGTATCTAATTGGGTACATCATTTATGTGATTTCTATAGATATTTGTAGAGGTATTGATAATGATATAAATTCTATAGATGATGGATATTATATGCATTTATCTATATCTATAGGATTTGTAGATTATTTACTGTATAGGATTTCTGGATGATTCCCAAAAAGATTGAACAGTTGAAGCCTACTAAAATAGTGATAAATCACTTTTCCTTTCTTTTTTTGGAGGGTGATGGTAGATAGATATCTAGAAACGAGTTCTATAGACATCTATATCATTTATAGGTAAAGAGATCCATCATGGGATATTATTGCTGATTTCATGTGGAAACCATGGGAGCACGAGAAAAAACGTCGTAAAACATGGAAACAAAAAGATATGAGCAAAACATGACCAAGACCCGCGCAGTCGATCTTCTCCATAGTCAAGTATTTTGGGATGCTGAACTATGTCCTGTGTCCAGACTAGGGTTTCTTGCGGTAGATGATCAAGGGTCTGTTTTTTTTTCAAAATGAGATTTAGCCCCAAACAAGTTCCCAAATGAGGATTGTATCCATTGTTGATTCAGTAACTGAGCCACTCATGAGGTACCCCCTTGAAAAATTGTCTGGATGCTGTTTTTTAACAAGGGTTTAATAAGGCATCCAATTATTTGGGAAACCTTGCATTTTAAAGCTTTAACACAAATATGGCTTTCTAAAGTAAAAGGACCAGCTTTACCCAAAGAAAGGTGGAGAAAGGGTTTTGTTTTTATTTTTCACTCCAAAAAGTTGGTGCTCACAATAGAGTACCGTCCAGACAATTATATTATTCAGTAACTGAGCCACTCATGAGGTACCCCCGGTACCCCCTTGAAAAATTGTCTGGATGCTGTTTTTTAATAAGGGTTTATTAATAAGGCATCCAATTATTTGGGAAACCTTGCATTTTAAAGCTTTAACACAAATATGGCTTTCTAAAGTAAAAAGACCAGCTTTACCCAAAGAAAGGTGGAGAAAGGGTTTTGTTTTTATTTTTCACTCCAAAAAGTTGGTGCTCACAATAGAGTACCATCCAGACAATTATATTATTCAGTAACTGAGCCACTCATAGTGTAGTTAATTAATCAAAAAGGAAGCAATTAAAAAAACATATAAAAAAGGAAACAATTTACCCCAAAAATGAAACAATAATAAATAAAAATAAAAATGAAAATAAACAATTTAAAACATAATAATTAAATAAACATAAAATATAAATATATAACATAAAAAACAACAAATAATTTTAAAAAATAAAACATTTGAAAAAAATGAAAAAACAATAAATATGAAAAACATCTCACAATAGAGGCCCCCCACAAACAGCATGTTACTGAATTAGGAGCCAAACAATTCTCACAATAGGGTACCATGACACTAATCGGGTGCAAGCATTAACCATAGTTAACCATAGTTAACCATAGTTAACTTAACCAGTAACGAATGGGATAACTTCTTATACCCTCGTCCCAAAAGTCCCAAATCCACCAGGTTATCTTTCATCTCCATTGGTACGTTGAACGTCTTAGCCACCGCCAAAGATGCGGAAAGCCGTGAACGGCTCCTCTCACGTTCCGTGATGGTGGCATGGTGCGTGGGTACCTTGGCGATCAAACCTTACCCCGGCAGGTGATTGGGGTTACTAATGGCTAGTAATCTGGGTACCCTCTGGTCAACTAACAGTTTGCGAACTGGAACATCTGAATTTTTAATGGGTGAATCAACTATTTAAATGGCCATTTTCAATAGCAAACTGTTAAATTACCAGAGGGCAAATTTCATCGTGACCTCGCGTCGCGACCTCACTAGCATCATGGTTAGGATTTGGGTAATTATCCCAACATAATTTACCCAGATTAATGGCTTCATAATGGCTATGAATGGCAATTTCTATGGGACATAATTGGGATATGATGGAATTTCTGATGAGATATGATGGAAAGAAATGGCTGTTATGGTCATATACTGGGTTGTAAAGCCAACCACTTTGTGGGATGTTAGATGGATATAAACAATATTAGTGAATTTTTTCTGGACGATTTTCATGGGATTCTAATCCCTTCTCAATACCAAACAGCCCCATGAAATCACAGTGTAGGGGTTGAACCCCCATATGACTGGGACTTTGATCATGGGAGATGGGATGAGTTATATAGGTTTACTATCAACATCCATATTAACAACAGTAGTAAACTAACTCATCCCGTTGTATATTATTATTATTATCAACATCCACTATATATTATTGTACTATGTACTATTATTGTACTAACAATGATACCTATTGTTGTGGGTCAAAATAGTACAATCATATATAGTGGAATGGTGTACTATGGACTCTTATGACCCACAACGATGCCTATCAACCAAGCAGTCTTTCATGGGACCGAGCTATGATCAAATGGGTCAACAGTTTCCTTTGGAGTTTCGGAGTTTCTTTGAGACTTCAAGCAACATCAATGTGGGCAACCCGGCAACCCTGCCATAAACCTACCCTACCATGACTGGGAAGGATTTATACATATGGCAGTGTGTCAAAACCTTGTACCCCTGGTGAACATCAAAATAGCTGGTAAATGGATGTTCATCCCACTAAAAATGGTATTAATAGGAATTGATCCATACCCATATCAGCTATAAATTTATGGTGAGCAGCTACAGGGGATGGCACCGTCGCTCAGAGCCCTTTTTTGTGTCATCAAACCTGGAACATCCCCGACGTGGCCCTTCTGGCTGATCTTATCTCACTCTAACAATAGTGTATACTTTACGAACATGACTGGGGGATGATACATGTGTTTATAAATAATTACATGGGTATATATATATTTACATGTTTCTTTTCAAGCAACAAACATTCAACTGGGGTGCACCATCCCTTTTTCGATGTTCCCGTTGACCGTTCCCAGAAAAACAGGGCCATTTCACGTTGACCGTGACCTCAGGGGGATGATTCCCCGATTTTTCGACTGGATATGGGCCATATGGGCATTGATCGATATGGTCACTTTTATAGAATAGATGGTGGATTGTTCGAGATTTTTCCATGGAATTTGTTCATGGTGATTTATTGCGATTTGACCTTGTACTTATCAATATCAACTGTATACAATATGTGTATATATATATAAATAAATATATAAATAAATAAATAAATAAATGAATACATATATATATATAATGCCAAGAATCATAGACTTTTTTCAATGAACCTAATTCACACAGTTTTTTTTTTTTTTCGATGGACATCCATAGGGTAATACGAAGGACTTCGCCACCAACCGGGCCGCTGATTTCACATTCCTTAGGCGCAGTGGCAGCTGTGCCCTGTATGATCTGGGCCCCCTATTTAGTCGCCCTGTGCGTCTTGGCATGTGGCTGGTGGCTGATATCCTACCATGCCATGGTGGTCAACGGGTTTAGGGTTGGTCTAGGGTTTCAAACTGCCCGATGTTTCCATCAATGACGAGCATTTTTTTTGTGGGAGTGGCTTGTTCCCACCAACCAGAAATTCATGCGCGAGCGGCGAGGTACCGGGTATATTTCGTTTGGTGATTTGAGATCATAGATGTCCTTTTCCCACTGGTTGGTAGATGATAATAGATAGCCTTTGGTTATTTAATATAGCCATGGTATAGATGGCCCATAGAAATAGATGGTTTACCGTTCTTAATAGCATGGTGATCTTCCATCAACCTGTTAAATAACCGTAGTATACGAAACCGGACCCCCTATTTGTCCTACAAGGACAATATTGTTTGAGATGTCATTCAATTTGTCGTTCCCGGGGATGATGAGCTGAATTTGCCAAAAAGTGAAGGACAAGGTCCGCTTGATGTTGTGCCAAATCTGAGATTCTCTTGTTGGTGTTGTTGGCTTTCAGATTTCATTTCACTAAGGGAGATTCAGAAACATCCCAGCTTGGGATAAATCGTACTGATTCTGGATTGCATCATGAAGTACCCAATCATTTGATAGTAAATTGTGTAGTAATTCTGGATTGGATTAGTATTTGCTACTAAATGTCTGGGTAAATAATAATTAGATGATTGCTTCCCCAATAACCAACGCGTTTTTCTGTAGCTGGGAACGTCCCAATGCCACACCCGTTTTTTGGAAGGGACCCTCTTGGGACATCAAACGAGAGGAAACCACACAAGTTCCGAACTCAAACATGAAACGTTGGATGACTATTGGTTTGGAATATTTGTAACTATAACTGGTTGGTGGTTTGGAACATGAAGTTTATGACTTTCCATATATTGGGAATGTCATCATCCCAACTGATTTTCACTCCATCATTTTTCAGAGGGGTAGGGCTCAACCACCAACCAGATAAGGATTTCTGCTTCTGGAAATATCATGTTCTTGTTGCTTCAAAGCCATTTCTGAAAGAAAATAGGCAATTCTTTCTTAGTTTTTAGGACAGTTGAGGAGTCAAATCTGGGGTCCAACTTTGGATGCTAAGCACGCACCATGACTAGTCTCGGGATGCGCCAATTTGTCCAATTTTTTCGGAGCCATGGCCAGATTTTTGGTGCTGATATATCTGATATTCTGGAAATATGAAATCTCTCAACTCTAAATACGGCTTTCAGTGGCGAAATCTCAGTCGCCAGTTGGTCAGATCGCCAGTTTTTGTTGGTGACATTTGAACGCTTTTTGCTGATCACAATTGTGCTCGTTGCATCTCTATTTTTGGTCAATTAGATCACCAGCCTTTGTCAATTACAACATCCATCAAATGTCAGTTAGATCAGTTACCCTCTGGTTATTTAACATAGCCATGGAAAATCCCAACCATAAATGGAGGTTTCTAGCTGGGAAAATCATCTATAAATGGGCCATTTTCCATGGCGAACTGTTAGTCATAACCAGATCAGTGAGATGCAGTTCTTCCACTTCCATGGTGAAATCTCGCCCTTGGGAGATCCCTTGAGTCGGAGTCCTTACCACGAAGCCGGGAAGCCTTTCTTTCCTTTCTTGGCCTTACCTTTTCCCCAGGTTTACCTGTGTCTTATTGGTCAATATTGGTCATTTGTTTTCAGGAGAATATATAGCCCTTACCTTTATGACAAACCTCCATCTATGCATATCGTCATGCGACATTTCTCCAATCTCGGACCCGTCCCACGGTCCGCCTTTCGCGCCGCGTGAAGTTAGGCGGTGCTCGGGGACCTGTCGTGCCCTTTGCGGCCAGCAACTCGGACGATGATCGTTGGATCATTCGTGGTTATTGGCATTAATGAATTAGTGATACATCAACAATATGAATGGATAATCCATGATAATCATTCATGTTCATGAACGGAGAATTGCAAAATAGATACTTAATGAAGGCAGTAATGATCATCCAATGATAACTTAATGGAACCGTTAACTTAATGAACTTAATGAAGGTTTGGATTCATGTATAATAAATATAACTTAATATCTTTGGATTAATGGAATATTAACTTAATGAAGGCAGTAATGATCATCCAATGATATATTATATCGAATATTAACATAATGACTTAATGATATCAATCAACTATTAGGCTTAATGATCATGAATGGAATATTGAACTTAATTGATATACTAATGGGATATTGGGCAGTAATCTCTTGAAGTTATACCATTGTTTTCCACCATTGTAGGTAAATGTAGGTAAGTCATTTCCACAAGGGGGGAAAAATTGGTGAGTTTTACAATTTTACCATATTTTACCTCTATATTTAGCTATTTTTTTTCCCCCTCCCCTTGTATCTGGGGTGTTGGGAGCAGCCATGATCATTGGGTGCTCATCATATCTGGATGAATTATTGCTGACCTCACGCCGTGACGTCACTGGAAGATCTAGAAACATGGTTTACCCTCTGGTTATGTCAACAGTTTGCTATTGAAAATGGCCCATTTATAGTGAGTTTTCCCATTGATAGCATGGTGATTTTCCATAGTTATGTAAACGTTTACCAGAGGGTATATAATGGGAATCATCCCCAAATGGTTTTCTATCAAATGGTTTTCTATCATGCAATATTGTTCATCACATGGGTTTCTATCATGAAATATTGCTCATCAGGTGTGTTGAAAATGAGGTATCAAAACGATCCATATTTTTGATTCAGGATGATGATGATTATGTTTATGTCATTTATTTTCATTGGATTATATTGGATTCAATTAGTAACATTGTTTTATCATGGATCAACAACGACGCGCCAAAAGGGGTATTTTGGACTGTTATTGATCGGATCACAGGATAGCGTAGCTACGCCATGTTTTGATCAGTTCTGCCCCCAAATTGTGATGATATAAACAGAAGAAAGGATGATCAACCAAGCACGTTGTTTCTGAAAAAGGCACTTGATTTTCCATGATTTTCCGACCAACGGCCCCCAAAAAATATCCATATGATACATGTCATTAGCATGATGATCAATCCCGTGGCACATTCCATCACAACCAGGGTGATATCTGCGAATGAATCATCATACTGAAACAGCTATCACCCCGGAGCAAGCAGATTTTCATCCCGAGTGCCTATATCCCTATCGTCCCGAGTGGTTTTTCCCAGTCAGATTAGTGGTCTCATCCCCTCAATCCACAGGTTTTTTTTCAATCTACTGAATCCACTGGCCATTGCGGGCCAGTCATCCAATGGGTACAACAGTTACCCTCTGGTTATTTGTTACATAGCCATGGTATAGATGGTCCATAGAGATAGATGGCTTACCTGGGTTTACCTATTAAAAATGGTGATTTTCCGTGGCTATGTTAAATAACCAGATGGTAGGTGTACTGAAATCTACATTGTCACTGTGGTATGTAGCGACATCATCCACTTTCTGAACTCCGTTGTTTGTTTCTGAATTTTCGCTGGAGCATTTGTGCCACTTCACCACCTTGATGTTTCAAACCCAGCTTCTGGACATGATTTTTAATCAGGGTATGGTGCACACTGCGATATGCTTTCTTGACGAAGTACCCTCTGATAATCAAACATGGCAATGGCAAATCACCCATTTCTAGATGATTTTCTCATTTAATTACTGGTTGGTTGTTTGGAACATGAACTTTATTTTCCATTTCATATATGGGATGTCATCCTTCCCATTGACGAAGTCCATCATTTTTCAAGATGGTTATTGCACCACCAACCAGATGGTTATTAATGGTTTTTCTGGTTATTCATGGTGGTTTTCATGGACATTATTGATCCAGTTAACCACCATTAACCACCATTAATAATGTCCAATAACCACCATTTACCACCGTTTACCACCATTTACCACCATTAACCACCATTAACCACCATTAACCACCATTAACCACCATTAACCACCATTAACAACCATTAACCATTATTAACAACCCTTATAGTTTGGGATTTTCCAGCATCTTTGACGACCCAAAATTTGGGGCCATCTCTTCATGGAATTGCGATACCATGCGGACCTTGCGGGCTCAGGTTATGTGAAGATTCGAGCCTTGGGTTTGCCACTGGATTCTTGGCTGAAAAGTGATGAACCGTCAGGGCCGTCCCGGGCCGAATAAATATTACACCCCCATTGTATATCTAAATGCTCCCAAAGATGTGTGAAATCGTTAAACCATGGTTTTTGAGGAATATGAGGAATATTTTAAGATTGGGAAGGGATTATCATTCATGGTTTGTCAAGTCTTGTAGCAGTTCTCAAGGTCGATTTAGTTTTTTTTTCTTTTGCAGGAATTACTTGCTGCTTCACCCAGAAGAGATATGTTTTTCTGCTCTAGACAGTGGTTATTTGCCACTTCCAGTTTGGTTTCCAGGCAGATCAGTTTTATCGTCAATCTTGTGAACAAGTTTTATTAGAACATATGGATGTGGGTCAAAATGGAAGACCATTAATGGGACCACAGATGTGAATGTCTAGTTTAGTATTAACATATATTAACCATCCATAATTTTGGGGTACCTAATTTTGACCCATACCCATATTAGAATATTAGAACAAACACTTTGAATTAATTTGACTCACACTTTCTGGCCTGAAGTCAATCCCTCCATACCAGAATTGACATTTGTGTTTGAAGTCAACCTCCTTGTCCCAGTTGTGAAAAACTTTTTTTTTGTTTTAATGGGAAATTCTACATTACCCTTTGGTAAACTAACATAGCTATGGAAAATCACTATGTTTAATAGGTAAATCAACTATAAATGGGCCATCTTCCATAGCTATGTTAGTTTACCAGAGGGTGAGCGATTCTCCATAGCTGCAGATGTTGCATGGCTCACCTGCGCGATTGAGGACTCGCTATTTCGTGTGTGCAACGCTGGACTGCTATCAGTGCGTGACAGTCGCACGGGTTTGCAGGCGAGGACATGATATTTACGTCTTAATGGATTTTCTATCAGAATGGATGTCTTGCGATGTGTTGCTCTTCTTGGAGTTTTTTTTTCTGGAAAACATCGAAGAACAGCAAAACATGGTATTACCATATCATATATTTCTCAAAATAGTACAATATGTATCGTTAATTATTAGTACTAATATTTACAAAATAGTTCTAATAACTATATATATATATAATAGTATTGTTAATATCGATTCTCCGTTGTTGCAGTATTGTTGTTGCTGAATATTTTCCTGGAGGTCGTTGGCCTTCAATCGCTGTTGAATGGCATTGGCGACGCTTGGATGACCTGGGTTGATCCCATCCCAAGATGAACATCAATAGCCCCTATTTCCAACGAAACCATGGGTTACCCTCTGGTAATTTAACATAAGCCATGAAAAATGACCATTGAAATAGTGAGTTTTCCCATTAAAAATGGTGATTTTCCATAGTTATGTAAACGTTTACCAGGCCGGGTATTTTGTTGGGAATTTCCACGTGGAATCCATTGGGACCATGCAAACTATTGGGGTGTTTCATATGAACGGGTGATGGGATTAGTTGGGTACTATTTGGTGAAATATGACCCCCGAATTCAAGATAAAACATGATAAAACATGATAAAACTAGTGGAACTGCAGCCTGAAGTTGAACTTGACATATACCTTTTTTTGGGTTGGAAGTGTAGCTATTTGTACTGAGCCCAAGGGAGCTACTCAGAGTTTCCTCGGGGGACTTGAACTTGGAGATGGGATACTGTGCCAACGATTCCTCTGCGAGGGCCGTGAGGGATCAAACACAAGTTGGAAACATCACGACCCTGCCGGTTCCGGTCAGAATTTCAATATTCAGGTCAGCCGACCTCAGTCGAGACTGTCCATCAGTGTTTTTGAAAGTGCCAGTGAAAACACTTACATAAATTACAATCTCATAATAAATATGATTTATGTATATATATATATACACACCATATAAACCACCATCCACCATAGTATAGATACCTAAAATCTAATATATGACCACATGCACCATGCCATTATATTAATATTACTATGATATATATATATATATAGTTAATATGTTATATCTACCATTATTAACTATGATCTTATTAACAATATAGTTTAGATACACTGCTAATACATATATTAACGATATATTAACCAGATATTAACCATATATATATATAAACCATAATATTACCATCTAATATCCCCACCATTATATCTACCATCTACTAAATATGCCACCATTGTATCATATATTACCATTACCATTCAATATTAACAATAATCGTGATATGAACCATAAATATTACTATAATATTACCATCTAATATTAACCATGTATTAAGCATATATGAACCATAAAATTAATCACAATGTCACACTCTAACATACCATATAGCACAGACACACTGCTATTTTAGCGGGGAAACTTTAACCATATATTAATCGTATATTAACCATATGGGACAAATTAGCATAATATTATCTCCTAAAAATCAACATTATATATCTCCTGTAATTAACCATATATATATATATATCACTGGTTGGTGGTTTGGAACATTTTCTTTTAATTTTTCCATGTATTGGGACTAATAATCCCAACTGACGAACTCATATTTTCGGAGGGGTAGGTATACCACCAACCAGATCACCATTATATCTCCTAAAAATATTACCATCTAATATCGATCATATATTAACCATAGGGGAAAAATAGCATAATATTCACCATATATAGATATATATACATATATTAACCACATATATTAACCATAATATTACCATCTAATATTCACCATCTACCTAATCATATTCTCATAGAATTGGATGATGGGAAAATTTACAGGAAAACCCTATATTTGATGGTAAAAACCGTGGTTTCCTGTAGATTTTCCCTTAAACCAACCCAATCACATATATATATATATATAATATTATATAATATATGATCCTATAATCCACCATAGTATAGATACCTAAAATCTGATATATGACCACATACACCATTATATTAATATTCCTATTTTCACCTAATCATATTATATAATATTACTATTAATATACCATTATATATATCACTGGTTGGTGGTTTGGAACATTTCTTTTTTTAATTTTTCATCTTCGGTGAAGCGACCTCGGAGGACGCCCTGATTTGCCCCCGCCTGGGCATTGCGGGCGCTGCCATCACCACCTTGGCAGCGCAGGGTGTCACGACCCTGGGGATGCTGTGGGCCTTGCGATGCTTGGAGAAATCCATGTTTTTTTTTCATGGGAAGTCCGATAATATGGGGAAAATATGGGGAACTTATGGGGAAAATATTGGAATATGGTGAAACTATGGAAAACATGGGGGGAAAATATGGGGAACTTATGGGGAAAATATGGAAAACATATGGGGAAACACATGAAGCTTATGGGAAAAGATTGGAACATATATAGAAAATACGGGGAACATATAGGGGAAAAATGGGACACATGTGGGAAAATATGGGAAACCTATGGGGAAAATATGCGAAACATATGGGGAAACTATGGAAAACATGGGGAAAATATGGGGGACATATGGGGAAAATATGGAAAACATATGGGGAAACACATGAAACTTATGGGAAAATCATTGGAACATATGGGGAAAATACGGGGAACATATGGGGGAAAAATGAGAAACCTACGGGGAAAATATGCGAATATGGGGAAACTATGGAAAACATGGGGGGAAATATGGGGGACATATGGGGAAAATATGGGGAAAATATGGGGAACATATGGGGAAAATATGGGGAACATATGGGAAAATATAGAAAACATATGGGGAAACACATGAAACTTATGGGAAAATGATTGGAGCATATATAGAATATAGAAAATACGGGGAAGATATGGGGGAAAAATGGGAAACATGTGGGAAAATATGCGAAACATATGGGGAAACTATGGAAAACATGGGGGGAAAATATGGGGGACATATGGGGAAAATATGGGGAAGATAGGGGAAACATATGGGGAAAATATGGAACACATATTTGGAACAATGATCTTTGACCTGTTGTATCGAGATGTGGTAATCGGTAAGGCCTTCAAGACACCGATGTCGGGGGCGAAACTCATGGGGAACATATGAATCTTATGGGAAAAATATGAGAAACATGCGGGGAAAATAGGGAAAATAGGGGAAACATATGGGGAACACATGGAAACTTATAGGACAAATATGGAAACTTGTATACATGAAAATGATGGGAACATATGGTGAGAGCATGGAGGTCATATGGGAAAATGATGGAACTAGGATGGGAAAACTATGGAACAATGATGGGAAAATATAGGACACATACGAGAAAATTATGGGAACATTATGGAAAGGTGATGGAAAGTCCACCACTGTTCAAATAACTTTTCATGGGACATGGAAATCCACCATGTTTCATGGGAACTCCATATTGGATGATACAACCATACAGCAGCTTATCAACAAACATGGGGGATGCTTAACCGTGCTACTCGGGTTACACCAATATGGATGGAAAACTTATGGAATCACAGAATATCATGCCGAAAAAATGAAGTTATTTTGAGAATATGACATGATGTAAATATGTTTGATTATCGTGCTTTGCACCTTGCTTTTTATAGTTGAGAGGGATGCAGTATCAATGTTGATTTTTAGTTGTACATGTAATAAGTATCTCGCATTATGTAAATATAACTATAATTTATATACCATCTGGTTATGACTAACATAGCCATGGAAAATCACCGTGCTATTAATAGGTAAACCATCTATTTCTATGGGCCATGGCTTCCATGGCTATGTAACAAATAACCAGAGGGTAAATGTTCTCTGTGCTGAGTGTATTACTGTAGGTGTTGTTTTACATTGCCATGATAACCACGGTACATACATGCACTGTTCGTCCTTGATGACTAGGCATGTGCCCTACCTATGTAGATCCGTGGTTCATGTTTTTTCGTTCTTAGCTACCCTCCAGTAAGCATGCAACAAGATGTTTTTCAAACACACCAGAAATGTAGATCATGTTGTTTGCCACATCAGTGTTAGTTGTTGCATCCTTGGCGCTTCGCAGCCAAGGACGGAAAGGTCTCATCAAGCGATTCACAGTGCCATCGCTGGAGGACAAGGGTCAATTTTTCGGGATTTCCCCATTGGTTAAAATAGTGTTTAACACCCCCAAACAAGGTGATGATTATAGAGGCCATTATTATAGGAATCCGTGATAATGGGAGTACATAGGAACCCTAGTCCGGTAAGCTGAGCCCCAATCCCTTCCCACAAGAAACTTCAGTCGTCATGAACGACCATGACTTAGTATTGAAACCCATGGTGACTTGGGGATCAAACATCCATTTAACAACAGTTACCCTCTGGTTATGACTAACATAGCCATGGTATAGATGGCCCATAGAAATAGATGGTTTATCTATTAATAGCATGCTTATTTTCCATGGCGAACTGTTAGTCACAACCAATGTGGGGCCCCCTAGATAGCTAAGTTGGTTTATAACTCCAATAACTATGGTTTATTGTACTTATAACTATAGTTAATGGGGTTTATAAACCAACTTATAACTGGGGGGCCCCACGTTGTAAGTCACTATTTTGGAAGAAAATTCTGCCAGATTGGGAGGACTGCTGCAGCTTCCTGGCTTTTGCCCTTCCGGTTTGTCTCACCTTAGCGTTGAAGGTGCATTTTGACTGACTGAAACGCGGAGTTTGGGGAAAAACTGGGAGAGTGAAGCACACCCCAAAAGGTGAAAATTTCACCGTAGAACATGAAAACTGTGGTGGGAAAAATGGATTTTGACAGCCAACTTGCGAAGTTTAACCATCAGAATTATCGACAACACATGGTATTCTTGATATTATCCATAGATGATGGTTCATGGTTTGTGGGATTCTACCATCAACATCCATCTAGTGTCTCTTTTGGGAGAAACTTCTTCTTGTGTTTCCTGGTCCAAGAATGGTCGCATCGGTTGGACATGGCATCATGGCATGGTCTTTTTGTGTCCAGTTATTGGAGTTGTTGGTTTTGTTAAATGGTGGACCCCCCAAATCATCCAAGATTCACGATGTTTGAGTGTTTTGGAGTATTTACATGTATTTACACCAAAACTATCCAAAACTCAGAAACAGCCATGTGTGTGTGTGTGTGTATACGTACGTATATATTATATATATATGTATTATACTTGTTGGCAGCTTTTGGAATCCTATATTTGTACAGGCCGCTGTCCAATGTGGTTTGAAAGTTTCGTCCATGGGGCTTTCGGATAACTATATAACTACTAGGTGAATCTTAGATGGGTACTTTAATCCTTTAGTATTTTGGTATTAATGGGAATATCTACTAACCAGCAAAAACACCTATTTTTTTGCAGGGTATCTAAGATTGGCACTGACTATGACAGTAATATAACTATAACTACCCGATCGTAGGATGACGAAAAAAAAGTTGTTATATAATTAACTTCATAATATCATGGTTGTTAAGACTATATTTATATAAGATGATATACCCTCTGGTAATTTAACGTAGCTATTGAAAATGGCCATTAATAGTGGATTTTCCCATTAAAAATTGTGATTTTCCATAGCTATGTTAAATTACCAGAGGGTAGTTGAAAGACAAACAATATAGATGAGAATTCTTTTTTTGGATTCATTGGGAACACTTCACATTGATAATAGAATGCAGTATTCAACAAGCTTTCTTGATTTGTTGAAGTTATATAATGTCTTGTTTCCCTATTGGTTAGTCTACTGAGGAGGGAATTGACTCAAATCATTTACCCAAGAAAATTGATGTGTTGATACTAAACATGACCCTCTGCTTCGACAATATCTTTATGATCTCTTAGCAATCTTGGTTCTCACTGGGAAACTACAGTGCCTTCCATTTTTTTATAACATCAAATATTGTGTGAGTCAGCTGCTATCCCATGATTGAACCATAGCATGTCTATATATCTGGTTGTGGTTGTGGTTGTGGTTGTGGTGGTTGTGGTGGTTGTGGTTGTGGTGGTGGTGGTGGTGGTGGTTGTTGTTGTTGTTGTTGTAGTTGTAGGCGGACGTCAACCTGCTCCTCACCACAGTGGGTGCGGTAGTTAAGACGCCATAAGCCATCCTATATACAAACTCCGAAAAGTACACCAGCCTATACACAGTGCTGTGAGGAATCAATTGCAGAGCACCAGCCTGTACAAAAGACCTGCAACAGAGAGCACCACCTGTACAAGAAAACCTGTACAAATCCCGCACAGGTGAGAAAAGTCACCAAGTAGCGGGATGACATTCGCCAGTCAGAGCGTAGTCTGCAAAGATCGAGTACGTGCCAAGAAGCCAAAAGAACCAAGAAGCGAGAGCTTGGCATTGGCTCAGCAGAATCGAACTTCACATCCTGTGGGAGCATCAAGGAGAGAGAACTTGATAAGGCTCCCCGTCTCGTCGCAGACCCAAAATTCGCACAGAGCCTGGGTAGAATGGTAGCCAACAAGATGCCAGCCACCACAAAACTGTCCTGGTCCCTACCTACCGACCTGGGTCAGGAGCCACCAAAACAAGATGCAATCCACGGCCCATACATATATTGGAAATGTCATCATCCCAACTGACGAACTCATATTTTTCAGAGGGGTTCAAACCACCAACCATATATATATATAATATAATATATATATATAACATAACTATGGAAAATCACCATTTTAATGGGTAAATCAACTATAAATGGCCATTTTCAATAGCTATGTTTGTTTACCAGAGGGCATGTATAATTTGAATCAGTTGTGGATGATATAAAAAGGCAAAAAAAAATCAGAAAACTGCGAAAGTGGCAATCCCCGTGATCATTGCGGGGCCTGTCATGTTTTCAAGTGTCTCTTCCACAGTTTTCTCCGTGTCCCACATGTTGTGTCTGAAAACAGGGTAGAAACCAGAAAATTCTTGCAGAATATTTTGAGCTGTGATGATTGATCATGAGATTTTGGGGGTTTCTGAACACTTTCGGACAAACCCATATCCACCAGTGGATATGCCACATATCCCAGCTATATCCTATAGATATTCCAGTAATACTAAAGCCACATCTCATCAATATCTCATTCCCATGATCTAGATCCCATCAACATACAATTGATATGCAATCTATCTGTCACACAGAGAATACGCTTGATCTATATTTCCATCCCCAGATCTCATTTTAAAGGGCCCCTCCAAAAGAAAAAAACTTTGCTCTCTATTTGGAGCTTGCTATCCTGTTACATCATCTGGTTGGTGGTGACTGGAACCATGGAATTTTATGACTTTCCATTCAGTTGGGAAAGTCATCATCCCAACTGACGAACTCACTCCATCATATTTTCAGAGGTAGGTCAACCACCAACCAGATATATATATATATAACATAACTATGGAAAATCACCATGCTATTTATGGGTAAATCCCATATGATATGAAGTTGATTTGCCAGGCATCGATATCGACCCCACGTCGCCAGGTGGCTTCCGTTCAGTTTCTGAGCATCGCAGCGGCCGCAAAGGCGTCCTGGCTGAGTTGTGACCGGCTGGGGATATAACTTGATATTTTTTTTTAACGAACTTCACAATAGCACCTGGTTATGACTAACATAGCCAGGGTTAAGCCATGGCTCATAGAAATAGATGGTTTACCTATTAATAGCATGGTGATTTTCCATGGCGAACTGTTAGTTTACCAGATGGTACTGTAGGTATGGAACATCAGTCACTTTGTGAACCGGCCAGTTCTCGCGTCTGAAAGCGGTCGGGCAGATCTTGGCAGATAATGAGATGGGCGATTTCTACTGTGGATGGGCCCGATCAACCAGCAATTTTGGATGGTTGAAAGCCAAAGAAAATAGGTTTATAACCACCATTAACTATAGATATATCACATTATATCACCTATAAACCATAGTTGTTGGAGTTATACCCCTATAAATAATGGGATGTTTACCATCTATCAACTGGTGATTCGGATTCCTGAAAACCATCCACAGTATCATTTTTTTCAACTACCATCTGGTTATGACTAACATAGCGAACTGGAAACTCCAGAAAATCAATGGAGGTTTCTAGCTGGGAGTTTATCATTTGTTTCTATGGGCCATGGCTTCCATAGCTATGTTAAATAACCAGATGGTAACTACCCTCTGGTAAACTAACAGTTTGCTATGGAAACTGACCATAGAAATAGTGGATTTACCCATTAATAGCATGGTGATTTTCCATAGCAACACGTTAGTTCACCAGTGGGTAACCAACAAAATTAACATGACTCATAACCAACTAAGAATTGCTGTTACCCAATCTGATGAAGTTCTTACCCAACTCACTCACAGAAGTTCGGTCTGCCCTCTGGTAAACGATTACGTTTTGCTATGGAACATCACCATGCTATTAATGGGTAAATCTACTATATTCCACTATAAATGGTCATTTTCAATAGCTATGTAATAAATTACCAGAGGCTATACCACCAGTAATCCCATTAAATCCCATTGAATCACCATTTTTTCATCACCATTGAATCCCATTAAATCCAGAGGGGAGTTGGCAGATGTCAAGAAATCAGGGCGTGGTGGCTGCCGCGGCACATCAAATCACTAAGCATCTCAGCTGCGATTTGGTAAATCCGCGAGGACCGCGACGACGGTAGGTTGATGGGTTGTGACTGGCGACAGGGATATTTAATGGGATTCAATGGAATTTAATGGGATTTATTAGGATATATGATGGTATACCCTCTGGTAATTTAACGTAGCTATTGAAAATGGCCATTTATAGTTGATTTTCCCATTAAAACATGGTTATTTTCCATAGCTATATAGAGGGTATGGCAGTTTTTATTCATGGAAACCTGGATTTGATGGAAACAATGGGAAGCTGGATTAAACAATGGCAGTTATCCATAGATCTGATTAACTTATTAATAATAAGTTACCATTTGGTTATTTAACATAGCCATGGAAAATCCCTCATAAATGGAGGTTCTAGCTGGGAAAATCATCTATAAATGGGCAATTTTCCATGGCTATGTAACAAATAACCAGAGGGATCCAGAGGGTAAGTTTTTATTGATGTTGATTTCTCGATCATCTACTGCTTGGTGGTGGCTTTGGAACCATGGAATTAGAAATGACTTTCCCATATTAATTGGGAATGTCATCATCCCAACTGACTTTCACTCCATGATTTTTCAGAGGGGTTGAAACTCAACCGCCAACCAGTCTAACTTCACTAATGATTTTGATGGAGGAATGATTGTTTTGTCCTGCTAGGCACCTAGCCATTGCAGGGCAATGGCTCCGTGATGTGCTGCAATTTTGTGGCTGGACATCAGAACATCAAATGATTTTGCTACACATGTTCATCCTAGATGAATCTGGGTAAATTTGATCACGACCTCACTGTTCTCCCGAGCCCTGGGAATAATGGTTAGTATTGGAAATCATCCCCAAATGGCCGCAAGATTCAGGTTAGTGAAATATGATAATTTACCCAGATGAATGAGACTTGCCTATGAATTGGGACCGCTAAAATGATGGTGCGTTGCTATTGATCCTGGTAAAAGACAAATCATTAAGCAGCAGGGCAGTGCTGGATTATAGCCAGCTGGAGATCATAAGACGTAACGAAGAATGACTGATATCATATTGCCAATCATCGCCAATGGAAATGGGGACCTGAACTTTTTTTTTATGGCCAGCAACTAGCAATGGGCATGCAATCAACTACACATTCTACGCCTCAATTCTGGGCGAAATGCCCAGATTTCGGGGAGTTTTTTCTCGAAAGCAACACGGAATGTGGATCCATGGCTGTGTGGATTACATGTTTTAATCTCGGAGGGTATCAGAGATGGTAATGGAAAATCCACCAGTGATAGTATAGATTCGATAAACTCCCAGCTATAAACCTCCATTTATAGTTGATTTCAATTGCCACGTTTGCTTCCATTAGGAATATCAATAGTTGACTGGTTGGTGGTTTGGAATATGAATTTTATGACTTTCCATATATTGGGAATGTCATCATCCCAACTGACGAACTCATATTTTTCAGAGGGGTAGGTATACCACCAACCAGATTAAATCCCACCTATATATCATGATACCTATATTCTTTCATTATATCCCTCTATTTTCCCATAGTTCCATTAGGATATCAATAGTAAATCTCCAAGTGCCCGATCCATTCCATCCTGAAATCGACCATTGGTATATGCTAAAGCCATGAAATCACCATGAAAAATCACAAAAACTTTCATTCATCCCATTGGGATCTGATAATCCACATGAAATCCCACTACTGATTGGTGGTGCTTTGGAACCATGGAATTAGAAATGACTTTCCCATATTAATTGGGAATGTCATTTTATCCCAACTGACTTTCACTCCATGATTTTTCAGAGGGGTAGGTTGAAACCAAACTCAACCACCAAGCAGATTACCATTTCTGATCATCCTTGACTCACCATAAAATCACATAAAGTTATACCCTCTGGTCATTTAACATAGCTAACTGGAAAATCCAGAAAATAAATGGAGGTTTCTAGCTGGGAGTTTATCATCTATTTCTATGGGCCATCTATACCATGGCGAACTGTAACAAATAACCAGAGGGTATACCATCATATATCCTAATAAATCCCATTAAATCCCATTAGATTCCCATAAAAAAATCCCATTAAGTCCCATTAAATCCCATAAAAATCCCATTAAATCCCATAAAAATCCCATCAACCTCCCAAATCATCCACCATTGGTCCACCATTGGTCGATCCCATCTAGGTCGCTGCTCTGGGTCTTCGGTCTCCTTGCGTCTGAGTCACTCTCCTCGACGGCGCAGGCGCAGATGGAACGGTACCATGGAGATCGATGTATCCGACTGGGTCAACCACAGGAAAGTGGTGACTTAACCAAGAAAAAATGGTGATTTATATGGGAAAACCATGGGAAAACGGTGGTTTCTATGGAACAAATTATAAATGGGCCACTTTCTATGTCGCAAAGTGTGAAAAAATGGTGGTTCAATGAGACTTCGATGGGATTGAATGGGATTTAATGGGATTGATTCGGCACATTTGGTTCGTTGATTTACCTATTAAAGACGGTGAATTTCCAGCTCGCAAAGTGTTAGCTTACCAGGTATCCAGATTTATATGGAGGTTTCCTAGGTAATAGCTGGATGATTTATGGACACTCCCATTTTTTATAAAATGGATGATTTGGAGGTACCCTCATGACTCAAGGGAAACCTCCATGACTGAGTACTCATGTGGCATCTAATGGACAGAAACGTGGGAGTTTCGAGCTAAATGCCACGTGACTCATGTGAGCCGCGTTCAAAACTCTCGGCAATTGATTTTAGTATTCGGTGGAATTTATTCTTCCAAAACTTGAATGGCGTCACACGCGCGCAAGCTTTTCACAAGCTTCGCGCAAGCTCATGTACGCGCAAGCTTCGCGCAAGCCCGAAATCACGTAAACACTTTAAACATAAATTTAAATCTAAATTAATATACAACGAAAAGGGTTACACAACATGGTGGCTCCTATGGCGTAAACCAACATTCGAGCAATCTGTAGGCTTTGGGCTCGGGTTACAAGAATTGCCCAGGGAATTTCGCGCAAGGTTCGCGCAAGCTTCGCGCAAGCAAAGGGGTTCCTGGCCACTATGCCCCCCAGCAACCGGTAGCAAGATGATCGTAGACTCGCAAACAAGCAAAACCACCTTGTAGCATCAAATACCTCGCAAAGCTGATTGTACTGATTGTACTTTGGCTGAAGGCGATACACTCACTGGAGGCCATCAGGGACTAGACTGCTGGCAAAATAGGAACTGCGCTGAGTCGAGCCTAGAAGTCGAGAAGCCATCGAACAAGCCGAGAAGTCGAGAAGCCGAGAAACCACCGAACGAGCCAAGGAGCCGAGAATCTGAGAAGCCTAGAAAACCAAGTCCGAAAACAGCTTCGCGCCTACATCGCGCAAGCAAAAGTGCACGAAAACTCAGGACTTCATCTTCGCGCAAGGTCGCGCAAGCTCCGTTTGAAAAATTGACCGCGCGCAAGCTCCCATTGTGGTCGCGCAAGGATGGCGCAAGGATTTCGCGCAAGGATGAATAATTCCATTCAGTTTTAATTGAAGTTTTGAACACCGCTCATGTGGTTTTCCTGACAAGCTATTGATACGAGCTGTGGAACCCCAGTTTATGTTTGATGGTTTATAACCACCATGAATACTATAGTTATAAGTACCGTAGACCATACTTATTGGAGTTTTACTGACAACCTAGTGATATTCAATCTATGTGGGTAAAACAATAATATACCATCCCCCAAATCACCATAAATGGGTGGTATAAACCGTCAAACATGTGGTGGTTTATTATTGTTTTACCCACATTATATGTTTTCATGGTCAATCTCAATTTCTCTCTAACTGCCACACATTGGGGGTACCTCCGCCAAAAAAACAAAAACCTCTCAGTGCGGCAGGCCTTTCTCCCAGCCTTTATGCAGCAGAAGGATCAGCGTGGTGCAGACCAGACCTTGCGTTTGTGCCATGACCTCCATTAATGATTCATGTTTCTCCCTAATGGGGGTAACATAATTTTGAATACCAGCCATTTGGGAATGGTTGGAATCCCGCCTACATTTATGGTGAACTTGGGGATGGTGCTGGTTTATGCCATTGTGGCTCACCACCATTTAAACATGAAAAACCACCATCAGAAACCATGGGATTTAGTCGAGGATTTACACCTGGGATCATTGAAAAACTGGGAGATGGGGATGCGAACCATGTTCTTTCCATTCCATTCATACTCCATGGGACCCAGATTCGCGAACCATGGCGCTGGTATATAAAAACCTACAAAACTGGATGATGATTATATATTACCATCTGGTTATTTAACATAGCCATGGAAAATCCCAACCATGAATGGTGCATATTCCAGCACCATGGTTCACATATGGGTAACAAAAACCCATTGTCTCCGACATATTCATGGATTTCATGGACAAAATCATGGGGACATAATGGAGATATTCATGGAATATTAGTGCAATGTGGGGCCCCCAGTCGATAGCGTTCAGTTGGTTTATTTTTGTGGCTGAATTCTATGGTTTATGGTAGATATAATGATATAACTATAGTTAATGGAGATTATTTCACTAACTATAGTTATATCTACCAACTATTATTTATAAACCAACTATTTATAAATAGATACTAACTATAGTTAATGGTTTATAAACCAACGTTTCATAGTTTTTTAGGGCCCCATATTATGTGGGGATATCATGGGATCATTTTCCGTAAAAAAAAATTCTCAGTCTTATGAATTATGGTATTTTACCCAGATGATATATGACTATAATTATACCATAACATATCATGGAAGATCATAAAAAAGTATGGATATATGAAATACTATGTCTATGATATAATAATCATGGAAATAATTTACCCAGGCAATGGAAATAGTATCAGGCAATGTCTATTAAATAATTACCATAGTATACCACTGATGAATGGAAATACTATGTCTATGATTAATATCCATACTTTTTATATCTCTGTCTACTTTTCAGCATGACTATATAATCATATATATATATATAGTACTATCTAACATTACTCTGCGTCATAATCCCTTGCCCCTAGTACACCACCCCCGGATCGAATTAATCATTGGGTACACCCCTATTGGGTATTCCCCCGAACAAACATGAGGATTCACAAATATGAACTCATTCCATTCCCCGAATATTACCCTCTGGTAAACATACAAAAAGCAATTGAAAATGGCTATTTATAGTTGATTTTATTTATCATCAAAAATGGTGATTTTCCATAGTTATGTTAGTTTACCAGAGGGTACATACCATCCGGTGTCATCAAACCATGGCTGGCTGGAAATCCACTAAAAAAAAATGGGGCTTTCAATAGGAAAATCACCGAACTATACATGTTGTATTTTCCAGCCAGCCATGTTTGATGACACCGGAGGCTACCCGTCTTCCATATGAGGATGGTTTCTTTGGGGATTTCACCAATTTGTTGAGATGGAAAAAGGCACCAATTAATGGGATGGTTTAAGCGATAAGCTGGTCAAATCCTCTTAAACCATAGTATGGTACCAATATTTTCTAAGGTACCAATATTTTCTGGGTAATTTCTCGCTCTTTTGGGGATACCCCCCTTGTTTTTTTTTTTAAGTCAGGGCTAAACAACAATCCGCGGTCATTGCTGGCCCCCTCGGTTACAAGTTGATTTGTAGACCTATCCACGTACAGACTTGATGATTTCATCAGCAGGAAGTTATGTATATATATATAATGATATTACATAACAATCTATGAACTGGGAATGCCAATGAAAACCAAGCAGTACAAATATAAGGCATATTTTCATTCCGGTCGAACACTGCGCAATGAATTCCTCAGTAGGTCCCCCTTCGTCAGTTTTTCATCCGCTGGGATGGTGAAGAAAAATGGCTGAACTTTTCGGGTGACATATGACTAAAGCGCTGGTTGATTGGTTGTTAAATGGTGGACATCAAGATATCAATATCTGGGATTCTATATCCCCCTTTCAATATTATTCAATATCAGATTGATGATATTGAATCTGGGATTCTACTGGTAAAATCTATGAATGATGAGAAGCAAGGAAACCTGACCATCCCTGGCCATAGAAATCATGGCTACTTTATATATATATATCTCCTGCATCATCATGAAATTCTCATGATGTTCCCATTTTTTTGCCACTTGGATACTCCCTCCGGTAATCGAACATAGCAATGGAAAATGCAACATGTATAGATGATTTTCCCACCTATAACCCTCCATTTAGTCAGAGGATTCTCCAGCTAGCCACGTTTGATGACACCGGAGGGATATCCCAGAAATCCCATAAATCCATAGAAATCCCGTGATATTATCCAATATCCCACTATATTATACCATTATATATACCTACAATGTGGTGGGCCCCCCAGTTGATGGTTTATAAACCCCATGAATACTATAGTTACGTATAAGTATAAGTACTATGTAAACCATAGTTATTGGAGTTATACCATTATACCTACCATCTGGTTATGACTAACATAGCCATGGAAAATCACCATGCCATTAATAGGTAAACCATCTAGAAATGGGCCATGTTCCATGGCTATGTTCAATAGCCAGAGGGTAACTGTTGTTAAATGGAGGTTTGATCCCCAAGTCACCATGGGTTTCAATAGTACTATATAGACCATAGTTATTGGAGTTATACCATCATATATCCTCATAAATCCCATTAGATCCCATTAAATCAGAGGGTATCCCCTAAATATTCACGATATCCCGTGATATTTTCCCATACTTCCATGGTGAAATCCGCAAATTGCCACGGTAATTTCTCGCTCCGAAGGTTGCTGAGACTGGCCCTGCTGGGCGCTGTGGGAACCGTCGCCTTGCTGTTGTTGATGACCTCCCAAGGAGGCCCGGTGGGGAGCAGAGATACCTCGGGATATTATGGATGTTATTACAAACATAGATAGATGATAGATTGATATATTCAGATATTGATTGACGAATATATATATATATATATATATATATACAGATGGATGGATGGATGGATAGATAGATAGATAGATAGATGGATGGATGGATGGATAGATGGATAGATGGATAGATGGATAGATGGATAGATGGATAGATGGATAGATGGATAGATCGATAGATCGATGGATCGATGGATGGATAGATGGATAGATGGATAGGTAGGATAGGATAGGATAGGATAGGATAGGATAGGATAGGAAGATAGATAGATAGATAGATTAGATTAGATTAGATTAGATTAGATAAGATAGATAGAGAGAGAGATATAGATAGGGATATAGATATAGATATAGATAGGGATATAGATATAGAGATAGATAGATAGATAGATAGATAGATAGATAGATAGATAGATAGATAAATAGATACATAGACAGATAGGACAGGATAGGATAGGATAGGATAGGATAGATAGGATAGATAGGATAGATAGGATAGATAGGATAGATAGGATATATAGGATAGATAGGATATATATATATATATATACACATATGTTCTCATATTATACATTACATTCAAGGAACGATTCCGACACTATATATATATATATATACACACTGAAATTTGGTTTGCAGAGTTTGGGCCACTGCTCGGATGCAACATGTGTGAATACCCATGACATCACACGAATCTCCGCTCGGTGAGACGACGGTCGATTCTGGTGATGCCATCATTATTCACAGGGTTTGCATCCGATGATTATGTCTGCCGCTTTTCCATTGATGATGCCTCCATTTCTGTTTCTTATTTCAGGATGTAAATGGTATAGATGTCCGTATTAGCCACCCTTTTTTTGCATGGGAATAAACAAAGGCTGGTTGGTGGTTTCACACATTTCTTATTTTTCCATATATTGGGAATGTCATCATCCCAACTGGCTTTCACTCCATCATTTTTCAGAGGGGTAGGTATACCACCAACCAGATGGTTATTAATGGTTATATATGGTTATTAATAATGGTTAATGGTTATTAATGGTGATTTTCATGGCTAGTTGATGGTGGTTACTGGCTAGTTAATGGTTATTAAGTACCAGGTATACCACCAACAGTTCTATGATGACAATCCCCATGGGACATGATTGTCCTGGACAAATAAAAATCCATCGACTGACTGTGACGCTGTGACGCTGTGACGCTGTGAAGCCCCAATTTTATATTTTTATATAGAAAAATGGTGATTCAATGAGACTTCATAGGGATTTAATGGGATTTAATGGGATTCAATGGAATTTAATGGGATTTATTAGGATATATGATGGTATACCCTCTGGTAAACTAACAGTTCGCTATTGAAAATGGCCATAGAAATAGTTGAATTACCCATTAATAGCATTGTGATTTTCCATAGTTATGTTAGTTTACCAGAGGGTATCTGACAACCTCTTGTGTTGATATTTCTGAGTAATCCATAGTAATTCCATCTTCCTAATATTAAACGCACCGTAGACCAACGTTTCTGGCGAGGGGTTAATATTAACACAGGAAGGGATTAATTAGAGCTGGTTAGTTATAAACCATTATATGCCCATTCATATCCCATTAAATCACCACAGTCACCACATTTGGTCGGTTAAACCTTATTATCAATGGATTGGTTTTGTTGGGAAAATCTTAACCGGAAACCATCGATTTTCCCAGTAAGATCATGGGGTTTTCCGGTTTCAATTTTCCCTTAAACCAATCGATATTGAACCGAAGTGTTATCCCAGTAATTATCCCAGATTTTCCCTTAAAACCTCTGGACTGGTACCGAGTGCTAGGGACAATATCCATCCGTTGTCGTCGCGCAGGCCTTCGGCTCTTTTGCGAGGACGAAGAGGTCCTGAAGGCCGTTCCCGTGGCGTCTCGGTGCTGCTGCTTTTGTGGTGCTGGCGGCCTTGTAGGCCTTTTGTGTTGAAGCAGCATCGTTCAATGGGTTTTTTTTTATGGGTTTTTTATGGGATCTAATGGGATTTAATGGGATTTATTAGGATATATGATGATATACCATCTGGTTATATATTTAACATTTCGCCAATGGAAAATCAGCATGCTATTAATAGGTGAACCATCTATTTCTATGGCTCATTTCCCATGGCGAACTGTTAAATAGCCAGAGGGTAATAGGATTTGATGGCCATTTAATGATTTAACGGTCATTTCACCAACAAAAATGGGGATAGTAATTAGTAATGGGAATTATCCTCCTGCAATTTGTTTCAGTCTGCGAACTGGTATAGATGGCTAACTTTGTTCGATGATTTACTATTAAACACTGCGATTTTCGCAAAAAAAATGGCAAATGGGATGAACGCTGGGCCAACAAAATGGCCTGATTTTGGGATGAATGTGTCAGATCTTGATGGATGGACAGTGGGATTTCTCGGATTTCTCTGCATCAAATTACTATATGTATACTGGTTGGTGGTTTGGAACCATGGAATTTTATGACTTTCCATATATTGGGAATAATAACCCCAACTGACTTTCATATTTTTCAGAGAGATTGAAACCACCAACCAGTATTTGTGTGATGCTAAACACTTTTAAATCAGCAGACAAATCGGAGATACTCTTAGCATGCCAGGGTACAGGAAATGTCAGAGAAGGAACGGGTGCATGATGTAGCACAGAATGATCTGCTGGATACGTAGTGCATGTAATGCTTTTGGTGTGTTTGATATGTTTGCATGTGTACATGTATGTTGATTTTCAGAACATACTAACTTCCCCCAATGATACAGCAATGATGTGTAATTATCTCTTGGTATAATGGGGATGGGGTATATAAATGTATATAATATATAATGAACTTCTTAGTGGCATAGTATTATGTCCATGGGATATTAACATATATTATATATACACAGTATATATATATATACACATGGGTTATCATGGAGGCTATGGTGATTGTACACACATATATATATATACGTTGCTCATATCATATCATAATATCATAAAGTATCCTCATTGTATATTCATTGATTGTATATATATATATGTATATAATGTATTATAATGTATATATAATGTATATATGTATACTTTGACCACCGAATGTATCACATTGTGTAAGCATCCTGAGAACCTCCATGACATTGTCTTCATTGTCTTCATTGTCCTGGTTGTCTTCATTCATTGTCTCCCATCAATATATCCCGACAATCAGCAGAATATATCCCAATACATTGTCCCTTAAATATATCGATAATTGACAATCAGTCGAATGAATATGATTCTCATATATACATATAGATATTTGATAGTACATATTTGATAGTACATATTTCAAATATATCAGTCGAATGAATTGACAATTGTCCTGATACATTGACAATCTCGTTGATTGGATATCTCCAAGCTTTTGTTTTAATCCATCAACGAGCTCAGGTCTCGCTGTCTTGCGACTTGGATATGCATTGCTTCCACGGGTGATTCAATGAAACTTCATAGGGATTTAATGGGATTTAATGGGATTCAATGGAATTTAATGGGTGTTTTTAGGATGTATGATGGTATACCCTCTGGTAATTTAACAGTTCGCTTTTGAACATTGTCATTTACAGTTGATTTACCTATAAAGAATGGTGATTTTCGATAGCTATGTTAGTGTGCCAGAGGGTACATCCACGGTATGATGCTAAGTAACTTACATCCCATAGAAACCCCACATTTCAGTTTTTCTTGTGTTTCTGTCACTCCATTCTTGTTTTTTTACTTCGGAAATTCCACCACGTTTCATGTTTGTTTGTTACAACATCTATACTGGTTGGTGGTTTGGAACATGACTTTTATTTTTCGATATATTGGGAATTTCATCATCCCAACTGACGAAGTCCATCATTTTTCAGAGGGGTAGGTATACCACCAACCAGTATATTGTTAGTTTAACCAGATATATAACCAGGTTACAACATCTATAACATCTCTAGTTCATTTTTGTTTTCATTCCCTACACTCAGGACGTTGCCGCACATGCTTTCACCTCCGCCCAAAGGCTGATGAAATCCATTCCCCCTAGCATTGGATCTATTCTTTGGGCTGGTAGGGGGGATATTTGACATTGGGGTGAAGGGAATACTCAAAAAATGTTTCTTTGGTTGCATACTTCCATGTTTTTTGCTTCAATCCTAGTGTTTGCGGCTTCGATTCCCAAGGTTTGGTTGATGAAATTTCAAGTTTGGTTTGTTAAAGTGTTGGTTAGACATGTTAAAACACACATTTTGTTGCTTAAATCAGCAACTTTTGGGTTTTAACATCTCCATGTTTGTTGCTTCAGCTACCTGAGGCTGCATTCTGCTGACACCCTTCACCTTCTGCATGGAGGGTGCCCACATCGCAGCACAACGTCAACAGTGGCTCTCCCGACGACACTTGGGGATGGAACCGATGGAACACCTACCCTCCGTTAAAATTGGACTATCACCATCCATTACAAATGGGTATATAATGAAATATATAATGATATATATATATATAATGATATATATGTATATATGGGAATTAATGGATATTAATTTGGTATATGATATACCCTCCAGTAAATTAACATGACGACCCTGGCAGTCATCGGGCTTGGTTCAGATTAGTGAAACCACTAAAAATTTGGGTGAGAAAATAAAGGGTCAACAAGTTAATTTACCAGAGGCTAACACTAATATTTTATAGGAAAAAATGGATCATTGCAAATGTTAATTAATCAGATGATGTAACACCTTTTTTTATCACCTTTTTTTATCGTAGCAAACCGGAAAATCACCATGTTTACCCTCTGGTAATTTAACATAACTATGGAAAATCACCATTTTTAGTGAAATTTCCCATGAAAAATGGTGATTTTCCATAGTTATGTTAAATTACCAGAGGGTAATAGGTAAAAACTTGATACATCATCTGTAAATCGAGGGTATGCGAGGATGGGTTAAAACCCATGTATGATTTCCCATATGAATCGGGAGATGAATATCCAGAACTACTAAGTACCAGCCAGAGAGGCAATGAATCTTCTATTTTTTTTCCGAATCTCTATACTATTCCGTTCTCTATACGTATGGATTATTTTCCGGGTTTACATTTTATTACATTGTTTCAGATATGAATTGTTCTTCTTGAGCGCCCAAAAAGTGGGTTGCGATCTCCGAAGTGTCTCGAGATTTTAAGCTATTAAGCTAATGTTCTGTGATCGGGTGTGTGGAGTGGAGCAAGCTGAAGACCCGGAGGGAAACCCCCATGGAAACACGGGCAGATCTTGGGCCATGAACTTCGAGACATGGTGAAGTTTTTGTTGCCTACAACTATTAACATCTATTAACTATTGTATTTACAAAGGATGAGAAAGATGTATGTTATGTATATGTGACTCGATCTTCACATTTGTTTGCTTCCCCTCTTTGGCTGACGACGAGTGATATGTATGGATATATATATATATATCCATGATATATATTTATATATGATATATATATATATATTAATTATATATATGATATATATATATATATGGTACCCCCCCCGAGATCTACCTCAGACCATTTTGATATATTGTCTCTACATGTATATATATATAATATATATATAATATATATATATATAATATATAATATATATATAATATATAATATATATATAATATAATATATACAATATATTATATATATTATATATATTATATAATATATATATATATGTGCATATATGTATAAGAGTCAGTTATTTTTTAAAGATGTCTTGTGGGTAGTAGCTGTGCACACTATCAAAACAAGTTGGAAACAAAAAAAAATTTGACGACTCTTTGGGAGAGAACCCATGGGGAAAACTAAACAGATCAAAAAACTTCGAGAAAACCATCAAAAAACAATATTTGGAGACTCTTTGGGAAAGCCCCATTGACAAAATCAAAAAAACCTCGAGAAAACCAAAAAACAAAAAAAAAAAAACTTTTCAGAGAATGTTTGGTCTGAGGCTCATGTTTGTTTTTTTTGGTTTTGCCTAGTTTTTTTCTTTGTTTTTTTGGTCTTGACCTTGAAAAAACTAAAAAAACTCAAGGTTTTTTGTTTTTTTGGATAAAATGATGGTTAAAGAATTGTGAAAAGCAAAAAAAAACAAATGTTTTTTTTTTTGTTTTTGGGTGTTTGTGGCTTTTGTTTCTTTTTGGCTGCGCAATGAAAAACCAAAAAAAACCTTGAGTTTGGCACAGGTGAGACATGGGCTGATGTTGAAGCGGACGAAGCCACCTTTGACAAGAAGATCGTGCGTGGCAAACTCCACTGGGAGCAATGGTGCGGGATTGTGCAACGAGGAAAGCCGCAGACGCTTGTCCTTCATCGCCTCAAACCTCTTGCATCAAAGCTGCGAGCACCTGGGCCTGGAGCTGTTCGCAAAGTGGAGTGGAAGCCACTGGCAGCAAAGTGGCTGAAGGATCGGCAAGTCATCCTTCACACGGATTCTGCCAAGAGTTACGCCTCCAAGATCTCCGGCGTACTCCATGATCGGGTTGTCCACAAGAGAAAGCGGGTCAAGGTCAATGGGAAGTTCAAGTGGGTGGCACCGACCTATGTCAAGATCCAGAAGCACAAGATCCCTGGGACTAAGAAGACTCTGAGAGTGAAATCAGGCACCCAGATAGTGGATCGTTGTTGGCGTTACCTGAAGGAACGGTTGAATATCAACCAGCATGCCAAAGTGGGTAGCCGTTTGTTGCGCATTTAGTTGCGCTCAGCTCAGTACGAGTACTGGCTGCGAGGCCAAGACCTTTGGACCGCAACGGGTTCATTGGTCAAGTGGTTCATGGCAAAGTCCTAGATGGCCTTACTTGAGCAACTACGGCAATGGGGTAAAACAGGTTGCGTGTCTGCTGTGTGTATCCTAGCTAGTTCTACCTGTAGCAGATTTCTGTCTTCTCTTTGCTTGCTTGCATCAAAACTATCAACTTCCATGTGCACATGCCCTGTTGGATCCTTCCAGCAGCTGCCAACTTTTGCATGCAGCATGTACAATTGGTCATTTCACTTGAAATGCATCTCTTCTCAAACAAGCTCCTTGCATCAGAGCCTGATGTTTCCATATACACATGCACTTCTGTATTCCAAAAACATTTGCCCACATCTGCTCACAAAATTCCAAGTGAGCAAAGTCACTGCAAACTTAACTGAAGTGTGCAGTGAGTTTGACCATGTATGGCATCAAAAGTAGATCCACATCTGCTCACAAAATTTCAAGTGATCAAACTCACTCCACACTTAACTGAAGTGTGCAGTGAGTTTGATCATGTCTGGTGAACTCACTGCACACTTAACTGAAGTGTGCAGTGAGTTTGACCATGTACGCCTCCAGAAGAGCATCAAAAGTAGATCTTAGGGGGGGTGCCTAGCATATATATATATATCTATATATATATATATCTATGATATATATATATATATTTATGATATATATATATATGATATATATATATATGATATATATATATTTGATATATGGTATATATATATGATATATATATATGATATATATCATACACATGATATATATATATATGATATATATATATGATATATATATATAAATGATATATATATATGATATATATATATGATATATATATATATGATATATTTATATATATGATATATTTGATATATGGTATATATATGATATATATATAATAATATGATATATATATTTATAATAATATGATATATATATATATATTATAATTTGATATATATATATATGATATATATATATGATATATATATATATGATATATATATATCATATTATAATATATATATGTATATATATATATATACATGTTTGAAGTTGCTTTTCCAAAACAAAGCTTGGCCTGCTTGGTGGTTTTGAGGGCTTGCTTTGCTTGATGCTGACAGTCAGATGACGCAAACCCAGCTGACTTGTCACCAGATGGGTACGGTGCCAGTCGGCTGCCAGAGGGGCGGCCAGCTTAAGCTGGCCGCCATAGTAGTATCATAATACATGAAATTATCCAAGTCTGATTCGTTTAGAGCCGCTTCAAAATGAAACAAACCTACTCTCCACTACTGCAGCCCAGGACTGTTTCTTCTCACATCGTTGGTAGGTTCCAGAGGGGGTCGGCAGATTGGGCTGGGTACAGGCGACATGGCTGACGGGCCATAGCTAGGGATAGAATATGCCTCCGTTGATCTGTGGTGAAACAAAGAAAGAATCAAGATTCAAGACAGAGACGCACACACAAGGGTGCTTAGAAACCAGAACAAGAATTGGGGGAACCACAAGAAGATATCAAGAAACGTGACATGCATTCATTTTTGACTGCTTTGATCAGTTTTGCAGTCTTGGGCTTCTTAACCAACATTTGATACAGTGTGGATCAATGTGGTAAATCCATGTAGATCCAATCTCATAAAGCTCTTTCTCTGGGGATGACACAATATCCTGATGTAGGTAGAAAGATCCCACATTTTCTTGTGATTTACCAGAAATGGGCTAATGTCAACCCTGGATTCATAAACCCCGTTTACGGCCGTTTCATTGGGAAGGTGCTATCAAAAGCTGGTTGGTGGTTTGGAACCATGGAATTTTATTTTCCATTTCATATATGGGATGTCATCCTTCCCATTGACGAACTCATATGTTTCAAGATGGTTAAGTCACCACCAACCAGTATATATTTCATAGTTGGCTATGGAAGCCATGGCCCATAGAAATAGATGGTTGATGTTCTATAGATTCTATAGCTATGTTAAATTACCAGAGGGTAGTTGATGGTTTATACTGGAGATCATCCCCACAAAAAAACAGCGAATCAAATCATGACCGTCTCTTGGGGGAAGCCATAGAGATCCCAATTGGGGATGGTCGACCGAACTTGGATCTGGGTTGAAAAAAGGATGTGACCACAGATTGAGTTCAACTTATCAACTTCTTTTACATTGAAAAGGAAGTTAGAGGGAAATAGATAAGATCCAAGATACCTACATAGTCTATTTTGTACCAACATTTCACCATTCTATTTCTCAACATCCGTGCTTTTCCTAAGTTATAGCAAGTTTCGGACATGGATTTCTCCAATCAGCGGATTCTCTGTAGGGATTCTCCATTCCCAGACAGGACAGGCCCTTGATTTCCCAGAAAACAGACCATGCCCCGCCGCGTGCGCGGCGCGCGCAGCTGCTAGGTGTGAGCTTCCACTTCTTGCCGCAGACTGCTCAGCTCCCGACCCTCGACATGTCTGGTACTGTGACATTTTGATGGGGAAGATTGGTATTTCATGGGAAGATCATAAGATACATGACCAACAACAAGTAAAATCATCATCACCAGAAGTTGAAGCTTTGAGCCAGAAGTTGGAGGGGTTGATGGGTATTTCATGGGGATTTTCACCTACAAGTTGGTAACTGGAAGGCTCCAAGGCGGTATGACACTGAGGTTTGATAAATTAGGAGCATATGGGAGGTAGCACTGATACTTAAATACTTGGATTTGTCACTTTCTTAGGGATTGTTCAGGACTTGGGGCCATTTTTTGGGCATGTTCTATCCTGGAGTGACACTGATTTTAGTGGTCCAAGACTTGATGAAATCTTGACGAAATCTGGAGAAATGGGCATGGAAGTAAGGAGCCTATGGATACATCAGTAGTGCGGGAAAGGGTCTTGACAGGTCAATTATGGGTTGACAATAGCAACAAACTGTATCAATAGGCTCCAGTAAGCAGCCTCTCCAGCACATCAAAGCGGGGTAGTAACAGACCATGACACGTACCATGTCAACCCCGGATTTATCAACCACTGGCCTGTTTAGTTGGGGGTACCATTTCAATTTCTAGCAAATCATCATTTACCCTCTGGTGAACTAACATAGCAATGGAAAATCACCATTCTTAATGGGAAAATCCACTATAAATAGCCATTTTCCATTGCTATGTTAGTTCACCAGAGGGTAACCGGGCGGTTACCCGGGTACCCGCCGATTTTTCATGAACCGGAGTTTCATCCGAAGTTGACTTATGGAGGATCAGCGCCGAGAAAATAGAGATGGTTGCTGGGTTGGATATCCATTGGTCGGAGATTGGGAGAACCATGATGGCAACCAATGGATATCCATCAAAGGGTGAATTTTTAAAGGGTAAGAACCACATGGCAACTGGTCCACCAGCAGAAACCAGCAGATAACCAACATCGAATAAATATATATATATATAATCATATATATAATCATATATATACATACATTGGTGTTTCCTCAAAGCATGAGGATATGGGTTTGACATGAAACGTAGGTAAAGGCTGCGGCTCATGTCGCTCATGTGATACCGTTTGTTTTCTTCGGAACCATTTCGTGGTATTTTTATTTTTATTGTTGTGTGTGTGTGTTATTGTTGTTGTTATTATGTTTGTTCTTGTTACTTTTATTCCTTTAAACATATATACATTCATATGTACATGCCGCATCATGCCACACAATGGAACTACATTGTCTACATGATCTTGATATACAATGTTAAACGAACATTTGAGATTATCAGGTAGTCGCCAGCGATCATCAGATGATGACATATTCACAAAATGATTGTCAATTAGGATAGAGAATTCGTCTTTCATGGGTGTGGCCCATCCGACTCACAAATTCTGTGGTGATAAAGGTCCAGTCTGGTGATCAGGTTGGGTCCGCTTTTCTAGATTCGGACCGCTTGCAACTTCTCTTTTGTGCGGGTCCGGTCCCGTTTAGACCCTCAACAAGTTCAAGGGAAATCAAATTGCAAGTAGAAACCTGAGAAGAAACATATTTAAAAATCTCAGCAGATGGGTGGTCCCAGGAATCAAGAGCTGATTGGTGGTTTTGCATAGGCAGTGGCTGCTAAACACATTGGTTGATAGGAAGGCTAGTAGGGTTTTAGTATAATTTTAAAGGGGTGAACCATCAAGCATGTTTGAACATCATTGAATAATGATAGTTGGCTGATGATGTTTGATGATTGTAGAGGGTTAAACTATCCAGTTACCATGTAGTATACATTGGGGATTATCATCATCCATGAACTGGATAACTGGGAACCCCGTTCTTTACCATACTGTACAATGCAATGATAAATTGCTTTGAGCCCTGCTCACATGTTTGTCACTTCCCCTCTCGTGAAAGATGGTCCCTACTTGGCCGACGACTCAAGTATGAACGGCCTACCAGATCATAGTCTTGTTTGCAGTACCCTCTGGTAAACTAACATAACTATGGAAAATCACAATTTTTAATGGGAAAACTCACTATAAATGGCAATTTTCAATAGCTATGTTAAATTGCCAGAGGGTAGTTGTGTGATTCCCAATTTGAAACTGTCATGCTGCTATTGACTGATGGAACGCCAGGTTAGGGGTTCGAAACTTCCGCCCCCGGCTTGGCCGGGTTTTTAGTCTAAACTTCCGTTACGGACATACTTTGATCACATGTTGCCGGCAATCTGGAAGGACATTGCCAAGGACTTCTCAACGAAGCATGTTTGATGTTCTGGACTGAAATTGGACGCGGTCTTTTACTGTTTTTTTTTGTCGGCGCTTGGGCGAGCACATGTGGCCACCTGCTGTGGTTATTCCAGCGTTGTTTTGGGGGATTGGCTTGTTGCCAGCGCAAACCATGATTATTTACATACAAACAATTGGTGATTTCAGCGCTGGCAACAAGCCTTTCTGGTTTTTGGCAAACACGCTGTATTGGCGACGCTGTTAGTCGAAGCAGCAGGGGGTCCCAAATGGTTCTGATGCCACTAGCTGCTAGCTTCTGCCCATGGATGCCCTGACCGATGCCTAAAACATGCCCCTTCCCAGATTAGCAAACGTTACAATGATTTCTGCAGACTCACGCATGCCAGCTGTAAGGTCCCCTATGGCACCACCAATACAATTCCTTTCCATTCATGTATCGCCGTCCGTTTTTTGAAGAAGAACACCTCTGCACCCCAAGTGAATTCTGAAGCATTGAAGAAATCTTAAGACATGGCATGGAAGTAAGGAGCCTGTGGATGCATCAGTAGCGCAGGAAAGGGTCTTGACAGGTCAATTATGGGTTGACAATAGCAACAAACTGTATCAATAGGCTCCAGTAAGCAGCCTCTCCAACACATCAAAGCGGGGTAGTAACAGACCATGACACGTATCATTTCAACCCCGGATTTATCAACCGCTGGCCTGTTTAGTTTGGGGTACCATTTCAATTTCTAGCAAATCATCACTTAACCGGGCGGTTACCCGGGTACCCGCCGATTCTTGATCAACCAGGGTTTCATCCGAAATTAACATTCTGAGACGCTTACATATTCAGAAGGGCTAAGAAGGACTTGAAAGGTGAGTTGCAAAAAACATCTCTGCTAGCGCTAATAGAGATGGTTGCTGGGTGAACATGCATGGCAACCAATGGATATCAATCAAAGGGTGAATCCTGAAAGGGTAATAACCACATGGCAACTGGTCAACCAATAGATAACCTTTCTTCAAAGCATGAGGATGTGGGTTTGGCATGAAACGTAGGTAAATGCTGTGGCTAATGTTGCTAATGTGATACCGTTTGTTTTTCGGAACAATTTCGTGGTATTGCGTGTTTTTGTTATTGTTGTAATTATTACTGTCGTGTTGGTGTTGGTGTTGTTGTTGCTGCTGTTGTAATTATCAGTGTTATTCATACTATTTCCAAAATATTTACATGTATATATATATACATTATATATATACATCCGCATGTAAGTGTGAAGCACAATGGAACTACTTGTCTACATGATCTTGAAATACAATGTTAAACGAACATTTGAGATTATCAGGTAGTCTCCAGTGATCATCAGATGATGACATATTTACAGCATGACTGTCAATTAGGGTAGAGAATTCGTCTTTCATTGGTGTGGCCCATCCGACTCACAAATTCTGTGGTGATAGAGGTCCTGTCTGGTGATCAGGTTGGGTCCGCTTTTCTAGATTCGGACCGCTTACAACTTCTCTTTTGTGCGGGTCTGGTCCCGTTTAGACGCTCAACAAGTTCAAGGGAAATCAAATTGCAAGTAGAAACCTGAGAAGAAACATATTTAAAAATCTCAGCAGATGTTAAACTTGAATCTTGAGGGCCCGGAGCTATTCTGAGCCGAGGTACTTGAGCAATGCCCATCCCTCGTTGTTGATTGTTTAGATATTGACTCTACTACAATCGTAGGTGGTTGAATGGGAATTATGATCTATTCCAATGCGGGTTTGTCTGAACGCGGGTATCCAAAGCCACAGCTTAATCATCATGTTCCACATTGAGTTAGCCGCTAGCCATTTTGGGTATTCCCCATTTCTAGGCAAGCCAACCCACATGAGAACTGTAACCAGCCAGTAGGCTTGGGGATGGCAGAGAGCAAACTGGGCCTTTTTCTTTCCAGAGTGGTCCCAGGAATCAAGAGCTGATTGGCGTTTTTTTTTGCATAGGCATTGGCTGCTAAACACATTGGTTGATAGGAAGGCTAGTAGGGTTTTAGTATAATTAAAAGGGGTGAACCATCAAGCATGTTTGAACATCATTGAAAAATGATAGTTGGCTGATGATGTTTGATGATTGTAGAGGGTTAAACTATCCAGTTACCATGTAGTATACATTGGGGATTATCATCATCCATGAACTGGGAACCCCCGTTCTCTACCAAACTGTACAATGCAATGATAAATTGCTTTGAGCCCTGCTCACATGTTTGTCACTTCCCCTCTCGTGAAAGATGGTCCCTACTTGGCTGACGACTCACGTATGAACGGCCTACCAGATCATAGTCTTGTTTGCAGTAGTTGTGCGATTCCCAATTTGAAACTGTCATGCTGCTATTGACTGATGGAACGCCATGATGCGGGTTTGAAACTTCCGCCACCGTCTTGTGCTGTTTTTTAGTCTAAACTTCCGTTTATGGACATACTTTGATCACATGTTGCCGGCAATCTGGAAGAACAGTACGAAGGACCTCTCAACGAAGCATGTTTGATGTTCTGCACTGAAATTGGACGCGGTCTTTTAGTGTTTGTCGGCGCTTGGGCAAGCACATGTGGCCAACTGGCTGTGGCTATTCTTCGATTTTTTCTTGGCAAGCACCCGCGCCAACACACGAGCGCGCTTTGCTGCTCCATGGAGTTATTGGGCGAAGCAGCGGGTTGCCCTGAAGGGTCTTGGGGCCTTCTTGCCACTAGATTCTGCCCGTGGATACTTTGACTGCTGAACCATTTGCCCCATTCCAGACTGGTAACGTTTCAATTCTGATTTTTGTAGGCTCACGCATGCCAGCTGCAAGGTTCCCTTTGGCACCGTTTCCATCCATGTTTTGCGTTTGCTTTGGAACAGAACGCTTCTACACCTCAAGTGAATCATGAAACATGCCCGGTTTTTTGATGAACATACTTGCAAAATTCGTTGTCCGCAGCATGATTTACCAAATTCATCCGGAACAAAATTAAACCTATGGGTGCTGATGTTTTTCTTTAATGTGTCAATCTCTTTCAATCCTGCCGTGGGGAGGTTAGCTCACAATGGCCAATAATTAGTGGAAGGTAGGAACAAATAACCAACGGAAAATGGCCATGTCAATTTGAGGTCCAGATTGGGCAAACACATGTTGACCTTGGGGTTTGCATCCATTTCGAATACAGTAAACCATTCATGCAATTGGCTGATGTTTATTTTTCCGACATTTTTCTCCATGCCTTGAAATGATTCAGCCATATTCAGCCCCATCAAGATGGAACATATTAGAACATCCACATCATCTTATTGGCCGCGCCTTTCAGGGAGATTTGGGCCGTTTTCGTGGTGTATCTTTTCGCCCGCGGTGTCTGGTACTCCTGGGGTCTTTGGCGCCCCGGCGGCGTACTCCGCGCCGCCTGACGTTGCGGTTCGGTTGACGCCAGGCGCCAGGTGGTTGGAAAAAGGCGTGGCGTTGTGTGGCACACTGCATCGGTGTTTCAGTGGTGATTTTCATGTTATTTTCAGAGGATATCAATAGAGATGTGGATGTGCAAAATGCAGATATAACATGATATAAGAAGAGAAAATCACGGATTTCACGAAGCAACATTCGGAATTTGGATGATGGGTTTTAATACCATGGATGTGGATCAATCAGATACCAATAAAATTTCGCGCAAAATACTTGTATCCCCCGGATACCGTATTTTTGGCCAACAATAATTACATGTTCAAAGGGTGCTCAAAATTGAAGAGTCAAATGATATTAACCCGCTCCAGTTTGCTGTTTTGTTTTTTGAACTACTCGTACGCGTTTGTTCCCATCATTGAAACATTGTTTGCCACAATTCTAGTAAATGGAAAATTTACAATGAAACACCTGCAAAATCATTGAAACATTGTTTTCCCATCATTGGTGTTTCATTTTTGGAGGTTTTCCAAATTGGTGTGGAAAATCCAGGAACTAAAAGAAGGAAATAAATGGATCATCCACCAATGTCAAAGATCATTCCATTTGGGCCAATATTCAGCCTATTGAAACCACCTACAGGATGGTGCTGCCCAATGACAAGTTGGTTAACAAAAACCCATTAACTATAGTTAGTTATATCTACCATAAACCATAGTGAAACCATTTATAGATATTTATAGTTTACCCTCTGGTCATTTAACATAGCCATGGAATCCATGGCCCATAGAAATAGATGGTTTACCTATTAAAAATGGTGATTTTCCATGGCGAACTGTTAAATAACCAGATGGTATATCTCAGGTTGTTTTTAGTGGCCTAAAAGATGAGATTTGATTCATACCCTGTTGGCCTCGCAAGCGTCTAAGGTTACACTGTTTTACCTTTACGGCGCCAGTGGCTCAGAAAACGAGGGCGTTCGGATGGCTACAGTAGGATGACAGAAAAAGTGACCCAGGGAACCATGATTTTTTAGTTTCGTCACATGATCAAAGGTCCATGAATGAATATGAATGATGCGAAAATGATGATGCTTCATCTTTGGGTGAAAAAACAGAAGCGCCAGAAAACTCTTCCAAAATCAGATTTGGAATGTATCGGTTACCTCAAGTTTCCTTCTTTGCATATCTACCTTAGATGGTGATTCTAGTCAATTTTTTGGGATGAGTAGCTCAAGCATTTTCCAAATGGAAATCGGCAAGGTGGGACCTCCCCAATCTGCGGTGGTGATTTATTGTGTAAGGTATCTTTGCTCTGTGAAAGTCCCAAATCATTTGGGGATGGGTCAAGTTACCTAGGAACTTACCATGGGGGAATAAACATCTCTTTCAGAACCAGCTAAAACTTGCCGACCTAGGGACATCTAGGGACCTAGGGAGTTTTGCCTCGTTTCAACATGTTTCCCGAGGCAAGGGTTGAACATCAGCATGTCTCGCAGCCCTGCGACGCCCAGGTGGTCCCCATTTCTTATCAGGGAAAGAGCTACAACATTCCTGCCAGCCGGCGAGAAAGAAGTGTGGTTACGGTGGTTCAAAGTGGGCTTTCCCCGCGGAGTAAAGGGATATACGGTGATTAACAAAATGGAAGATTTTCCAGCAAACCATGCTTGAAACACCAGCATGAAGGATGGGGTGGGGGTCACCACAGGTCAGGGCGAGGTGGAAACCTCATTTGGTAAGTTGAGGGATTTTTCTAACCATCATATTGGGGATGATCATTGGGATTTTCATACAACTGGGAAATCTGTTCTTCACCAGGATTTTTCTTGGAATGACCGCGGCTTTTGACCACTGCTCTTTTTTGAAATGGACCATACTTCCAAAGCATTTGCAATGATTTGCGGTGCATCCCCGGTAGAATTTCTGCAGTGGACACGTGGGCATGTGTCACAGTCAGGGTACCCACAAATGGATCCAATTCCATCGACCCATGGACCCGTGTTGCGAGTTGGGTTGGTTTTTGATGCCGGTTTTTGTCGATTAGTCGACATCCCAAGTTTCACCCGAAAGTTTCTCCAAAAATTGGATTGGTGAAATGATGGAATCAGGCTTGGGTTTGTCTGACACTTGGGTACCCCTAAAAGTGTTGCTTAATGATCGTTTTCCTTGTTAGCACAACCAGTTTGGGGCATCCCAGACACATCCATTACCCATCATTGTTGGTTCTATATACCTTGATATCTCCAGAAATCACATTATATTCCTTCTCATAGATTCGCCAATTAAATCCCAATCTTAAGACACACTCACATCCTTATATCAGATTGTTAGTTAGTTATTCTCCATTACATCCCCATTGAATCATCATTAAATCATCAGTAAATCACCACTAAAATCATTAAATCACCCTTAAACCACCATTAAATCATCATTAAATTCCATTAAGCCACCATTAAAATCCCATTAAATTCCATTAGATCACCATAAAATCACCATTAAATCATCATTAACTATGGTTAACTGACAATCTTTCAGCTCCTTTCAGCTCGCTTCCCGAGCCGGCTCCCACGGCTCGGCTCGAAATTCCCCAGTTTTGAGGTGACGATTTACTTTGACGCGCCATATCCAAAACAACCTCCGCGCTGTTTCGTGACGTGGGGTCGCCCAAGGTTACCCTCTGGTAATTTAACAGTTTGCTATTGAAAATGGCCATTTATAGTGGATTTACCCATTAAAAATGGTGGTTTTCCATAGTTATGTGGTCACGTTTACCAGAGGGTAAGGGCATCAAAATCTGATGAGTCCATGAGTGTGAATGGTAAAAAAAGGGATCCAACCAAGGATTTTTTTTATGGATATTAACCAGGCAAATTGGTGTTTTTTTCATGAGAACTAGGGATTTGAAGATTTGAAAAGGCAATTCATAAGGATTTCATCAAGCCAAATGGGGAGTCAACATGAGTCAACCATCACCAACAAGAATCTCAGAAAGGGTTAAGTCAAACTACTGGATTATGATGATTATGAATATTGGATCCATCTGAAGACGGAGTAGACTTCCAATTTTTTTGGCCATTTTTCCATGAGGACAATGATGATTGACCAGTGGATTGTTCCGACAAAGCCACATTGATAGGATGTGTTGCGGAGTGAAAGAAAACTTGACGCATATGTAGTGGTCTCCAAAGAAAATCACTACATCGGAATCCAATTTGATATGGATATGAATCAACCCCCAGAAAGAATCCCATGGTTTTTCCCTATGAAAATTCGAATTTGTGGCTTTCTCCTCAGGTTTCCAAACCAAGAAATCTCTTGTCATGGCGAAGGCCCACCAATGGCATGGCTCTGAAACCCAACCACTTGAATGTGGATGCCGGTGGCATGTGGGGATGCCCAGAGCGGGGATGATGCGATGAACGAAGAGACAGCAACAGAAATTGATATCCCCATATGCGAACCATGGTGCTGGTATGTTTACCTACAAAACTGGGTGATTTCTAAGATTTTCATTTATTTTCCTATTGTTTATAGGGGAAATGACCGAATATCTGGGTAAATTTGATCACGACCGAACCCTGTTCTCCCGAGCCCTGGAAATCATGGTTAGGATTCGGGAAATCATCCCCTTTTATGGCCGCAAGATTCAGGTTAGTGAAATATTATTTCATTTACCCAGCCATATTAGCTCACCATGGTGCTGGTATATAAAAACCTACAAAACTGGGTAATTTTGGGCAAGGGCTTTGTTGTTGGTGTGCATATTCCAGCACCATGGTGAGCTAATATGGGATCTTGGGGAAACGCAAAAGAAGATTCTCCAATTTACCCTCTGGTGAACTAACATAGCTATTGAAAATGGCAATTTATAGTGGATTTACCCATTAAAAATGGTGATTTTCCATAGTTATGTTAGTTTACCAGAGGGTAATCTTACTTGTGCTAAACGAAGGGAATGAGGGAATGATCCACAATAACTATCAATAAGAATCACATTCCCCCATTCCCATCCATTCCCCACTAAGCACCAGTAAGTAATAGTGGTTTAATTAAGGGATTCACCAAGCAACAACAATGGTGATTTGATATATTTCATAAGATATTCATGGGTACCCTCTGGTAATTTAACATAACTATGGAAAATCACTATTTTTTATGGGAAAATCCACTATAAATGGCCATTTTCAATAGCTATGTTAAATTACCAGAGGGTATATAATGGTTTGACAAAAAACCAACCATAATTGAGATCTTACCGCGAAGAATCGCGAAACACCCCGCAGGAAACCCATGGTGGATGTGGGGGAAACACGTCCCGAAAAAACTGGGACCTTAAACAAAATATGGAGATGCTGAAAATCTGCGCGGGATGGGGGTTGGATACACTATTAGTAAACATTCACAGTTTGCGACATTGAAAAAATTGAAAATGAACCATTTATGGGTGATTTACCGTTCTTAAAGATGGTGATTTTCCAGTTCGCTATGTAAACGTTTACCAGAGGGCATTAAGATGGTGATTTTCCATAGCTATGTAAACGTTTACCAGAGTGTATTATTTGTCCTAAGAACACCTAGAAATAGTTTCATAATATAAGACCGGCCCAAATGACGTTCCGTTCCTGGACACGTCCCCGCTTGGTAAACAAAGCTAGCAAGGGAGCATCCTACATCAGAGTTTGCACGGAAATTGGTGTACTGCAAAATGCTATGGATTATCATCATATTCTCCACATTATGTTGATTACCATCTTGTTGGTGGTTTGGAACATTTTTTATTTTTCCATATATTGGGAATAATCCCAACTGGCTTTCATATTTTTCAGAGGGGTAGGTATACAACCAACCAGGTTGATTACCATAGTATTATTTGGTGATTACATTATATTATTTATAGAAAATGGATGATAATAGTGTACCACATTATGTTGATCATTGATTACCATTATATTTTTAAAATGTATCCACCAACCAGCTTGATGCATGATGTTCCGATATGGGCATTTCCATGGCGATTCGGCTCAGGATCTACTTACCTTACCTCAGCAGTTGGTCGGAGACGGCGTCCACGTTGCCACAATTGGCGTCTTGACATTGGCATCTGGATGTGCTGAGTTGATTCATGTCTTTTTTCCCGGACAATTTCACGACTTGGGGTCCCATATTTATAACTGACTTACCGATAAAAACGTGGTGATTTAATGGGATTGAATGGGATTTATTCGGATATATGATGGTATACCCTCTGGTAATTTCACGACTTGGGGATGTTTCTTTGGAATACGGTTATGACTAACGTAGCTGTGGAAAATCACCATTTTTGATAGGTAAATCATCATAAATCCTCTATAAATGGACCATTTTCCATAGCTATGTTAAATAGCCAGAGGGTATTTCGATTTTTTTCGGGTTCCTTAAGCAAATCCAAGTATATTGATATATGTGTATTGTTGGAGTTTGCATGGCACAGAATGATACATCAATTTGTGTAATGTGCAGGTATGCATACCTTGTAACATATATTCACATTCCTGTATTGATGTCTTGACAGGTTTGAACACACAATAGATGTTACTGGCAGTTGCTGGTATGACATCTATATATATGTAATTACTGTATATAATATAAGGTGAGGCCCCCCAGTGATGTTTGTTGGTTTAACCCCATAAAGTAGTTCTTTGTATCCCCCCCATAAACCCAGTCCAGTCCAGCAAGTTACGCTAGCGGAGCTACCGAGCTATCGTGTTCACGTGGGCCTCACCGAAAAAATATTCTCTCCCTCACCTTGTATATTCATTCAAAAACCCATTAATATCAAATTGGTATCCAGCTATCTTCATCTATATCCAGTTATATCATGTTATATCCCAATGATTTTCCCGCTTTTGTTGGCTAAGTTCCATGCTTGATAATAAGATAAAGTTTCCCTTGATTTGATAAGTGCATATCAACTGACCTCGACTGATGAGGCCCTCCTTCCTATGCGCTTCCAGCATGCTATAACCCCACAAGCAACGCCTCTGGCACCGGAAGTGTATGGAAAGCTTATGCGATGTTGGGGTCCTCTTGTTTCAGAGAAAACGCCATAAACCATGATAAACTACCTTAAACTATCACAAAGGATCATAAACTACTGTATCATACACTGGCTCATGTAATAAAAAAACCATCCCCTCTTGTCAGACCTCACATCGTCGATTTGCTCAGAAAAATGAAGCTATATACAATGGTACAACGGCAGCCCAGCCAACAGGTCCTGATCCTTTTATTGACAAACAGAACTTATCCGTTTCCATTTTGGCTAGTGCTTAGAGATTTACAAAATATAACATTCTGGTTATTTAACATAGCCATGGAAAATTACCATTTTTAATAGGTAACCCATCTATTTCTATGGGCCATGGCTTCCATGGCTATGTCAAATAACCAGAGGGTAACAAATATCTACAAATGGTTTCACTATGGTTTATGGTAGATACTACAAACTTATAGTTAATGGTTTTTTTTCAACCAACTTGTTACAACATCATAGCTGTTTTGACTCGTTTACCGATGTTGACATGTCGCCCTGCCTGCACCTGGAACCGCGGTTCCCCGCGCGCAGGTGACGGCCGTGACGGAATGTTTCTCCGCGTCGCCGCCGGTCTACTCCACCACCACGGCACAGAGGTGGCAGCGATTTTTTTCGCATCGCTCTGGAAGATCCCTTGTTTTCTGGAAATGATGATGTTCAAAGATGGTATTTCCGCAAAAACATGGGAAACACTTGGAAAAAAAATGGTATATCTTCCTGATTTTGCAGCCTTTGAGATTTTTGAGGTTGACCAGGCCATGTTTTTCTCCTTTTTGGTGGATGGAATTCATGTTTGGTGAATCCCATGTAGGCCGACGCAAGAGCAACAAGCAGCGCAGCCTGCGCCCGACGGGCTCAGTCGGCGTCAAGGGTTTTTTCAAGCTGAGCCATAAAAAAGACACAAACGTTGATGAGTTATGAGTTATATGGAATTATACTACCTGGGTTCTTGTTTTTTTTAACTAACCCAGATTTAAACCGGAAAGCCTACTGTATCAACCAACTAGTATTTCATGAGATGGGAAAACGGGGTATTTTCAATGCCTCAGCTGTGATGTTCATGGGAAGATGTCCCATATGGAGGGGATCAACGTGGATAAACAGCCCGCCGGGTTGGAAATGGGCCGAGTAAAAACAGCGTTTTCATGTGACTGGCAAGAAGTCAATCATGCGTTTCGCAGTGTTTTTTCATGTTTTTATGTTGTCCATGAAGGTCAATTCTATTGTGATTTTGAATTTTCATTGGGATTTACTGTATATAGTTGACATGTCGGAGTGCGAAAAAGGTTCCTTTTGGGAAGTCAGCGTGCCCAAAACCTCAGCGGCAGCCATTTTTTCCGGTGATCTCTACATCTTCGCTAAGTACGCACCTGTTTTCTCCAACAGGGCTTTTCCAACTACATTTGCCTCCCATCGCCACTGCCATGTGCGAACGTACGTCCAAATGAGGTCATTCAATTGTTGTTCAACTGATCGGGAACACTGGCAAGTACGTGAACGTTATTACCCCGCCCCACCCCACCCCACCCCTGCGTGACGTGACACATCTTCAACGTAGCATGACGTATGTACGCACGTGCAAGTGAACGTGCCGTGGCGTAACATCATGGGAGTGCGCAAGTACGTGAACGTTATTGCCCCACCCCACCCCACCCCACCCCTGCGTGACGTGACACATCTTCAACGTAGCATGACGTATGTGCGCACGTGCAAGTGAACGTGCCGTGGCGTAACATCATGGGAGTGCGCAAGTACGTGAACGTTATTACCCCACCCCACCCCACCCCACGCCTGCGTGACGTGACACATCTTCAACGTAGCATGACGTATGTGCGCACGTGCAAGTGAACGTGCCGTGGCGTAACATCATAGGAGTGCGCAAGTACGTGAACCTTATTACCCCACCCCACCCCAAGGAACATATATAAAACTGCCTAAAATGCTCGGACGGTTTTCAACCCGTAGGCATAAACATCCACCTATTTACCAGCTGAGATGTGATTTTCCCATGTTCTTTCTCGGCAAAATAGTTGATCTATATTTTGGCATCATTTCCCATTGAAGAAATTACGATTTAAACTGGGACACGGCCGTGGGATACCGTGGGAGAGGGCCCAATTTCTGGACAAAACCATAGAAATGGCAGATGGATAGCCCGCTGTGAAAGCTATGGGCCACCAGAGTTTTGATCCGGAGCCAAATAGGAAGGGATGTGTCGAACATCAGTTCTGCCTGAAGAATGTCCTTAAACCTTGCTTTGATTGATTGATTTTTCATTGTTGAACCGAATTGGAGTACAAAATCCCAAGAAATGACATCTTTGAGGCTGGTGGTTTGGAACATGAATTTTACTTTTCCGTATATTGGGGATAATCAGCCCAACTGACTAATATTTTTCAGAGGGGTAGGTATACCACCAACATCCACCAACCAGGAGGGTCAATCATGTCAATCCTCACCTCCAAATGGGCTCTGTGAATCTCTATTCTTCGGATGTTTGGGATGTTTTTTCGAAGTTGTTTTCTGGTTGAAAAAAAAGTCGAATTTTCTGGTTAGGGCTGCGGATTTTTGGCACTGATAACGATCAATATTTGCATGATTCGAATATTTGTACCTCAGAATGCCTGAATTGAATAGAACCAGTGATCAATTTCACATTCGCGCCCTTTTTTCAGTGAGATCGCCATTCTCTGGACTGAGATCATCCTTCCACTACTCTATATATATATATATATATAGATAATAATAAATATATATATATATAATATTATATTATATTATATTATGTTATATTATATTATATTATATTATATTATATAATATAATATATATATATATTATATACGCGGGGATTTCCTAGGTCATGGTGGTACTCCCAAGTCATCCATTTTAAAAGAATGTTCCATTATAGACTATCCATTTTGGGACACCACGACTATGGAACCCCCATTTTTTCCAAGGCAACAAGGCCCAGTGGCTGGCGTCTTGAACTTCCTGGGTTTGGGAGGTGAGGATGGCAGCCGCCCATCAAATGGGGTTCAACCAAAAAACGGCTGAAGATAGCTCTCGAAAATGGAGGTTTTACCTATAGAAATGGGACATTTTACATATTTTATCAAGACAAATGGGGACTTAAGCATCCTTCTTTGTGGTTGTGGGTTGGGCTCGGGGATTCATCAAGAGACGGTCTGGAGACTCTGGTGGAAGCTGGGCGTTTCTGGGCAGAAGATCATCCAAAATCCGCCTGAAATTGGGATGAGATGTACAACAATCAGATCGTGATTTAACAATCAGATAGTGGATTATATAGATTTATTATGATTTATTTTCACGGTAAATCGTTAGTTAAATCAACAACAATCGGGATTTTTCACATTGTTGGTTCAGTCTAGTCCATCTCATTCAACCAATCAGTTGAAGCAATGGATGGGTGAGTGTGCGCCTTTTTGTATGACAACTTTGATGGGGAACATGATGTCAAACAATGAGGGTTGGGGGTACCGATATGCATTAATATGAATGTTAAACAAATTCCATAATATATCAATATATATATATTATATATATATATAGATCCAATAAGTATTGATCTACTGTATGTATTGATGTATGATATCACATCACATCACATCCTATCCTATCCCATCCCATCCTATCCTATCCTATCCTATCCTATCTATCTAGTATGCCATTGATTTTCTCCACCCATCTTCGCCCATGTTTTCGAAGAGGTCAGCAATCCAGCCCAGCGCAGCCTGCGCAGCCTGCGCAGCCGACGCCAGTAGCACGGTGCTCAACAGCGATGAAATCATCTGGGTTGAATCACGGAGCTCAACAGCTTCCGGAGCCAAAATGGTGATGAATCTATGGTTAATCTATGGTGAATTATGATGAAAATGATGGCTAGTAATGGTTAATGATATGCTTAATGATTGTCAGTAATAATATCTAACGCTTCGAATGTGCTTTCTTTTTTGGGGGCGCTGTTTACAGGGATTTACTGATTTACGTATCAAAACTAGGGAACATCAACCATTGGAATGGCCAAAGCGGGCCAAATCGGGATCCAACCAACCAGCCAAACAGGATAATTTTTCCGCAATGAATGGGCGGATGTTGGCTTTGTGACCAACAATGGGTAGGACCGGGTAGGACCGGGTACAGTAGGACCATTTTGGACCCCCCAAAAATGGCAAATTTTTCACGGAAAACGATGATGATGAACTCTGAATTACCTATGAATTACCTTCTTAGAAGTAATTACCTAGGAAAAAGAAGGTAACCCATGAATTACCTATGAATTAGTGGTTGGTGTTGCTTTGGGTTACCTTCTTTTATCAATCCTGCGCCTGAAAAACCGAACACACAGGATCGATCCATTGGATACCCTGCGACCAAGGCTTCCTTAAATTGTTTTAGGATACCCGGCCCGGTAAACAAACATAACTATGGAAAATCACCATGCTATTAATGGGTAAATGATACCCGGCCTGGTAAAGGTGTTTACATTTTGCGAACTGGAACATCACCATGCTATTAATGCTGGGTAAATCAACTATTTCGACTGGGCCATTTTCAATGTCGCGAAGTGTTAAATTACCAGAGGGTAGACCCAGTCACCTTTTGATTGAAGCACCTTCCAAATGGTCAAATGGCCAGAGAACACTGAAGCCATGAGCTTTGTCACTTTCTCCAATTCTATGGATGTCCTATTCCCAGTGGTTGAGGTTTCCCCTTTATATAACAACCATGAAACAACCTTTATATTGTAGGTAGTTAGATGATGTTAGATGATCATAAAATATCAGAATTTCTCTGCCAAACCATAACAACCATGGAACAACCAATACCCTCTGGTAAACTAACATAGCTATTGAAAATGATCATTTATAGTGAATTTTCCCATGAAAAATGGTGGATCTTTCCATAGTTATGTTAAATTACCAGAGGGTAGATACTCTGGTTGTTAGATGATCATCTCAGAAATCCTCTGCCAAACTGGCCCCTCTATTTTTCCCTTTTAGGACAATGTTTTTTGTTTTCGATGTGCAGCTCGGGGGTGGCCACACGTGTCCCTGCTGGATGGTTGGTTTCATGGAAAAAGCCTATTAAAATGGATGATGACTGGGGGTACCCCATGACTTAGGAAACCTCCCTATCTATGTGAACATCAACCATTGAATAGTGCTGCATCTCAATATACACATAACCACAAAACATACTTGCGCCCAAAAATACAGATACAGCCTGTACTGTATCTAGATATTTGATGATATTTGAGCAGTGGCCATGCTTTCCGATCTTGACCTTCATGCGAACATTTCTTTCTTGGTTATACATGCTGGTCATTTTCTCACCATTTTTTTGATACACATTACATAACATTACATAACTCATTAATTGAATCCCTATAATTCGTGAGAAATTTCCCTCTAAACCACCAATAAGACCTATGAGCCCCTCCATATTTCCTTATGTGTTTTTAGTTCTATATATATACTGTATATATATATATATCTGGCTACATATATGGGCAAGTATATATATATACCCATTAAATTGCAATTCCTATTAATTTCCGTTTAATTTTCATATTGGTTATATCACCATCAAAAACTCTACTCATTGGATCCCATACACTCACCATTAACCACCATTGGATCCCATACACCATTGAACCAACATTAAATCATATATTATAATCACCTTTGAATCACCATTAAATCCCCTAAAGTCCAATCAAATAACCATCTTTGCTTGTTGGTTATAAATGTTGGCTATATAGCCCCATTAAATCACCATTCAAAACACATTAGATAATCACAACCATGAAATCCTGAGAGAATGTTTGGATCACCATGCTGTGGATGGAAGAAATCCTGCACCTCGGATGGTTGAAAGCCCAACACAATAATGGGATGTTTACCACCAATTTTCAACCGGTGCAGGATTCCGCAACCATCCACAGTATTATCGTTAACAATCTATCAAACCACCACAATTGTAGTGATTTATATAACACAGAATTATCATTAATAATCTATTTGGAGAGATTCCAGATATCACTGGGATATTTCATATGATCGTTACCCCCCCATATTTCCACAACAATCATGTATATACCAAAAAAACCCACATGTCTTGATCTCAACCGATTCTCCCCGCGATTTGTTTTCAAGGTTAAGGCCGTGCCGGTTGCGAAAGCGGTAGCGCAGCCCGTTCAGGGGCCTGTGGTACCTGGGCGGCTTTGAACCAGGGCGGTGTGCGAACGGGAAATATAATGAAATATATAGTGTTATATTGATGGTTAAATATACCATACTATATTCCCATTACTTAACTATCCACGATAGTCACTATGTATATTTTATGGTTAAAATGGATGGTTTATAATGGAAATGGGGTACCCCTATTTTAGGAACCACCCCATCTAGATTATGTATAATGTGGTTAAAACAATGCCATAAACCAGCAATTTGGGAATGGGAGCTATACCACCTAAAAATAGGTGAAATGGGGAATGGCTTATTACTGTTTTACCAACATTATAGATGTACATACTGGCTATGGCATGGTGGATAGTTAAGTAGTGGGATTATAGTATGGGATATTTAACCCTCAATATAATATTATATGTTATTTGATATTGTTTCAATATAATAATATAGAACAGATTATCATCACTATTCACTATTCACACGAGTCATGTTAATGGATTTAAGCACTTTCCAATATCATAAAAATGATTTTAAACATCAAACACATGCTTCAAAATATGTACCCTGGTCAAAAATTGTGTTAGATAAGCCTTTGGGGGATTCTTATCAATCCATTTTCATTACGGGATTGATAGATACAAGCATAGTAGTGGGACTTCCATTACGGGATGATTATAAACCATATTACCATTTGGCTTATTGCATAGGTATTTATTGGATTTAATGGAATTTAATGGGATTTATTAGGATATATGATGGTATTACCCTCTGGTAATTTAACACTTCGCTATTGACTGATTTCCCATGTTTTTCCATTTCAGAGGAATATATATATAGTATGATTGGGAAGAAGTTGATGTACAGTAGCCTTTACTTTTGTTGTTAAAAAGAGCTGCAGGGGGTATCTAAGATTAGCCGCCAAATCAGGTTGGTGTTCATTCTCGCACACACTTCATTTATCTTCATTCATAGTTCAAAGGTTTCATCTGATTGGTGGTTTGGAACATGAATTTTATTCTTCCATATATTGGGAATTTCATCATCCCAACTGACGAACTCCATCATTTTTCAGCGGGGTGGCTCAACCACCAACCAGATGGTTATTAATGGTTATATATGGTCATTAATAATGGTTTTTCTGGTTATGAAAATGGTGCTTTTCATGGCTAGTTGATGGTTATTACAATAATAATTAATGTGGCTAGTCATTTTTGGCACTAAATCCCTCTTCTTGATGGCACTACTCTCTGGTAAACTAACATAACTATGGAAAATCACCATTTTCAATGGAAAAATCCACTATAAATGGCCATTTTCAATAGCTATGTTAAATTACCAGAGGGTAGATCCCAAGTTAAGGTGAAATCCCCACATGGGAGCCATGGTTCGTCAGCCTGTAGCTGTGAACATCAAAATAGCTCAATCTTTGGTGCTGCTGCTGAAGCCACCTGGGAAACAACCATCCATAAATTTACCTTAAGTTGTTTCTAAATTCCGCAACTTTGATGTGAGTTTTTCTGTATATTTCCATAAATAGAGCTTACATCTGGGGAAATTCCCCATTTCCCCAGAAAAAAAACCAAGTTTCCTCAAGTTTCCCATCTTGATTTTCACACCTTGCCGAAGAAACACCGTAATCGCTAGGCCACCGTCATCGCGACCACCGTCTCGTCGTCCGGCAGCCCGGTGGCTGGAAACCGTCGAGAATGATGGGATTTCGATGGAGGATTTCAGCGCTGATGGGAGAAGATACCCTCTGGTTTACATACCATGGTGGTTTGAAAAGGGTGTTTTTCGCTTGGCTGGTTTACAACATGGTGGAAAAAACACATCATACCCTCTGGTAAACGTGACCACAAAACTATGGAAAGATCCACCATGCTATTAATGGGTAAATCCACGAACTAAATCACCGTTTTCAATAGCAAACTGTGAGTGTTTACCAGAGAGTAGGGAGAAAATATATAGGGGATGATATAAATCTATATAAATCTGGATATTTCATACTATAAATATGATTATATATCATATAAATCATATAATATTTCATGGGATACTTTGCTGCATACTTTCTGGGGATTTCTGGATGATATTTCCATGTCATGATCGCCGAAAAAAAATGCCCCCAGAGAAAACCTCCATGGATGACAACTGGGGAAAGAGTTTACCCTCTGGTAAACTAACATAGCTATTGAAAATCACTATCTTTAATAGGTATATCAACTATAAATGGGCCATTTTCAATAGCTATGTTAAATTACCAGAGGGTATAAATTATAAACAGTGTTGGTACCCTCTGGTAAACGTTTACATTTTGCGAAATGGAACATCACCATGCTAAGCATGCTATTAATGGGAAAACTCACTATTTCGACTGGGCCATGTTCAATAGCGAAGTGTTAAATTACCAGAGGGTAATACCATCATATATCCTAATGAATCCCATTAAATTCCATTGAACCCCATTAAATCCCATTAAATCCCTATGAAGTCTCATTGAATCACCATTTTTCTAAAGGGTAATACCTATGCAATAAGCCAAACCGGGGTTTATGGGAATCAGCATTCCGAACACCATTTGAACTATTGTCGCATCGTCTCAGCTTTCATCCACACAATGACCAGTCAAATTATTGTTTGCTCGGAAAATGGGTTTCCCCAACGATTTCAATTGGTTATCATGTTCTATTAAATAAGAATTTGGAGATATACCATGATATACCCATATACCAAATCCATCTCCACTTATATGTGATTCCCTCACTTTCGCCAATCAAAAATCCCTCAACCAAAAACACACGCCTTTAAAGGCGAAATGAAAAGGAAGAGCTGACCAAAGCCGTGACCGCCATCATGAAGGCGACCAGCATATGGTGTCAACGGGGGCATTGACACTCTAAATAATGTGGGTAAAACAAATGCACAACCTTGGCTGGTCGGTGGTTTGGAACATTATTTTTTTCCATATATTTGACGAACTCATATTTTTCAGAGGGTTGAAACCACCAACCAGATAGTTATTAATGGTTATATATGGTTATTAATAATGGTTAATGCTTATTAATGGTGGTTAATGGTTAGTTGATGGTTATTACAATAATGATTAATGTGGCTAAAACAATGACATAAACCGGCCATGACTGGGAATGGTTTATATATACCACCTATAAATTTATGGTGAGTCATCGGGGATTGTTATTTATGGCATTGTTTTACCAACATTAACCATATTCTCGCCATTATATAAACTTCATTAGATTGTATTAAACCATCATTAACCATCATCATTAACCATATATTATATTATTGTTTTACCAACATTAACCACTAGTATATCAACCATCATTAACCATCATTAACCATCATTGACCATAATTTATCAACCATTCTCCCATTAATGATCACTACTTGTCGGAAAAAAAAACATGGTAAAATGATGGATCACCCGTTGTTTTTTGATGCGGAGGTGAAGCCCGAAGCCGCTAAGCCAGCATCGAAGTATAGCCCTCCAGTGGCCCTACAGTTAGCTATGGTAGCTATGGAACAAATACGAGCAGTGGCTGCGATCCACCCCTGTTGCTTGATGATTAGTTCGGTGATTTTTTCTACCCTTGGTATATTGGGGATTATGTCATAATCCAAGAACGGGGAATCCCTATCAACATTATAAACCAACCAGGATTAAATGGAATGATAGAGGGATTTATTTCACACTGCTCATTTAGTTCGATGATTTACCGTTCTTAGTTCGATGGTGAAACAAATCACTTCGCAAACTGTAAACGTTTGCCTGGGAAATCCCATATAGGAAAGCCATATTCTTAGATTACCCTCTGGTAATTCAACATAGCTATGGAAAATCACCATTTTCAATGGGAAAATCAACTATAAGTGGCCATTTTCAATATATAGCTATGTTAGTTTACCAGAGGGTACCAGAGAGTATGTTTATTCAAAAAGCCGTGCGAACACAGAGTGCGAACTTGTTGTGTTTGTATCCTGAATGTTGTGTTTCTGTCCTCTCCCATGTGACATTTTCGCATTTTCTTCCGACATGTTGATTCTTGAACAGCCCAAAACGTTTTACGATGACGAAACCACAGCCGGCATGTTGTTGTCCTGTCCCTCGAAACAATTCACAGAAAGGCCTCTCCGTCCTATTCCGGATGATGATCCTACTTTACCCTTTGGTAATCAAACATGGCTAGCTGGAAACTCCTATGTAAATGGTGGTTTTAATGGGAGCACAATCTATAAAATGGGATATTTCCATTGCCATGTTTGATTGCCGAAATGTATCCAGGATTTTCGTTTTTAGAATTTGTTCAGCTATTGGAAAGCCCAACAAAACCGGAGACTTTTTTGGTCAGACTGAAGCCTTACCGCAGGAAAGATGGCCTGGAATTGTGGAGCCTTTAACCAAAGACTTGAAAGAACAGATGACCAGGACCGGCCCCGGATGGTGGGATGGTTTACCCTCTGGTAATTTAACAGTTTGCTATTGAAAATGGCCATAGAAATAGTGAGTTTTCCCATTAAAAATGGTGATTTTCCATAGTTATGTTAGTTTACCAGAGGGTACATGGTTTTTCTCCATCGAGCTCAATGGATGATCTGAATATTATGGGTACCCCCATGACTTGGGAAACCTCCATGACTTGGGAAACCAAAAACTCCGCCCCTGGCCTGGTGCTGAAAAAATCTGCGACCTGGGATAGTTCGATAGTGCACCACTGTACATCTTGTCGCTTTGAAGATGTGGCTTCCCAGGATGGGAAGACATGTATCTTACTGTATCTATGGTTTAGGTGTATTTGACACCATGTAGGCTTTTAGCAGAGCACAGAGCACACACTCAGTCTATTTTGCGGCCATTGTTTTCTTCCAAATCTTGGATTGAGATGATGAATGCAGTTGACAGCATGAAACAAGATGATCTTGTTGGCGATAGATGGACTTTTGTGGCATGGCCTGGTACCCTCTGGTAAACTAACATAGCTATGGAAAATCACCATTAATAGTGGATTTTCCCATTAAAAATGACCATTTTCAATAGCTATGTTAAATTACCAGAGGGTACTCTCTAAAATTTGCTTATGCCATATTTTCCCATGAAAAGATATGGCACATCCCATGACTACATTACTCGAGGCAACTGACCGCTTTGCGCACAGCAAGCTGGCACCAGGAAGGAAGAGCTGCAAACTGCACAGGCAAAGGTTGAGCAGGCGCGGCATGGCGCAGCCATGGCGCAGCCGTGCCTGAAATCTGGTGATGTCAGCTCGTAACGGTCACGTTAGGGATGAAAGTGGAATGATGCTTAATAAGGGGTACAGTGACTATCCCCAACATTGCATCATATTTTACGTGAAATGTTATGATTTTTCATGATTTTTCACCAAACTAGTGAATGCTATTAGATAAGAGCACATACCTGAATAGTAAGAGCATTATTTGGATAATCTTCACTCTTTACCGTACTCACACAATCAAGCCCAGCAAATGATAGGGAACATTGTGGGAAAGAATCAACCAACCTGCAGGTTTACTCACTTGATCAGAAGTTGATCACCTGTTTTTTCTCCTAAATACGTTCAATAGCGGAAGTTGGTTAGATTGCGGGGAAACATCCCAATATAGCCGAACTTTTCAGGTGAGTGAAATATTGTAATTTATCCAGATAGATGCGGAATATAAAGGTGGGAATATAAACCCAATCTACGACTTGCACGGCTTGTAACGGGACTTGACGCCGCCCAGCAGCTCTAGTAACTTCATGTTCTTTGTGAAGAACGTCCTTTCGCTGGGCATTTCTCATAGGGGCCCCTTTTTGTTTGACCGATGCGAAAGACGGATCGAAGTCTGCTGTTCTGATTTGTTGATTGGCAACAATGATGGACACAAAGCATTGGACACAAAAAAAGCAGGGCCTAACGGGTCTGAAATATTCTGAAATTCTGGCGCCACAAACTCATCAATGATCCCAAGCGGGGGAAGCACTTCTACTTGATGGTCCAGTCCAAATTTTTCGCGCCCTTGGTGAGTGGCTGCACCACGAAATGGGGACTGGTTCACAAACACCGGACTTCCAGTTTTCAGTTTCGATAGGGTGAGCCTCCAGGTGCAAGCTGAGCAACATGTGAATCCGTGTGGTACAGAAAGGTTGTTCAGCATTGAAGACTACCAACATCTACCAACCGTAAAATACAGAGTTTTCATGGCTGGGAGGACAACCTTTTTTTTTCCCGCGGGAACGACCAAAGGAACGGACGGTTTTTCATTCGCGCCAGCCACGAGCCAGCGCCAGCTTGTGGACAAGTCAGGATACGTCCAGCTTCTGGCTGGCAATTGAAGGGGGATACATGGGATACCAGCTGGGGATCATCATCCTCCAATCATGTGGTTAAAACTTTATGTCATAAACTACCCATTTTCCTGGGAATGGTAACCATACCAACCTATAAAAATGGTGATTTTCCTGGGGGGCCCATGGGAAATTAGATCCAACTATCAAAATCCAACTATCGAAGGTTCGCATCGAGGATGACCCATGGTGTCATTGAACTATCAATGTGGTAAGCCATGGTAAGCCCAACCATAAACCAATCCCATCTGGATGCTCAAGTTTATTTTCACCTGTCAGTGATTGTCAGGAAGAGAAGAGGCTGCAGGATGCAGTTGCTGAAGTGGCAGGCTTAGCGTGTCACCATGTGTCACCGGCACTTTTGGACTGTCCTTTTTGCAATATGGTTATTACCCTCTGGTAAAGTAACAGTTTGCTATTGACAATTGCCATTTATAGTGGATTTACCTATTGAAAATGGTGATTTTCTATAATTAGCTATGTTAGTTTAGCAGAGGGTAGTTCTTGGCTTCTAGGTCTAGTTCTTGGATGTATCTATGGTCGTTTCCTTGGAAGTGCAGTGTGAAATCCAGAGATTTCGCTGACTCATATCATCAGTCTAAGTGCCAGAAGCAAACAGCTGCTTTGGCATATATCTGGGTAAATTATAACGACCTCACTGCGACCTCACTTTAGTAAGGGAAATCATCCCCAAATGGCCTTAATTCAAGTTGGTGAAATATTATAATTTACCCAGATATATACAGTTGACGTCAACTCCAGGCTCATAAATATAGACATGAAAATGCCTGTGATGAATTAGGGGGTTAGCCCCCCCAAAAAAATGATAGATATTTTAAATGATATATAAATCTTTGTTAGACTTGGTACCTCCTTGAACATAAAAGTTTTGTGTTGTCTCGGGATAAAATACGCGTGGATGCCATTTAATATATTCCACATCAGTGGATTTTTCATCTCTAGCCACAGAACTCCAAAGAAACAACAGCGACATGTCGGGAAAAGAAGAGTGGGGGGGTCCCAGGCAACAGGTGGCTATTGTATACTAGATATGCTTGGGAAAAATCTCAAAGAGGAACGTTTGAAAAATACTTTGGAACAACATCACATCACAATTGTTGGAACTAAATCAGCCCTGAGTTTTGAGTATCCTGAGCCATGGCATCATGGCAGTGGTTCGAGCGCTTAGCGCTCGAACCGAGGTTGAGCAGCAGACGCAAGAGCTGCAGAAGGTTGAAAGTGAGTTGGACACCTTCATCCAGGTCATGGCTCTAAAAAGGGCGGCATTTTTTTTTTTTGGATGGCCATCAAAGTGATCGTTTGGAGCCACGAGGAGTACCAATGGATGATCTTTCATGAGATAGGATGGGGAGATGATACAACTCACAAATTTGATGGATATGTGATGATATGAGTCATATGAGTCTGAAAATGCAGTATACACCTAACACCATGGCCATTTCAATAGGGAACACATGATGATAGACCATGCGATTTTGGGGTGAAACTTCAGGATTACATGGTCTCTGCAAAGCAACTGGTAGAAGGCTGTAGCCTCTGGTAATTGAACACTTTGCTGTTGAACACGAACATTTATACTTGATTTATGAATTTAGTGGTGATTTTCTTTCCATAGCAAACTGTTACTTTACCAGATGGTAAATCTTCATTAAATCACCAGCAAGGTGACCATTTTCCTACCAAATCACAATCTTTTACTGGTGAATACCCGTTGGTAAACTAACAGTTCTCTATGAAAAATCACCATATTCAATGTTGAATAGGTAAATCAACGAACTAAAAAATGGGCAATGTTCAATAGCAAACTGTAACAAATGATTAGAGGGTATACCATCATATATATTCAAATAAATCCCATTAAATCCCATTAAATCTCTATGAAGTCTTATTGAATCACCATTTTGACATGCTGTACCTTGGCCGCAGGCAGAGAGTGGTCGCGAGAACTTTGACCCCGAGGCTTTCGTTGAGACGATGGAGCCAGACAGACGCCAGGCCTGGTCGTTTGACAGTTTGCTATTGAAAATGGCTATAGAAATAGTTGATTTACCCATGAAAAATGGTGATTTACCCATGAAAAATGGTGATTTAGCCATTAAACATTGTGATTTACCCATTAAAAATTGTGATTTAGCCGTTAAACATGGTGATTAACCAATTAGAAATGGTGATTTTCCATAGTTATGTTAGTTTACCAGAGGGTATCTTGGAGGTCCGCTGATGATTTTAGTCGTAGAATTACTGTAGGGGTTGATATTTGAATCACCTAATACCATGATTTCTCATATTTGCTCATAGTCTCTTTGGGGATCTTTGGGGGTTATTATTTTTTGACCTTCTTGAATATGTTCAGGACTTGTGTATCTATGTAGCTGCCTTCTGTTCTTGTCTATTTTCATGGATCCCATGGTCACTGCTGAATCGTTACCTTCGCTTTCTGTTCCAAAAGCGCTTCTGTTCGATGATTTCATCCTAGGAATCTTGTTCGTAAAGTCAGCCGATTCGCCAACAGCTGTTTACCCTCTGGTAATTTTTCACGTAGCTATTGAACATGGCCCAGTCGAAATAGTTCATTTCCCCATTGAAAATGGTGATTTTCCAGTTCGCAAAACGTAAACGTTTACCAGAGGGTATATGTTTAGTACCATCCAACTGTCAGGGCACTTGACTCCATACCCTCTGGTAAACATACAGAAAACGATGGAAAATCACCACTTTTCATAGGTAAATCGACTAGACTATGCTATGATATGGGGATGCTATTGGTCAACACCTATTACCGTACCGGGAGGGGATGAACATCAACCAGCTATCATGGTGGGTCTAAATTTGATGATTGTTGGTATCATTTACTACACTGACTTGATTTATCTATGTATTGTAGTGTTACCATGAGTATTATAATATATAGTTTATATGATTGATGGATAATTATGCAATATATATATACATGTATAATATATATATATCTTTACATCACTAATTCCATGACTATTACGATTTGGCGTTTAGTTCTGCAGATTTTTTTTGGCACTTCCAGCACCTCTGCCGCAGGTGCTCGACTTGCTTTCGGAGGCGGCGCGGCACGGGGCCAGGGGATTTTGATCGTTGATGCCGAGGACTACCAACCATCTATGATGTTTTTTATCCGAGAGATCAGCAATAGACAGTAAGATATGCTCAAAAACATAGATTTGATAGATGCCATTTTGTTTGGCTGATGGACTGACGGATAGGTTTTTTGTTGTCAACATGAGGAATAACATCCTCACTTGTGAGGATGATCGACAATTGACACGTTTTTTTCTTGGATAGTTGGAGCCGCTGTTCACCAACCTCATCACGGCCACGGCTGCTCCAACAGTTGGCCTTCCGATGTCCAGCCGGATTCACCGATAATTGGTGAAAAAACTCCCCAAATTGGGATTGGAAATGTCAGGGTCAGGTCCTCCCAAAAGTAGCCTCTAAAGAACAAGACATCACTTGAGTAGGCGATGACACCCTGTAACCGTTGCAGATTTTGTGGGCAAAGCTGCGGCCATATCCCTTTTTTTGAAATTATTTTATCCTCCCATCTGGGTAAATTATAACGACCTCACTGCGACCTCATTGGAACCATGGTTAATAAGGGAAATCATCCGCAAATGGCCTTAATTCAGGTTAGTGAAATATTATAATTTACCCATCATTCACAGAAAATGCCCAGTGCAGGAGTTGTCCTATGAGGAGCTTCTGACCGCCCTGGATGAGTTTCGCGGTGGCATTTTTGGCACTGAGTGTAGAAGGAAAGAGGTATCAAATGCGGGAATCAGGCAGCACAATGAGAACACACAACTAAATTCTAATCTGGTTGGTGGTTTGGAACATTTTTTTTTCCATATATTGGGAATACTACTCCCATTTGACTTTCATATTTTTCAGAGGGGTAGGCTCAACCACCAACCAGGTGTGTTTTTCGTGCTGCAACCAAGGTTTCGAACCCACTTTGTGTGCATTCATCTCAATGTTCTTTTTCGTTCGTTATATATTTTGCATTCACTTCTAATTGGTTCCCATTAAAACCTCCATTTATAATGTATTTTCCATAGCTATGTTAAATTACCAGAGGGTATATTCTAAATAGTATGTAATGGTCACCTTTGAAAATGGACAAGATACAACCACAAAGTAGGCACTCTTCTCGGGATTTTGCCAGGAAATTGATTATGTACCAACTGAAATTGGGGATTGAACATATCAAAGCCACCTGGCTGATGTTTGGGATTTGTTGAGTAGAAACTGGAAAGCGGGTGACGATGGCACTCCAGTAATACAGCTTTCATGCAATGCGGTTGCCGGCTTTGGAAGTGTGATTTGGACGATGTGCAGACATGTGCATATATATATATATATCTAGTTTGTTTTTTCAGATGCTAGTGCTCAAAATGTAGACAGACTTTGTTGGTTTGCCCATCTAAAGGTTGAAGAGGTCAAGATCAAGTCGTGACGTCCTGCTATTTCATACACCGGCTCCTGGCACACCTGGAGAGCTGACATGAGTAGCAGAGCTCACCTGCAGAGCTGGGCCATGATTTGGGTTTAATGAATTGCCGCCAAAGGCGGTTTCTCCGAAAGTTGAATACCCCAAATTCCAATGATCACTTTATACATATAATAGTTATATATGTATATAAATATATGACAATATGTATATATATATATAGATTCCCGCCCCCGGGGGTTAAGATGCTAATGTTGTTTGATGTTCCCTAGTGTTCTGGTTCAAGTCATATGAGTACCTGCCCCCACTGTCGCGTCTTCAGCGGCATACCTACCTGCTTGGCGTGCAAGACCTATCATCGAATAGGCGCGTTCCTCCAGGACGGGCGTTTCAACGCTTACCAGGAAAACCAGGTGCTGACCATCCTGCGCAACTGCGCAGGGGCCTTGACCGATCTGGTCGAGGCGGGAGGTCCTTTTGGGCCGCGCAGCGCCGCTGAAGTAGGAGGCGGCGAGAGAGAGGTGGGCAGGTCACCTTTGAAAGAGGAGCCAGATAAAGAAGTAGTAGCAGAAGCAAAGCCGACAGAAGAGGAAGCATCCAACGGTGAGAAAGAAGAGGAAGCCGAGGAAGGGAAAGAATCCCCAAAAGAGACCAACAAAGAAAAGGAAAACGCCTCCATCAAGAAGCCGGTGAGTGCCAAGAAAGAGAAGAAAAAGAACAAGAAGAGCAAGGACAAGACCCGAAAGAAAAGAAGAAGCAGCCCTTCAGAGAGAAAGGAAAGCCCTGAGATCGGGGAGTCGAAAAAGAAGTCAAAGAAGGATTCATTGAAAGCCACGGGAAGCAAGACATCACCCCCTAAGAGGGACCGAACGGTCTCAGAGGAAAGTAGAAAAAATACCGCCGAGGAGAAGCCGCAGAGAGAGGAGAGAGAGGCAAGCACAAGAGAGGAGCCCCCCGAAGAGGAGGTCGCAGAAGATCCAGCAGGATGTGGCTTGGGACATATCCCCATCAGGGGCAGTGCCGGACGATCTCGAGAAGAGGTCATCCCTGCTGGCAACCGTCGACCTGCCGAGCCTGAGGCACTTCCGGCAGAAGAGTGGGATTACCACTACGACGGAAGGCAATATTACTCCACGGGGAATTGGAGCCCTGACTGGAAGGCCAAGCGCTGGAAAGGCTACAACCACTACACCAGAGGAGTGGAGTACTGGAAGAATCGCAAATATAATCGATGAGGATGCTGGCAAGAGCCAAGGGAGGAGTCAGAGCCAAGACACATCCCAAAGGTGGGGTAAAAGTAGGGGTTCCGGAGTGCGAGCCACGGGGACGGGTAGCCCTGATATGGCCCACTTCAGCCCGCCCCGGCCGGAGAGATCTCCAAGACTTCAGGAGTCCACAGGAGGCCGGCCACTCAGTTCGAGGGATCGATCTGCGCCTCGACTGGCTGAGAAGGGAGATAGGCCTGAGAGCCTTGAGGGCCCAGTGCCTCTGTTGGAGTGGAAGGCCAAGCGCGGCCCGCCTGAGCCAGAGGAGGAAGGGCTGTGGCGTGCAGTGCCTGATGCCGATGGGCACAGGCAAGTTTCGCCCCCAGGCGTGGCATTCAGAGTTTCTTCAGGGCGATCTTGGGGTGGTCTTAGACCTTGCCATTCGCACTCACGGGGAGAAGCCCTGGATAGCAAGCTTGGAGAAGGAGGTTCGAGGTCAAAGAAGCGAACTGGAACCCTTGAGAAGCCAGGTGAAGCACGGGGTGGAAGCACGGAATACCGCCTGCGGCCAAGATACAGGCGAAGAGAAAGAAAAGAAAGCAGACAGAAAGGAGGAGTTAAAAGCGAACGTTCTAAAAAACTCCCGCGTCAAGACGGAGGAAAAGAGGAGGCAAAAGTTGCGCTCAAAAAGTCCGGCCACGGGGAAGGTAGCCCTGAGTGGCCGTCGACCAAAGCGAGCGGCTCAGAAGAAGTGGAAGGCCCTCGAGAGGGCAAGGGTGAGCCTCTCAGAGCAGGCGGGAAGCAAGCTGAAGGAGATGGCACAGAGATGTCTGAAGAGAAGAGGAAGGCACCAAGGCCATGGGTTGGAATCATCCAGAGCAAGTTCCAGAAGGGACAGAGGAGAAAGGCTAAAGGACACCTGCACCATCCTGGGGCAGCGCCAAGGAAGAGGTGCCCTAGAAGGAGGCAACTGACAGAACCCGAGAGGGGGTTTGATAAAGAAGGACACGGCTGGAGGCCACTCCGGCTACAGAGGAGTAGGGCAGGTAAGGCAGAGAGGACGGGGCTAGAGACCCTGGAAAGTTTCGGCGTGACGGGGAAAGACAGCCCTGAAATAGCCGCCATGGGGAGCGATCCGACGAAAAATGGACCCTATGAGGGAGGTGAGGAGACTCCTCCCCTGGTCCGGGAAGAGAAGAAGCTCCCAGCACCAAGCTCAGCAGCGGCGCTATGGGAGTATGAAGCTGGTGCGCAATCAATGCATGTGACGTCACCTTCCGACGGGGCGGCGATGAGGTCAAATGACCTTGGCACAGTGCCCTGGCAGCCGAGCGAAGACTTGGCGAGCGACCGTCGAGGTGAGCAAAAAAGAGCGAGGCAGTTGGCTTTTGAGGGTCTTCCCCTGGGATGGTGTGGTTCGGATCTGTTTCAATGTCTCCTAGAAGTTTTACCACTTCGCAGCCAGGACACGGGTAGGCGGTCTTCATTTGGAGTTTTCCCCCTACCTACTTCTAGGAGTGTTTTGCTGAACTACGCCCCGGGGATCACTGAGTTTGAGATTTTTTGGTGCTTGTCGATTTGTATTTCACTCAATTCTTTGTGGGGTGCTGAAGTCCTGTGTGACGGGGCTTTGAATGAAGGGCAATGCAAGTGTCTGGATGGGATTTTGCGAGATGTGAAGAGGTTTATTGGGATCCATCAGGTGGTTGGAAAGGTGGATTGGGCGAATTTCTTTCACGTTAAATCCATAGACTACAAGGGCGATGAAGTCAAGGTGGCACAGTGGTTCCACTGGCAAAACATCGCTCCAGCTTTGCCCCAAGATGTAGGTGGTGTGCCCTTGAATGAGGTTTGTACTCATGGGTGCAAAGATTATGTCTTAAACTTTGAACGGTACCTGAAGCCCGAGTCAGAATGGGGGGCCCCCACGCGACCAAGGGTAATGGTGGCTGATGTGGATTGGCCCGAAGTGTGCAAAGGACTGGTAGCCTCCGGGGTATGCGTGTACATCCCTGAAGAGGACGTCTTTCACACCGGGTCAGGGCCCCTACTCAACGGGATGTTCGGGGTCACCAAGGATGAGACATCTGATCAAGGTTTTGAAATCTACCGCCTCATAATGAATTTAATCCCTTTGAATGGGCTGTGCAAGCCCTTGGCGGGGGATGTAGATACTCTTCCGGCATGGTCAGCTATGAGCCCCTTCTTTCTACAGCCCAACGAGCGGCTCCTGGTGTCGAGTGAAGACGTGAGATGCTTCTTTTACACGATGTCGGTTCCACAGTGTTGGGTGAAATTTTTGGCCTTCAACAAATTGGTCCCTGACACAGTCTTACCACCCGAGTTGAAGGGCTCTCGAGTGTACCTTGCGAGCCGAGTGCTCCCCATGGGGTTCCTCAACTCCGTGAGCCTGGCACAGCACGTACATCGCAATCTTGTCAAGTGGAGCTCTACGACGGCAGTGGACGGGTCGGTCGGGGCGAACGTCCCTGAGGCCGAACTGAGGAAGGATAGGGAGTTCTCGGTGCACAATCCTAACTGGAGGGTGTACCTGGACAACTATGATCTTCTTGAACGGGTGAAGTGCTCGGAGGTTTCCTCTCTGGAAGGCACCCAAGCGGCCGGGGTCCTATCCCTGAGGCACGAGTACGAGAAATGGGGCATACCTCGGAACCTGAAGAAATCAGTGCAGCGCTCCAGCTTATGTGAACTGCAGGGGGCCACCGTGGATGGTGAAGCAGGTGTCGCCTACCCGCGTGAGAACAAGCTGGCTAAATACTTTGGCATGGCCTTGGATTTGTGCTACCAGCCTTTCGCCACGCAGAGGCAATGGCAAGTGGTGTGCGGAGGATTGGTTTACTTCAGTATGTTCCGTCGCCCGCTTCTAGGATCCCTGAACCAAGTGTGGCAGCACATCATTTCATTTGACACAAAGAAGAAGGGTAGCCTGGCGACCCCTCCTGAGTGCCAGCTCGAACTCCTACGGTTCTTGGGGATGCTGCCTCTGGCCCGCATGGACTTTCGTCTTGACATGAGCTCTATGGTTACATGCAGCGATGCTTCACAACAGGGAGGAGGTATATGTGCAAGTGGACCACTTACTCCGTTTGGCCAGGTAGTTGCCCAAGGGGCCCTGCGGGGCGAAGTCCCTGAATCTGGAGACCTTGCCGTTTTTTCTTTGGGTCTGTTCGATGGCATTGGTGCCCTGCGGGTAGCGTTGGAGTTGATCAATGTCAAGGTATTGGGTCATGTGTCGGTGGAGTGCAACAAGAGTGCTCAACGAGTGGTAGAAAGCCACTATCCAGGGGTGGAGACGGTTGATGACATCCAACTGATCGATGCAACCATGGTGGAGAGTTGGGCAGCAAGGTACTCCCAATGTTCTCTTGTGATCATTGGGGCTGGACCGCCTTGTCAAGGTGTTTCGGGGTTAAACCCTGGTCGAAAAGGAGCTCTACGTGATGTGCGATCCAATTTGTTCCAAGAAGTGCCACGGGTTCGCGACTTAGTGAAGAGGTCCTTTCGCTGGTGTGCGGTCCATGTCCTTATGGAATCAGTAGGGTCAATGGATTCTGGCGACCGCCAGGTCATGAGTGACGGTTATGGAGCCGAACCCATCTTGTGCGATGCGGGGACATTCACATGGTGCCATCGTCCACGCTTATATTGGCTTAGCTGGGAAATTGAAGAAGATGAGGGCGCCAAGCTGGAGCAAACGGGCGAGGTCTGCACCCTGAAGCTGACGGGGAAGCAGCACCTTGATGAAGTGGTTCGCGCCGGTTGGCACAAAGTGGATGAGAGCCGTCCTTTTCCTACATTTACGACCAGTCGTCCGCGATCACATGCTGGATACAAGCCGGCAGGAGTTCACCAATGTGACCTTGTGGAGCTGGAGCGATGGCACAATGATCAGTTTCGGTTCCCTCCATACCAGTACAAGACCATCAACTGTGTGAGGAATAGGACCGGGGAATATCGAATCCCTGATGTCTCAGAGCGCGAACTCATGATGGGATTCCCGCTTCACTACACGGCAAATTGTTGCAGCAAAACTGAGAAGAAAAAAGCCCACTACAACGACACGCGGCTGACCTTGTTGGGTAACAGCTGGTCTGTGCCAGTGGTGGCGTGGTTGATGTCGCAATTGTTTTGGTGGCTTGGGTGGATTGCACGACTGTCGCCTCAACAGATACTGGAATCATGCCGACCAGCAGTGCACCAGTATGTGCAAGGGCGATTGGTTCGACTACCCCTGAATCCTTCGCGCAAGCGATGTGCCGGGGATGCCCATCAATTGGCATGCAGGCTAGGAAATCTGGTGTCTATCAAGGGTGAGGATATCATGCTATCTACCCCAACATCCCAGATGGCAAAATTTCACCGTCTACGGGCGAGCATCCCCGCGAGATTGTGGAGGTGGACAACTATCGCAGGGTGGAAGTGGACGCATGGGTCAGAACACATCAATAGTTTGGAACTACGTGCAGTCTTGACAAGTATTCGATGGCGCATTGAAAAGCAGAAACAGGTTGGCTGTAGAATGATTCACCTGACTGATAGTTTGGTGTGCTTGCACGCCCTATCACGGGGAAGAAGTAGCTCACGGAAACTCCGTCGTACTATGGCACGGGTGAACGCATTGGTCTTGGCGGGGAATGTGCAGATGGTGTGGGCTTATGTCCACACGGATCAAAATCCTGCTGATCGCCCATCCAGATGGGGACAGCGGGTCAAGTCTAAGTATCGCCATGCCCCGAAAAAGAGTTCTTGAGGCAGCCCTGCCCCAAGACCGTGCCGCCCAACGCCGTAGGCTTGGGAGTCTCCGTGAGCTTACTGTCCAGCCAGCCACCAAAAAACGATATTCAGCCGCTGTCGAGGGTTTCTTTTCTTATCTGCGAAAGGCCCAAACATCTCTACCTCACCGAAAGTCAGAGCTCGATCCGATTGTCTCAGACTACATCGAGTTTCTATGGAGTACAGGAGCTGGAAGGGCTCTAGCTGCGGACACCTTAGCGGGACTACAAGATATCCAACCAAATCTTCGTGGCAATCTGCCAGGGTCGTGGCGTCTGTTAAAGACCTGGTCAATCAACGAGATACCCGCCAGAGCACCTCCGTGCCCTGAACATGTCGTCCACGCTATGGCGGGATGGGCCTTTTTCAAAGGCTGGTACGCATTTGGGGTTTCTTTAATGCTGGGTTTCTACTCCATGTTGAGAACTGGCGAACTACATGGTCTCCGGTCTAGTCATCTTTTGTGTGGACGACATGATAAACAAATCGTGATTAGCCTTGGGCTTACCAAAGGAGGGAAGAGACACGGCGCGGCCGAAAGTGTTATCCTCGGGTTTGAGCCTGCTGTCTCATTGGTGAAACGATGGAAGTCTCTCGTAGACCCCGTGACTCCGCTGGTGAAGTCCACTGCCAAGTGGCGTAAATTGTTTAATGAGTGTCTAGACGCACTTAACTTGACGACCTTCAAATTTCGCCCATATTCCTTGAGAAGAGGAGGGGCAACGTACTGGTTTAGTAAACATCAGTCCCTAGACCGTTTGCTGGTACAAGGCCGATGGGCCTCTCAAAAAACAGCTCGAATTTACATTAATGAAGGGCTGTCCATGCTGACGAGCATGCAATTGCCAAAGACGCATCCCAATTTGAAACCGTTTCTTACTGTGTATGCCAACACGCTTCGTGACTTGAATTTTTTCACACTTGAGCCTCCAGTAAGTACTGGAAGTACAGGGGGCCGTGGTAGGAAGAAGAGACTCAGAACTTTGAGAAAGCCAAAAAAGGCCTTTTGTTCAGTGCGTGATGGGTTGTAATTTTATCCTAACAGGACAACACCTGTTTGTGATCTGGCACCTTTGATGCTAGAGGTATGGCTCGGCCAAGTAAGGTGGGATCACTGAGTGAGTTCAAATGCTTGGGGTCTGGCCCGGCTTGAACAATTGAAAGAAGGGATTTGGGAGAGGTGTTTCCTGTTTAGGTTTCTGTTTTCTTCGAATTTTTATTTGACTAAATCGCTGCGAAGTGGAACAAAAGAACGCATTTGCATCTTTAGATTCCCGCCCCCGGGGGTTAAGATGCTAATGTTGTTTGATGTTCCCTAGTGTTCTGGTTCAAGTCCCACCCTGCCCTCCCGAGGCAAGACCTTGATGGAGGGTAGGAAGAAGAGACTCAGAACTTTGAGAAAGCCAAAAAAGGCCTTTTGTTCAGTGCGTGATGGGTTGTAATTTTATCCTAACAGGACACCACCTGTTTGTGATCTGGCACCTTTGATGCTAGAGGTATGGCTCGGCCAAGTAAGGTGGGATCACTGAGTGAGTTCAAATGCTTGGGGTCTGGCCCGGCTTGAACAATTGAAAGAAGGGATTTGGGAGAGGTGTTTCCTGTTTAGGTTTCTGTTTTCTTCGAATTTTTATTTGACTAAATCGCTGCGAAGTGGAACAAAAGAACGCATTTGCATCTTTATATATGTATATATGATATATAATATGTATAATATATAATATATTATATATATACGATTATATGTGTATATAATATGTATATATAAATATATCTGTAATATGTATATATATATATATTGTATATAGGTTTTTTCCTCATTGTTCGAACAATGGGGGTCCCCGCCCCCGGCCCCAACAAAAACCCAGGCTTTTGGCGTCCCGAAAAATTGGCGTCGAGGATTTCATGCGGGAGGCAGCGATCACTTTCTGCCAACATATCACCTGCGGGTGATGGAGAACTATACAATATGATTCTGATAATAGTGGGATTTAATGGGATTTAATGGGATTTAATGAGATTTAATGAGATTTAATGGGATTTAATGTGATTTAATGGGATTTAATGGGATTTAATGGTGATTCAATGGGATTTAATGGTGATTTAATGGTGATTTAATGGGATTTAATGGTGATTCAATGGGATTTAATGGTGATTTAATGGGATTTAATGGTGATTCAATGGGATTTAATGGTGATTCAATGGGATTTAATGGTGATTCAATGGGATTTAATGGTGATTCAATGGGATTTAATGGGATTTAATGGGATTTTATGGTGATTTAATGGGATTTAATGGGATTTAATGGTGATTTAATGGGATTTAATGGTGATTCAATGGGATTTAATGGTGATTTAATGGGATTTAATGGTGATTCAATGGGATTTAATGGGATTTAATGGTATTTAATGGGATTTAATGGGATTTAATGGGATTTAATGGGATTTAATGGGATTTAATGGTGATTTAATGGGATTTAATGGTGATTCAATGGGATTTAATGGTGATTCAATGGGATTTAATGGTGATTTAATGGTGATTTAATGGGATTTAATGGTGATTCAATGGTGATTTAATGGGATTTAATGGGATTTAATGGTGATTTAATGGGATTTAATGGTGATTCAATGGGATTTAATGGTGATTTAATGGGATTTAATGGTGATTCAATGGGATTTAATGGGATTTGATGGTATTTAATGGGATTTAATGGGATTTAATGGGATTTAATGGGATTTAATGGTGATTCAATGGGATTTAATGGGATTTAATGGTGATTTAATGTGATTTAATGGGATTTAATGGTGATTTAATGGGATTTAATGGTGATTCAATGGGATTTAATGGTGATTCAATGGGATTTAATAGGATTTAATGGGATTTAATGGTGATTTAATGGTGATTTAATGGGATTTAATGGTGATTTAATGGGATTTAATGGTGATTCAATGGGATTTAATGGTGATTTAATGGAATTTAATGGTGATTCAATGGGATTTAATGGGATTTAATGGGATTTAATGGGATTTAATGGGATTTAATGGGATTTAATGAGATTTAATGAGATTTAATGGGATTTAATGTGATTTAATGGGATTTAATGGGATTTAATGGTGATTCAATGGGATTTAATGGGATTTAATGGTGATTTAATGGTGATTCAATGGGATTTAATGGTGATTTAATGGGATTTAATGGTGATTTAATGGTTAATGGGATTTAATGGGATATATGATGGTATACTCTCTGGTTATTTAACATAGCTATGGAAGCCATGGCCCATTGAAATAGTTGATTTACCCATTAGAAATGGTGATTTTCCATAGCTTCTGGTAAATTAACTGTTTGAATGAACTGTTCATAGTTATGAACTGTTATTGAATGTTAATAGTTTATGTTAATAGTTAATAGTTATGAACTGCTAATGAATGTTACTTAATGTTAATAGTTTATGTTAATGAATGTTAATAGTTTGTGTTAATGGATGTTAGTGAACTGTTAATAGTTTATTAACGTTACCCTCTGGTAAATTAACGGTTTGACCCTGAAAATAACAATTTTTTAATGGAAACTAATCTGAACCAAGCCCTATCTGCCAGGGTCTATGTTAATTTGCTGGAAGGTAAAGCTATGAACTGTTAGTGCATGTTAATGATATCTATTGGTTGTAATATTATTGTTAATAGTTTAGTTATCGATATCATTGACTTACTAGTTATTGGTTATGCTGACACAGTATCTATTCTAATAGTTCACTACAATGAGCATATACTGAAAAACCATAATGATATACTATAATTGCAATGATTTACTGTACTTTAATCAGTGGATTGGTTTTCACGGGACAATTTACAGGAAACCCCCCATGATCTTCATGGGAAAATCGATGGTTTCTGGTTTCGATTTTCCCTCACACCAATCCATTGACAGTAGTTATTTTTTGGGGGTCCTGAACATGGGGGTTCCCAATAGCTGGATGGTTTTTGTCAGGGAAAATCCCATCTACAAATGGATGATCTGGGGGTACCCCCCATTTTATGAAACCTCCATTTTGGTTCAAGGTTAAGGTATGTTAAGATAGGCAACATTTCTTGGTAACATCCATCCTGTCAAGAAAAAACGCTTCAGTGGTGAGGTACGAGACGTGAGCCGCCAGCAGTTCATGTGCAAGATGAAGAGGAAGAAGGTGGCACCAAGAAATGATTTTTCTGGGCATCACTTGAGGATTTTCCATTGAAAAGTCCTTGTGATTTTTGAATTTTGGTTGGGATATCGGCGAAGAAAGGGATTTTGAATTTTGAACTTCAGATTTCCAACCAATTCTAGGAACTAGTTGTGTGGTAGTTGGTTGAGGGTTGAGGGATGGTGAAAAAGTATGAAAAAGTTGGATTAGACCAAGGCATGACTTGGGGGATGCTCATCTTTCCACTTTCATCATCTTTCATAGGGATTATAGAAATGATATACAAATGATTCATGTGGCTAAAACAATGTCGTAAACCATCCATTTTCCTGGGAATGCTTTATATATACCACATAAATTTATGGTGAGTCATTGGGGATTGTTATTTATGGCATTGTTTTACCAACACTAACCACATTCTCACCATTAAACTTCATTAGATTATACTAAACCATCATTAACCATCATCATCAATCATATATTATATTCTGGTTTTACCAACATTAACCACTATTATACCAACCATCATTAACCATCATTAACCATCATTAACCATCATTGACCATAATTTATCAACCATTATCCCCTTAATGATCACTACTTGTCGGAAAAAAAATAAAAACACATGGTAAAATGATGAATCACCCGTTGTTTTACCAACATTAAATGGGATGTTTATATTTCCCCATCGCCCCATGATTTTCCCAGGCTGAAAAAGCCGTGAACGCGGCGAATGGTGTGGAGGTGCGTTCCGCAGCCAACATCCACCGTGACTCGGTGGAGGGGACGTTCTGAATGGGGGGTTTCTGGGATTTTTTTAAAGAAACAGCTGCTTGATGTTATCAAATATAACCATGGTTAATGATGGTTAATGATGGTTAATGATGGTTAATGATGGTTCATGATGGTTCATGATGGTTCATGATGGTTAATGATGGTTAATGATGGTTCATGATGGTTAATGATGGTTAATGATGGTTCATGATGGTTAATGATGGTTCATGATGGTTCATGATGGTTAATGATGGTTAATGATGGTTAATGATGGTTAATGATGGTTCATGATGGTTCATGATGGTTCATGATGGTTCATGATGGTTCATGATGGTTAATGATGGTTCATGAATGATGGTTAATGATGGTTAATGATGGTTAATGATGGTTAATGATGGTTAATGATGGTTCATGATGGTTCATGATGGTTAATGATGGTTCATGATGGTTCATCATGGTTAATGATGGTTAATGATGGTTCATGATGGTTAATGATGGTTCATGATGGTTCATGATGGTTCATGATGGTTAATGATGGTTAATGATGGTTAATGATGGTTCATGATGGTTCATGATGGTTCATGATGGTTAATGATGGTTAATGATGGTTCATGATGGTTAATGATGGTTAATGATGGTTCATGATGGTTAATGATGGTTAATGATGGTTCATGATGGTTAATGATGGTTAATGATGGTTAATGATGGTTCATGATGGTTCATGATGGTTAATGATGGTTAATGATGGTTCATGATGGTTAATGATGGTTAATGATGGTTCATGATGGTTAATGATGGTTAATGATGGTTAATGATGGTTGATATAACCATGATCAAATCTTATAAACCATGATGTGTTTTTTGTTGTTTTTTCATGAATCCATGAAACATCACCATGGTTTCATGGTTTGGGTTGGTTCAAACCCATGAAAAACCACTACAAGAAACACCACTTTTTGGGGATGACATCGCCAGAGAAATCTGGGTCATTTTTTCGTTCTCGACCTCACTAGTCTCACTGGAATGATGGTTGAGATTGAGTTTTTTTTGTGGGTGCCGCTTTCCCAGTGCTTGGATGAGATGGATGGATGATAAAGCCCCTGTTGGTTGATAAAAAAAGGATTATACTACCCTTTATAATATATATATTACATATATATATATTATATTGGGGATTATGAAAAATAATCCAAGAACTGGGAATCCCAATTTTAACCAACCAGGATTGAATGGAATAACAGAGGGTTTTGAACCCTGCACAAATATGTACCATGTTTTGACATTTTTTGACCCTAGCGTCAAAAGATGTGATATTTGAGGGATCACCATCCAATTTGCCAACGATTTGGATGTTCATCAAGGTACCAGGGTGCTGACATATCCCAAGAAATCCTTTTGCAAGATGGAATCTGAATCTAATTTCATGGATTTCAGATGATTTCAACGTCCCAGTGGGCATTTTCTGTAATGTAAGAGAATGGGTTTGCAAAATTGATGATGGTTAATTATGAACTAAGACTTACCCTTCAGTAATTAGCATGACGTCCCTGGCAGATAGGGGTTGGTTCAGATTAGTTTCCACTAAAACAATAGTAGTTGTTCATTGATTTTCAGGGTCTATATTAATTTACCAGAGGGTACAAAAACCCAGGGTACTACTCTTATTGTTACTAGTGATATAATATCTAACTATATATTTTTGATCATTGCAATAAGTAATCCGAACGGTTTACGAACGGAATGCGAAGTAAGGATCCAGCCAACAGCCTACTTGCGGGTGCAGTTCCAATTAGCAGTGCAGGTATGACTATAGTTGTAGGGGTTTTATATATGTTCCATAAATGGGGGTACCCCAATGTGGATGGTTTATGGTGGAAGATCCATCTATAAATGGATGATTTAGGGGTACCCCCATTGCAGGAAACCTCCGTATATATATATATATGTATATCATATATCATATATCATATATCATATATCATATATCATATATCAAATATTATCACATCTTATGGAAGTTATAGGGTTTCTACCATGGTTACTCCCATAAAATACCCTATAGTTATAGGTGTCTCACATCCCATATTGAGAGAGGTTATCACCATGGTTTTTCCCATAAAATCACCCAACTGCATTCCCGACTTTCCATGGCTTTCCGAATGCCACGAAAACAGGCCCCTGCCGTTGCCGCCGTCGCAACCGCTGCTGCGGTGCCAGTGGCACCACCACCACCACCAGGCCAAACTGACCTGGGGTTTCACGTGCGAGGTGGTGCCCTTGGGGTTTATGGTTATTTAACAGTTTGCTATTGAAAATTGTCGTTTATAGTTGATTTACCCATTGGAAATGGTGATTTTCCATAGTTATGTTAGTTTACCGGAGGGTATACTCTCTGGTAAATTAACGGTTTGACCCTGAAAATCACCAAATTCTAGTGGAAACTAATCTGAACCAAGCCCTATCTGGCAGGGTCGTCATGTGAATTTACTTGAGGGTATATCGAACTACTTAATGGGGCACCACAGTTGTGATTTCTTTATTTTCTCAGCCAAAAATCCATCACTGGGCGAATATATCGTTGATTCTTTTGGAGGGTGGTTCGGGGGTGGGGACCTTTTCAGTACATCCAAGACTCTTGGGAATCCTATCCCAGTACTGATCCGAAATGGATAGATCCCAATACTAATCCAGTCTTTCTAAGGGGGATCTTATTTGATATCAGGTAAAAGGGATCAAGAAATCTATTGCCGTTTACAGAGGTCAACACCCTTTGGCTGTACCCTGGTTTTACATGAAAATATCTGGTGTTCATTGATGTTCATTCCCTCATCCAGATTGTGAATATATTGCCTATAGGCTTTGACACATCCCCATACATCGTCATACATCCCCATACATCGTCATAAATTATATGGCTTTCACTATACATTATCTACAGACATGGATGTGTTTACAGGATTTTACAGCTTTCCTGTTTTTTTTTCATTGAAAATCGAGGGAGCCCAAACTTCGCCATTGGTTTTCCTATCAAAACGCCCCAGTAAACGGCAAGCCCTGCAGTCCAACGAACTGCGGTTGCTGCTTGAGAGTTCTACAGGCGGACCGGAGGGGAGAGGACTGGTGATGAAAACAGCGGGATATTGTGGATATACAAGCTATATACCTGGTTGATGCTTTCAGAAACTAGTACTTTACAAAGCAGAAATTGTTATTTTCGCCAACTCAATATAAGGGATATATATATATATATTATGCAAGCATGCATGCATGCATACATGCATACATACATAGATACATAGATACATAGATACATAGATACATAGATACATAGATACATAGATACATAGATACATAGATACATAGATACATAGATACATACATACATAGATACATAGATACATAGATAGATAGATAGATAGATAGATACATACATACATACATACATACATACATACATACTACATACTACATAATACATAATACATAATACATAATACATGCATGCATGCATGCATCCATACATCCATCCATCCATAAACAATATATAAAACTGGATGGTGGTGGTTGGTGGCTTCAGATATTGTTTTTTTTTTTTTATGTTCCATCCTGGGATGATCCCGGTTGACTGGTACTGCGAGGTACGAAACGTACGGGATGTGCATCCCACACAACGTATCTGTGGTTTTTTTTAAAATCCATTTTGGACCCATAGAATCCCATATATAAGTGGGGATCTTCCATATATATATAGAATTATATATATACACATATATAATTGGGGCCAATTGGGGCTGTAATCCATTTACTAAGTGGGATGCACCCCCAACTAAGTAATCTTTCCAAGGATTCGCAAATTAGAGCTTAAACACGCAAAAAGACATATGCTGATAACATGATTTCAAGATATTTTATCGGCAGTTTGCTATAGAAAATCACCATTTTTAGTAGGTAGATCATCTAACTACATGGGTATTTTTCCATTTCGCAAACTGTGAATGTTTACTGGAGGTTACCCTCTGGTAAACTAACATAACTATGGAAAATCACCGTTTTCAATGGGAAAATCCACTATAAATGGATCATTTTCAATAGCTATGTTAGTTTACCAGAGGGTATCTGATGTCTTTTGGCATGACCATCTCTTGCCAGGAGTCAGCTCTCCCTGAGCGAATCTACACTGTCAGAGTTGGAAAACGCGGTCTTCCGTTTGCGAATCAAATTCACCTTGGTGGTCCTTAAATGGCTATGAATCAATACCTATTAATACCATTTTTAGAGGGATGAACATCCATTTACCAGCTATTTTTATGTTCACCAGGGTTTCAGAAAGTCTCGCCTAAAACTGTTGGAACTGTTAAAATATGATCAGTATTGATCAGTGGGATAGGTTAAATCGCCTAAAACTGCTGGAACTCTTGGAATTGATTGGATTTCTTTTCTGAAAATATGATACCCCCAACCCACATGGCTTATCATCATTTTCCTATTTGGTGGCCGTCAAGGGGGAATCAATGCCCTGATTTTCATACACCCATCATGCATCATTTTGTTTTGTGCTGGTCATAATTACCCTCTGGTAAACTAACAGTTTGCTATAGAAAATCAGCATTTGTAATGGGTATTAATAGGTAAATCAACTATAAATGGCCATGTTCAATAGCTATATTAAATTGCAGAGGGTATATCTCATGATACTCCTATCAAGAAAAGGACATTACCAGTTACTGTAAATCCTTCTTGTTTATGCTAACGCCGCCCGTAGAGACGCGGGGTTTTTTAACGTTTTTTTACTGCGTTCATACTTTTTGTGGGTTGTCTGGGTGGGGGGGGTGGGGTGATGTTAATGTTCCTTGGAAGCGTTACGTGACATACGCTGGGGTTGGGGTGGGGGGGGGGGGGTGTGTTAACGTTCTGGAAGCGTTACGTGACATACGCTGGGGTTGGGGTGGGGGGGGGTGGGGTGATGTTAACGTTCCTTGGAAGCGTTACGTGACATACGCTGGGGTTGGGGTGGGGGGGGGTGGGGTGATGTTAACGTTCCTTGGAAGCGTTACGTGACATACGCTGGGGTTGGGGTGGGGGGGGTGGGGTGATGTTAACGTTCTCCAGTAACTTACTTCTGAGACGAGGTTGATGCTACGTTGTAACATCTTGTCTACATCTTCTCACAACTAACTTCGGATACGCTCTGGATGCTACGTTGTAACATCTTCTCTCCAGTAACTAACTTCGGATACGCTCTGGATGCTACGTTGTAACATCTTCTCTCCAGTAACTTACTTCTGAGACGAGGTTGATGCTACGTTGTAACATCTTGTCTACATCTTCTCACAACTAACTTCGGAAACGCTCTGGATGCTACATTGTAACATCTTCTCTCCAGTAACTAACTTCGGATACGCTCTGGATGCTATGTTGTAACATCTTCTCTCCAGTAACTTACTTCTGAGACAAGGTTGATGCTACGTTGTAACATCTTGTCTACATCTTCTCACAACTAACTTCGGATACGCTCTGGATGCTACGTTGTAACATCTTCTCTCCAGTAACTTACTTCTGAGACGAGGTTGATGCTACGTTGTAACATCTTGTCTACATCTTCTCACAACTAACATCTGGGCTACTCACAACTAACTTCGGATACGCTCTGGATGCTACGTTGTAACATCTTCTCTCCAGTAACTTACTTCTGAGACGAGGTTGATGCTACGTTGTAACATCTTGTCTACATCTTCTCACAACTAACTTCGGATACGCTCTGGATGCTACGTTGTAACATCTTCTCTCCAGTAACTTACTTCTGAGACGAGGTTGATGCTACGTTGTAACATCTTGTCTACATCTTCTCACAACTAACTTCGGATACGCTCTGGATGCTACGTTGTAACATCTTCTCTCCAGTAACTTACTTCTGAGACGAGGTTGATGCTACGTTGTAACATCTTGTCTACATCTTCTCACAACTAACTTCAAAGCCTTGGCAATGGACCTACAGCTGGCAGTACAGATACAACAATGGCAAAGACCTTTGGACAGCTGTGCCACATGTCCTGAAGCACATCAGAAATGCCTGAGTGCAAAACAGCCCGCGTCTTTATGGGCGGCGTTACCTTGTTTATGAATCATTGCCTACGGATGAGGTAGCCCTGACCAGGACCTACAGAAGTTTTGACCGCCAAAGACATTCCAAAAATACCTTGAGTCGCAGAGTTGGTTACAAGGAAAAATCAACAGGACCCACCCCTTCTGGTAAACCCAAACAAACATAGTTTGTTTCAACATGTTTCAGGCGTATTTTTGCCAACAAGAACACTCCCAATGATTAGGTCTTGGTCAACTTGCAAGGAGCACCACATTTTGCCGTGTCCAACGAAAGTTTCCCGGCGAGCGGGCCAGCCGTGCATGGGCCAAATGGACCCAGGGTCGTACAGGCAATGCTGGATGCTCTGCCAGAGGTCCTTGTGGTTCGATGTTAATGTGGTATAAAAACCCCGGATGACACCAATGTCAAAGCCGGATGAATACTTGGTGATCCCTACTGACAACCATTGACTTAAGAAAAAAATGAAATGGTACCACGCATTATCACGCTATGATTTTCCACTGGGGCTTTATATGCTTTATGGATTTTATGGCTTAAGATTCTCCGGTATATTTGGCATTATCATAATCCCTTTGTCGGTTCTTTATGAGAATTCCTACTGACCAACCCGCTGCATTTTTCATGAAATTCTCATCCCTACTAAGCTTTCCCGAAATGATGAAATTCATTGAAATCGTGACAGGAAAATTGCTACAACGCTGTAAACCATATCAAAATGGGGTTTTAATATGTTTTAATATGGTTTAATGGTTTAAATGGATCCCAAAAGCCACTCATTTCAATATTTGAATGGTTTTAAGATCCCCCAAAAAAAAATCAAAAAATCAGCATTTTTAATGGATCTCAACACCCATCCCATTGTTATTTTGTAGGTTGATGGCGGGTCCCGGGTCCCGGGTTGATCTTGTGATGCTGGATCTGGACCAGATCCTCCAGGTATCCATATCCTAAAAACCAGCCTGCTTATTGGGTTGGTAAATATACTATAATTGGATATCATTGGATACTTTTTTTGAGATTGGTAGATGGCTTCTTTTTTTTTCTTTTTCTCAAACTTTCTTGGTGGTGGCAACTGCGACAGACTCGCAAGAAAAACTCCTGATTTGTGAGATCTGCAGCCCAACTGGCGCTCCGACATTGATGCCCAACGAGTTTGATGCAGTACTGAAGGTGAATCATCAAACATGCTGATAAACTCTATGTCATTAAGCAGCATAAAATTGAGAATACCAAGCATTCCTGGTTGGTGCTTTGGAACAATTTTATATAATTTTATGACTTCCCATTCAGTTGGGAATTTCATCATCCCAACTGACGAACTCATATTTTTCAGAGGGGTAGGTATACCATGGTATACCATGGTATACCATCAACCAGAATTGAGAATACCAACCATTCGTATTTGTCTCCCACGTTAGGGACTTTTGTGCAGCGAAAGTATTTTCCGAGCCATGAGGGGCCACATTGTAGCACCTTGACATCGTAGCCGCGTCGTCCCGTGACTTGCACGTTGGACGCTGAAAAGACGCCACGAGATTTGACGCGCCACTCTGGATCTTGTTTTTTTTGAATGGTTTTCTTGGGAATTTTCTTGGGAAATCTTGGTTTTCTTGGGAAAATCTCATGGAATTCATATGGATTTGATTCATTCCGGAAACCCATCGATTTCGTTCACAACGGCATGATGGGATTCGGCTCACTGGTGCGTTTGACGTAGGGTTGCTGGATGGGTTGCTGGGGGTTGCTGGGATGATGATAACTACAATGTGGGGCCCCCAAGATAGCTAAGTTGGTTTATAACTCCAATAACTATGGTTTATGGTACTTATAACTATAGTTATGGGGGTTTATAAACCAACTTATAACTGGGGGGCCCCACATTGTAGTGATGAAATGGATCATTCCTGAAAATTCACTGCGTTTAGCACCAGTAAGTTTGCCAATCATGGCCATATTTCAGGCGAACTTTCAGGATGTTTTTTTTGATTCCACAGCAGATGAGGAGATCCTTGTGCTGACCAAGTTCGTAGAATTCGCACATCAACGGACATTTCAGGATGGTGAACTATTAAAATTCAGCCAGATGGGATATGTATGGGGAAAATATGTATATCTGGAAATAAATATATTTCAATGATAAAGATTCGCGTGCGGAACCCACAACAAAAAGTAATTATATTAACCTTTCTTTTGCCACTAGCGTGAGATCTATGAAATGTCCTCATTTTTCAAATCTCAAGCTGTAAGAACATATTGTATCAGCATAAGATCATGTCCAGACAACTCATATGTCAATTTCTGAAACCTGAAGAGGTCCCACGGCAGAAGTTCTCGTCATCACTAACAATGTTGGAAGTACAACCAAGATCCAACTGCACTGAAATCTGAAACCTGCTTAAGTCTACTAAACTCAGAAGTGGTGACAAATAGGTTTTCATCATATGTCAGAAACTAGTATCTATAAACTGGTTGGTGGTTTGGAACCATGGAATTTCATGACTTTCCATATATTGGGAATTTCATCATCCCAACTGACTTTCATATTTTTCAGAGGGGTACAATGTGGGGCCCCCAAGATAGCTAAGTTGGTTTATAACTCCAATAACTATGGTTTATGGTACTTATAACTATAGTTATGGGGGTTTATACACCAACTTATAACTGGGGGGCCCCACATTGTAGGTATACCACCAACCAGTAAATCATATAAACATCGTAGTACATCACTTTGGATCTCTGATTCTCCCTTGATCATGCCCATGGATGCCTTGCTAGCAGCCTTCTCACCGGACATTTCAGGCAGTGACGACGCAGGGATGGGTTGAAACTTGAGACTTTAACAGTACCGTGTAGTAGATGTGTACATACAGACTCTAACAGCATTCCCGGGGTGTAGTATTGTTGAAATTTGAGACTCTAAGAGTATTACCGGTGATATCTGATTCAACAATTGCACGTTTGCCTCTCTGTTTTTTGTCAAGCTCTGTTGCAATCTTATCCCAAAAGGTGATTGGGAGGCTAGGATTGGAAGCGCCATTTCTCCAAGCCTGGGAATTTTGGATCTCCAGAGCTTCGAAGTGTAGCAACTCCCATGGTATGATAAAAAGGCATTTGGTCCCAGATATCTTAACTGCTTGGTGGTGACTGGAACCATGGAATTAGAAATGACTTTCCATATATTGGGAATTTCATCATCCCAACTGACTTTCATATTTTTCAGAGGGGTACAATGTGGGGCCCCCAAGATAGCTAAGTTGGTTTATAACTCCAATAACTATGGTTTATGGTACTTATAACTATAGTTATGGGGGTTTATACACCAACTTATAACTGGGGGGCCCCACATTGTAGGTATACCACCAACCAGTAAATCATATAAACATCGTAGTACATCACTTTGGATCTCTGATTCTCCCTTGATCATGCCCATGGATGCCTTGCTAGCAGCCTTCTCACCGGACATTTCAGGCAGTGACGACGCAGGGATGGGTTGAAACTTGAGACTTTAACAGTACCGTGTAGTAGATGTGTACATACAGACTCTAACAGCATTCCCGGGGTGTAGTATTGTTGAAATTTGAGACTCTAAGAGTATTACCGGTGATATCTGATTCAACAATTGCACGTTTGCCTCTCTGTTTTTTGTCAAGCTCTGTTGCAATCTTATCCCAAAAGGTGATTGGGAGGCTAGGATTGGAAGCGCCATTTCTCCAAGCCTGGGAATTTTGGATCTCCAGAGCTTCGAAGTGTAGCAACTCCCATGGTATGATAAAAAGGCATTTGGTCCCAGATATCTTAACTGCTTGGTGGTGACTGGAACCATGGAATTAGAAATGACTTTCCCATCATATTGGGAATTTCATCATCCCAAGTGGCTTTCATATTTTTCAGAGGGGTAGGTATACCACCAACCAGATCATATAAACGTCGTAGTACATCGGATAGAACATATTATATTATTTTAAATCCATATAAATCCATATCATACCATATAAATCCATATTATACCATTATACCTATATTATTGAACAACAAGAACATTTTGTGGTTTGTGCATGGACAGGGCAACAACACCATAGTCCCATACTGGGGGATAGCTATCGAAAATGGTGTCATGAAACATGGCAGGAAGATCCCCGAAGAAAATGTGGACATTGATGTAAAAGGGAAAACTATGGAACTAAAACACATCTGGTTGGTGGTTTGGAACATGAATTATATTTTTCCATATGCTGGGAATAGTAACCCCAACTGACTTTCATATTTTTCAGAGGGGTTGAAACCACCAACCAGCACATGTTAACGCATATTTTTCCCAGCAAATCATGGTACATTGGGACATGGTTGACCACAAGAGGCACCCATTTTCAACATTTGAATGAGAAAAGTCCAGGGTTGCCTGTAAAATGCCACTGGAATTCCCCATTTCATCATTTCATCCTCAATTGAAGCCAGTTTAGGAAGTCATCAAGAGTCATATGAGTCATCAAGTAATCCTTTCCCCATCCCTTCCCTATTCCCCCTATTCCAAACACCCAAAAAATATCAGCCATGCTGGATGTAGGGGCTGAATTATTTGAATCCCAGCAACCATTGGAGACCACCAAGAGGGGGCCTTTTTGGGGATGGCTTTTTTCTACAACCATGGGACTTGGTTTTAGGGGATACCCGGCCTGGTAAACGTGACCACAGAAAACTATGGAAAGATCCACCATGCTATGTAGCTGGGAAAACCTCCACTATTTCGACTGGGCCATTTTCAATAGCAAACTGTTAGTCATTACCAGAGGGTAATGTGGGGATGGGTCAAGTTACCTATGAACTTACCATATGACTGGGGCAAGTTTACCGCAATAACTGTCCGTAAATTTTATAAATACCAGCTATTTTAGTGTAGGCTACCAGGCTTTTGACTATCTAACCATGTGGTTATTCACAAATAATACACCATCCATTGGGGATGCATAGTTTCTACAACCCATTTCTGGCAAAGTTGGGATTGTATTAATTGTAGTGCGTGGGCATTCCCATTGAAAAAATGCTGATCCCCCCATTTGTCCCATTTTATCCCCAGCATGGCGGGTTTAATCCCCGTTCTTGAGGAGTTTTTGTTCCATTTTTATCACCAAGGTTGTCATTGTCAAATCACCGGCTTTTTCATTGCTGAAAAATCACCTTGTTTCATGATAAAATGCAGATTTCAGGACGGTGAGAAAACTAGGATTTAGGAATATACAGTTAAATACGTAAAGAAAAGATCATACCATTGTCTCATACCAGTATCGTCAGAAATATCAGTATAATCAAACGTGGCATTTAACCATTCACCATTTATAGATGATTTTACCAGCTATAAACCTCCATTTACAGAGGATTTCTCATCAAATTTCCTATATGATTTCTATGATTTTCCTATTGTTTATAGGGGAAATGACCGAATATCTGGGTACATTATAACGACCTCACTGTTCTCCCTCACTGGAATTATAGTTAGATTGCAGGGAATTATCCCAAAATGGCCCAACAATTCAGATGCGTGAATTATTGTAATTTACCCAGATTCATTTTCCATTGATTCTTTTTTCATGGACATTTTTTCATGGATTTCATGGGCACAATCATGGGAACATGATAATTTACCCAAGAATATCCCAAATAAATACCTCCATTGACTTTCGGATAGCCAGGTCACGACGGGCTTCAGACTTCCTTCGCAGATACAGGTCCGGTGTCACGCTGGAAAGTTTGGCTGACTGTGGGTCAACACATTGGAAAAATGGGATATACAGGAAAGAAGATACATATACAATGTGGGGCCCCCCAGTTATGTTTGATGGTTTATAAACCCCATGAATACTATAGTACTCGTAATAAAAAGTATCAGAAACCATAGTTATTGGAGTTCTACCAACTTAGCTATATAGGGTGGCCCACATGGTGTATATACTGTATATATATATATTCGAATAAACCTCGGCTGACACTTGATGTTTATATTTTTTTAAAGTTAATATCTATAATTTTAGCTCTGTAAATCAGACATTTTCTTGCTTTTCCCCCACAGATTCATGAACCACCTGCCACATTCTTGAGATGCGGTTCCAGTTACATGTTTCACCATAGTTATAGGGGCTATATCCTAACTAATAGAGGTTATCACCATGGTTATTTCCATCAAGATAACTCCATTCCCATCCATCACCCATCATTGTTTGTGATATATCCCATGGAAATATCACTATTCAATTCCCATGATATTTCCATATACCCTCTGGTAAACTAACATAACTATGGAAAATCACAAATATTAATGGGAAAACTCACTATAAATGGCCATGTTCAATAGCTATGTTAAATTACCAGAGGGTAAAGCGGGCTTAAAACCCCCAACTGCAACCCCCCAAGTTCTTCGGAACCAGGTGTGCCAACATTTGCGGAACACCCTCACGATGCGGCGTCGGAGTTCCTGATGCTGCCAGGCACTGCAGATGGGTGAGCAATTTTGGTCATGATATGCTCCCGGAATTCGTTTCAGATATGCAGGACCTGTCTACATCAATGTGGAAAAACAATGGAAAACTCATGGAAAACTCCGAAGTAGATCTTCACGGAGTAGATGTTCAGCGCAGCGAAATGTTTAGAGTCTATGCGGCGATAAATCCGGCATGTTTTTTTTCCTAAACCACACTAGTCACATCCCCTCATGTGAGGCCAGAAGATTCACCACACGGCACTTGCCACGCACTTTGGCGGATCGCTTTTCGGGGAAGAGGGTAGGTTTGTGTCTATAGCTAGGGATAACTAGGCTATATCCTGTGAAATGATATGATCCACTTTCTGAATGTTGCTGTCATCCGGAAGTAGAACGAATGTCCTTGAGGATTAAACGAGTGTTTTCTAGAGGATTTTTTCGGGATGCTCCCATTCGTCGGACGGGCCTAAGATGGTGGATGCACCCCCCGTACTGGAGTGAAAATAGGCATCAAAAGATATGGTGGTTTCCTAAAATTGGACATGACCAAAATGGAGGGCTTAGTTCATGGAAAGTCCCATTTTTTGAATGGATGATGACTGGGGGTACCCCTACGTCTATTCCTAATAAGCAATGATTAAGCAATGAGATCAAGGAGAACTCTCACGAACAGTGAGGGCACACTGCCTGGACGTATCTTGCTCTCTACAATTCTACAATTGGGATCGACAAAAAGGGAGAATGGAATGATGTAGTAGAATCCATGCAATGGGTCTGACAGTCTGAACTTAAACAGTAGATATCCGAAACTTTTCTTGTGAAAGTCAGTGGATTTATCACATTTTATCACTATGTAGTGTGGTCAGGCAATCATGATTTAGGGCCCCACTATTACCATTTGGGGATTTTTGTAACAGGGGTTGGTAACTGTCCCATTTTGGGAATATTGGACATCACCGGTATATGTAGCCATCTAGTAGACCATATACCTAATGGTTGGGTGATGTTCAATGGGGACATTTAATGACCCATGTGTAAACAATCTCCCCAACTAATTTCACTATTGATTTTGGCACATTAGAAGTTGATTCTCCTACAGGATATCTCAGGCCAACATTTCAGAAAAGGCAGCGGAACATGCCTCAGGTATTTGCCAGAGATATCCCCATCATATCATATTGCAGCAAAGAATCCTAGATTTGGATACCCTCTGGTTATGACTAACATAGCCATGGAAAAACTTCATTTTTAATAGGTAAACCATCTGTTTCTATGGGCCATTTCCCATGGCTATGTTGAATAACCAGAGGGTATCTAAGAAAACCCCCCTCCTGAAAACTTATGTGGAACATTTGACAATGATTTCCCTTGGAACATTTGCAAAAGAATGATTGCATTCAAAGATTGCACCTTTTCGTGGGTTCCAAGTCATTTGACAACGGTTTTCCTTGGAAAAAAATGCAACATATTGCAAGAATTATGGTGTTCCAAGTCATTTGACAATGATTTCTCTTGGAAAAATGGACATTTCTTGGGTTCCAAGTTGGTTTTCAGGCATGTAGCCATGAAATAGACCACGACTTCCCAGGTCGCTCCTGGGCTCTCCCCATGGATTTGCGCGGAGGCTGGCGACCAAGGCAGTGAACAAGGCACATGGCCCGTTGGTCGGGGAAGCTGGTGGTGTGTGGTGGATCTATCATCGTATCCTCTGGGAAACTAACAGTTTGCTATTAAAAATGGCCCAGTCGAAATAGTTGAGTTACGTATTAAAAATGGTGATTTCCCATAGTTATGTAAACGTTTACCAGAGGGTATATATTAATTATATATATATACTCATAGATTTCAGGTTTTAGAGGTATTTTCCATGTACTTTCTACATTTGGAGCTGTTTTCTTTCCCTCATTTTGACCTTGTTTGCCCATTGTACCGCCAGGCTGCTTGGTTTCATGACGCAGTGGTAGACTTTCAGGAGACGGAATTCTTTTGGCAGGCCGTCGAAAAATGTGTGATGCCGAATCCATGGGGAACTGGGAAATGGGTATTATATGGTGATTATCCATGGTTAATAATCACCATGTTTATAATACCATAATACCATAATAGCCATCATGAATATATGGTATAATCATCCATGGTTAATAATCACCATTATTGTTAATAATTATCAGGTTATTCATTATTTATGGTGATTATCTGGTTAATGAGGGTTAATAATGGGTGATCATGGGCTTCCCATACATCTAATACTTATATCCAATAGCTGGATGGTTTCTGAATCATGGATTTTCTCCATCGAACTCAAAGGATGATTTGAAGGTACCCCCATTTTCGTAAACCCCCATATGATGGGATATGACTATAACGGGACAAATTGTAATATATATATATATCGTAGATACCATACTGCATCTATTCCAACAGAATTTTCTATATGAGCATCATCCCCAAGTCACCATGAGTTAACCTATGCTAAGTCACCGTCTATGTCTGCTTGGATGATTTGGAGGTCCCTTTCCTCAACGGTGTCACCTCCAAAAGATGGAGATGTTTGATGATTTTTGGCCGGCCATCTTCCAGGTAACAGCCCATCCCTACGAAAAGGGGGCAGAATGAGCATTTTTTTTTGGGGGGGGGTACCCTCTGGTAAACTAACATAGCCATGGAAAATTGCCCATTTATAGATGGTTTACCCATTAAACATTATGATTTTCTATGGCTACGTTAAATAACCAGAGGGTACCATTGAGACGTACATGATGAAAGTCCTGATTTTGGATGAGATCAAGATTTTTGGAACCATGGAACCATGGTGTTTAAAAAACAAGCGCAAAAAATACCATGGAGGTGACGGTTGACGTTGACATTTTTTGAGTACAAGTGACATGGTCTGGTGTTTTCTCTGTGTGAAAACAGCAGCTGTGGCTTGTCCTGTCCATGTTTTTTTGCTACCTACAGCTACTCAAAAATTAGGATCATGATCTCAGTGGCCTCTCAGTGGCCTCTTCCGGGAGCCCATGGAGGCACTTGGAAGTATAGAAGTTAATGAGTTTAACTATAGCTATTCTTTATTTAGAAACTATTGAAATCCATGTTTCATTAGGGTTTTTACTATTATTGTTCATGATGATTAACATGAGTTAATTAGCTATTGAATATGGTTCGCTATTGTTATTTATTGATTACCCTCTGGTAAACGTTTACATAACTATGGAAAATCACCATTGAAATAGTGGATTTTCCCATGAAAAATGGTGGATCTTTCCATAGTTTTTTGTAGGTTTACCAGGCCGGGTACCATGAGTTCCGGCAACTACGAATGGTTTTTTGGAATTTTCCGACCATCTGGTGATGACTTCGAAGAGTTCAACTTGGCGTTCGAATCCCGAAGAGGATCCTATGCTTAATGGTTGGTGGTTTGGTGGTGACTGGAACCATGGAATTTTATGACTTTCCATACATATATATATATATATAAGTATATATATATATATATACATATATATATATATATATACATATATTGGGAATGTCATTTTATCCCAACTGACTTTCACTCCATGATTTTTCAGAGGGGTAGGTATACCACCAACCAGATATGATGTGGGGAAAACCAGTGATGTTTGATGGTTTATAATTTATTATAAACCCCATGAATATATACTATAGTTATTTGCATATCATAAACCATAGTTATTGGAGTAAACCGATGCGTTACTTAAATAGTAATTCAATGTTAATGTTGTGAAGGGAAAAAAGCCAACCTCTGTAGAACATCTGCAATAATTATATAATTAGTCAAACATCTGTAAACATTTCACATGGTTGCTTGGGATTAGTAAAAAAACATGTTGACAGATGATGGATTAGTCCACCATTCCATTTGAACTTAAAACCATTCAGTTACATTAGTCAAGCTTTGGGATTAGTGATTAGCTAAGCCCATGTCATGGGCATGTCTTAACCGTTTTAACCATTCACCAGCAACCATATTGACCATCTATACCTGGTTGGTGGTTTGGAACATGCATTTTATGACTTTCCATGTATTGGGAATGTCATTTTCTTATCCCAACTGACTTTCACTCCATCATTTTTCAGAGGGGTAGGTCAACCACCAACCAGATGAACATTTTTTTATTTTCCATTTCATATATGGGATGTCATCCTTCCCATTGACGAACTCCATCATTTTTCAAGATGGGCACATTGCACCACCAACCAGATGGTTATTAATTAATGGTTTTTCTGGTTATTCATGGTTGTTTTCATTAACATTATTGATCCAGTTAACCACCATTAACCACCATTGATAATGTCCAATAACCACCATTACATACTATCTATGCTGGCACCGCTCCAGGCACAAAAGTTTGCCCGTCGTCACGTAGTGGCTGAGGTGGCTCGGGATCTCCAGGGATGTACGTGTAGGAGATGCCTATCATCGCCGTAGATTCTCAAAAAAAATGCCTATAAACATGGGAATCATGGGAAAATAATCTATAAACAATGGGAAAATCATGGGAAGATACGGACAAATATGGGGATCTGCTTGGTGCTTTGGAACATTTGGATTATTTTTCCATCATATTGGGAATGTCTATACCTGGTTGGTGGTTTGGAACCATGGGAATTTTATGACTTTCCATTTAGTTGGGAATGTCATTTTATCCCAACTGACTTTCACTCCATCATTTTTCAGAGGGTTTCAAACCACCAACCAGCATGGATATCTGCCGATGTCAGTTGCATCTACCTTTGCCATCTGCATTAAAACTCAGATTTCGCAGTACAAGGCGTAGCCCCAGAGATGCTTTTCCACCAACTTTCGCACACAGATTTGTTTGTTCATATTCGTATAAAGGGGAACGCCGCAGAAGAAATCTAATTTGTTTTTGCAGCAGAAGTCTCTAAAAGAACAACTCCAGGTATTCTTGCAATTGAGCACATATAAAGGTATCCCTACTACAGTGGTTTGGAGGGTTACGGCTTAGGAGGTTTGAAACTTAAGACACAACAGAACGCACATGCCGTCATCCAGTGCTCAGTTGCTGGGCTTTTAAGTTTCTATAGATATATACATGTATATATTATATATATATGTATATATATATATGTATTTAAACCGTTGAGACCCACACTACTAACACTACAACAGAGTCTTTGATCGGCAGATCGCTTGACCTGATAGTGTGTTTGTTGCTAATCCCCTCCTCACAGAATGCATCCCATAAATAAGTGGATACTGATATTTCAGATGATATTTCAGATGATATTTCTGTGTAGGCGTGCTCCGTCAGAAGTGGGGCAACAAACATCTTGGCTTTCAGACATGAAAACGCTCGTGAACGAACTCCACCAGGCGTTCGGCTTGGGAGTGGTCACCGGTGGTGTGTTGCTGCTAACTGCTCCACCCAGCGCAGCACCAAAGACGATGAGGTGCGCAGCCCGTGGATTCTGACCATGGGATCATGAGGAGAATCCCATGGGTCCGGGGTGGAGGATGGCGATCCATGTGGTGCCCTGAGAATCTGTATCTATTGTGGTAAAAAAAGAGAATCATCCAGGAGGGAAGATATGGAATATGGCTGACTTAATAAACTCATTTATGGTAATCATGGGGATATGTCACTATTGGCTTTACCACATTATGGATGTACCAAAATTTTCGGTTGGGTGATATAGTCGACATTGACATGAGACATGGATCACTGCCGCAGACCCCAGCCATCAAGGCTAGCCAGTCGCCAGCTGTAAAATCATCCTCACCATTTGAGGCTTGGAAAGAGTTGGGTAGCAAGACACGTCCAAAAAATAATATTTTAGAAATCACCGAAATAACTTGCTCGTTTTTATATACCCAACATGATCCAAGGTACCCTCTGGTAAACTAATAGTTTGCTATTGAAAATGGACCATAGAAATAGTAAATTTACCCAGCTACATAGCATGGTGGATCTTTCCATAGTTGCGGTTGTTCATAGGTTTTCATCCCACACATGGCCCAGACATTTGGTCCTCAAAATCCCCAAACTCCGGGTGATCTGAAAAAAACTCGCTGCCAGGTCAGTTGCCCCGGCGCCGCTTTCGCAGGCAAGAGCTGGTTCACCTTAAGTTGCCTCAGGGAAGAGGTCAAGTGGATTATAGTGGATAGAAATGTGGATTTGACAAATATATTTTGAAATGATTTAAGAAGTGGAGGTTTCCTAAGTCATGTCAAGTAATGCCAGTCAACCATTGAAGACATATTTAGTTCGATGGACTTTCCCATGATTCATAAACTTAAATAAACTATCCATATTGAATAGATCCCCCATGGAAACAGCCATTGGTGACTGGTTTTTTATGTCGTTCCTATCCCAAGAGGACTGGGAATTCTAGAGAGGCATGAGCCCGATGTGAAATAAAGGATTAATACCAAGTACCCTATGGTAATTTAACATAGCTATTGAAAATACCTCATTTATAGTTGATTTACCTGTTCAAAATGGGTAAACTAACGGTTTGCTATGGAAAATGGCCCATAGAAATAGATGGTTTACCTATTCAAAATGGTGATTTTCTCTAGTTATGGTAGTTTACCAGAGGGTAACCAACACCACCCAAGGCAAGAAAACTCTAGATACCAAAGATTCAATCAAGCAATATCAAGCACATATCAACTGGCACAGTTGGACTGCCACGCGACTTTGCATGTGCTTAGGACTCTGGCCTTTTGTTCTTCCATTCATATGATAATGGGTTTAGTTCATAAGCAATTGTCCCCATCATGTCCCGCTTAGTTTGGCTCAGGATCTCTTACAGAGAACCTCTAAAAGGTGTAATTTCACAGGTGTGTTTGTAGATGTTTCCTCTAAACAAACTCAGCGATTGCATGTCAACTATTAGTTGTTGAACTAGCCCGGCTTGTAGCTCATACATACTGCAATTTTTGGTGGAACCCCAAGAACAAACAAAACATGTCATATGATCAAGAAGAACACTAATTTAGATGTCCCAATTTTCAGGTTCCCTGTGGCTTGTCTCCGATGTCATTTGGGATGATTGTCAGTGTTTGTTATAGTATGTGATATAATTATGACCTATGGAACATATTTTAATCGTTTTAAGACACATTAATATATATATATATATCACATTTACATTTTAATACCTGGTTGTTTGTTTCAAACATTTTTTATTTTCCATTTCATATGGGATGTCATCCTTCCCACTGACGAACTCTTTCATCTTTTTCAAGATGGTTAAATCACCACCAACCAGATACATATTTCATAGTTGGCTATGGAACATGTTAATCGTTTTAATACATATTGATATATATATATATCACATTTACATTTTAATACCTGGTTGTTTGTTTCAAACATATTTCAATACATATTGATATTAATACATATACATATATATATATATATCTTAATACATATTCCACACATATATGTGTCTTCGTTCATTGTTCCATATGTTTTGCCATGGGGAAAGCCACGTTTCAACAGGGCTGCCGACAGTTGCCGACATCCCCAGGCCACTCTGACAGCTGGCCGTCACAAGGCTCGCACCGCGGGAATTGGATTGAGAAATCACCAAATCTCCTGAGAAAAAAGTATGGATTTAGGACATTTTTAGGACATTTTAGGGACATTTTAGGACATTTTAGGGACATTTTAGGGACATTTTAGGGACATGTTTAGGACATGTTTAGGACATTTTAGGACATGTTTGGGACATTTTAGGGACACTTTAGGGACATTTTAGAGACATTTTAGGACATTTTAGGACATTTTAGGACATTTTAGGGACATTTTAGAACATTTTAGGACATTTTAGGGACATTTTTGGGACATTTAAAGGACATTTCAGGACATTTTAGGGACATTTTAGGGACATTTTAGGGACATTTTAGGACATTTTAGGGACATTTTAGGGACATTTTAGGACATGTTTAGGACATTTTAGGACATATTTGGGACATTTTAGAACATTTTAGGACATTTTAGGGACATTTTAGGAACATTTTAGGACATTTTAGGGACATTTTAGGGACATTTTAGGACATTTTAGGACATTTTAGGACATTTTAGGACATTTCAGGTACATTTTAGGGACATTTCAGGGACATTTTAGGACATTTTAGGACATTTTAGGGACATTTTAGGGACATTTTAGAGACATTTTAGGGACATTTTAGGACATTTTAGGATAGTTTAGGACATTTTAGGACATGTTTGGGACATTTTAGAACATTTTAGGACATTATAGGGACATTTTAGGCACATTTTAGGGACATTTCAGGACATTTTAGGGACATTTTAGGACATGTTTGGGACATTTCAGGACATTCCAGGACATTTTTGGAACATTTTAGGACATTTTTGGGATATTTTAGGACATTTTCCCAAGATGGGAACTCTCCTGAAAACCAACATGGAACGGCGATTTTTCGTTGCCCCTGTCGGGTTTATTCGGAATACGAATGGCATCATTGATGATGGAGATATGCGAAAGATAAGGTACTTTCCATTCCCCAAGAATACCCTCTGGTAATTTAACATAGCTATTGAACATGGCCATTTACAGTTGATTTTCCCATTAAAAATTGTGATTTTCCATAGTTATGTAAACGTTTACCAGAGGGTATGCGAGCACACCATGGAAATATGTGGAGTTCTTAGAATGCTGGCCCAGATTGGAATAACGCAGTGGTGGGATCTTGTAGATATGTGTGGTGATTTTCACACAGATTGCTAGTTGAATATGGTGAAACCATATGTTTCTATACTTGGAGACCATTGATTCTGTGGAAGATGAGTTCTCGCAATGCGACTCCTATGATGTCATATGGAAACGGCTCCAAAATGGGTTCCCTATGGACATGCGAACATGGTCATATTTAGCCTTGAAGCATCCAAGTCGAGGTCAACTTGCACCCAGTTCCACTGTTTACGTTTATCCCCCATTGTTAGCTGGTTGGTGGTTTGGAAGGCGACCAGCATATGGTGTCAATGGGGGCATTGACTCTCTAAATAATGTGGGTAAAACAATGTCATAACTATGGCTGGTTGGTGGTTTGGAACCATGGAATTTTATGACTTTCCATATATTGGGAATTTCATCATCCCAACTGCCTATATCATATTTTTCAGAGGGGTAGGGATACCACCAACCAGTTAACCATGTTTTTTTCTGCCACATCCACATTCCACCAACCAAGGGCCACCTATTTTTGAATGTGTTGATGAGTGCACGGAGACGCTGGAGATAGAGATACAACTTGACTGATAAGTGGTACAGTGATTGATTGGGCTCCCATTTTGTGTTGCACCTCCCATTTTACCCTCTGGTAATTTAACATAGCTATTGAAAATGGCCCAGTCGAAATAGTTGATTTACCTATGAAAAGTGGTGATTTTCCATAGTTATGTAAACGTTTACCAGAGGGTACGTTTGCAAACGACGAGACAACAACGAAACCCACGACGAAAAGATCCCATATTCTGGGCTCGTTGCAGCGTTACCAAAAGGGCAGTCTGAGGATGGAAACTGTCGATGAATCCACTGGTTGGTGGTTTGGGATCAGTCCACTGTTGACAGATGATGGATTAGTCCACCATGACAGTTGAACTTAACCATTACTGATTGGTGCTTTGGAACATGTTTTTTTTTCCATATGTTGGGAATTTCATACTCCCAACTGACGAACTCATAGTTTTCAGAGGGGTAGGTAGACCACCAACCAGATCCATGTTTGTTTGGACCACACACTTTTCTTCTTGTTGCTTGCGCACACGTGGTTGTGAGTTGTTTGTTGGCTACCGCAAATTCCTGACCTTGTTGGTGAAAGCCTTGTTATTGCTGGTGACATCCTCAATTGCTTTTGTTCTTAAATCTCCAAAGTCATTGGAAAGCAAAGCACATTTCTTAGAAATTTCTTGGCTGTTTCATCACAATTTTTAGGTGCACATTTTAAGGCTCAATTAGTGTCACTTAATAAGTAGTCAAATCCCCAATTTTGTTGGTCAAATATGTCTATTTTTTCAGGATGGCGTTCGCTTTAACCGCGCGAAACGTTGCGTAGGCACAACTTCGGAGTTGCCGAACTGGCGTGCTCCCAACGCTGCCAGTGGTAGGGGAGCCAAAGCCCGGGGACGTGGCAAAAAGGGCATCCTATGGAAACGGAGCAAACTTCAACTGGAGATCATGGTTGATTTGGTGCCTCCATTAATGATATAACAGTTTTGGTGCTTTCTTTCGTGCAAAAAAATCGTGGTCTAGATCGTGATCGCTGTTACAGCTCTATAACATATATATATATACGTATATATATATATATTTGATTATATATATATATATATGATGATGATTGTATATATATATTATATATATATATGGACCCCCCGTCACGGTTGGTTACCCAAATAAAATAAACTCTATGAAAACTGGGAGATGTTACCGACATCGAGCCAAACGCCCTGAGGTCCGTGAAGAGGTGGAGGAGACCACTGAGGCCGAACAGTCGCTGGGCCATTCCTCAGGCAGGGCGGCTTGGGCGGGTCCTAAGTCATAGGGGGTCCAAAATCCGCAATCATCTGGAATACATCACTAGAATTCTGGTGAATCATAGTTCTCATAGTCAGTGAATTGATCACTTCATAGAATTGGATGATGGGAAAAATTTGCTGGAAACCCTTAGATTTGATGGTCAATTTGATGGTAAAAACCATGGTTTCCGGTTTAGATGTTTCCTTAAACCAATCCATTGAGTCGTGGATGTCCATGACTGAGTATTGAAAGCCATGGCGACGACTGGGGTACTGTACCCCCAGATTAGGAAATCTCCGGGACTGGTGGGTCAAGGGATGGTAAATGGATGGTTAAATTCAGGTGGTTTTGATGGTAAATTGTCGGGGAATCTGAAGGAAAGAAACCAACATCGCAAAAACGTGAAACAGTGGGATGTAAATGAAGATGTACTGTAACTACTAATATTTCAAAGGGATTTATCAGTGGTTAAGGTATATGGTATATCACTTGATACAGCCTATCAGACCTATCAGATTAATTCTCTCGTCCCTGACACAGAATCTAGGCTCTCAGGAGTGGAAGATGCCAAACAGTTGTGTGGAATGTGTTGAGGCATTGGGTACCTGAAAGAATTTGGATGGTTTGCAGATCATACTGCTTAACCATTTTGTAGCCAGCTGAAGATACTGTTTTTCAACAGCCAACATGATATCGTCCCCCCAAACCATCCATTTTTATCCAACCATATCTGGGGGTAATGTTCTTTACATCAATTTTTAGCATGTCCAATTTCATAAACATCATAAACACTCATGTTGATTGGTTCATTGAAGATTGCATTCGGTTTACCAAATTTTCTTAGATTTTCATGACGTTCAAAGTACTTCAATCCAACCAGATCAACTTCATTGACCAATTTGCCCTTGAAACCAATCCATTGACAAGGCTTTTTTTCAAGGGGCGAAGTCTCAAGGAAACACATTGAAGTACGCAATTTGAAACTATGGTTACTTTCCTTGAATGGTAGTAAATGGAAACTTGTCATTGAAGTAAACTTCACAATTTCCATTGAAGCAAGCTACCCTCTGGTAAACTAACATAGCTATGGAAAATCACCATTTTTAATGGGAAAATCCACTATAAATGGCCATTTTCAATAGCTACGTTAAATTACCAGAGGGTATCAAGTTCCATCAATTTCCATCGTTTACCTGGCAGATCCCGTGAAGTTAATCAACTGTCGACTATGGAGGGAAAACGCCGCGACTGGAAACATAAAGCCCTCCAGTAAACCAACATAGCTACTTGTATGGAAGATGGACCATTTTTTTGGTTGATTTGCCTATTGAAATAGTTGTGTTCCACTTCGCAAACTGTTAGTTTACCAAAGGGTACTATAAAATTGATTTTTCGACATGTCATATCAGACTGATTGTGATTTAGGATGGAAACTCTCATGAAAACTATCCAGATTTGTTGAGTTTTGTCATGTTTTGTCTCCAGCTTGGGTTCTAACAAGCCATCCAACCTATCACCTTTGCTGTGCAGGTGAAGAGCTTGACGAGGCGGTGGATGATGAACTGTGACCATGAAGACTGGACCATGAAATCCCAAGCCGAACGCTCGGTCAGCAGGTAAACTACAGTGTAGAGCATCAGTTTCTGCATGAATACCTAAATTTGGTGCAATTCACCTTTTTTTGGAGAACACCACATCGTGAAACATGTTTTTTTTTTTTTCGCAGAAGCACATCCATCCATTTCAATGAAGACACTCATTCTTAAGAAGTGGAATCGGGATTGTGAAGTACATTTTTTTCATCATGTTTCAGGCTATTGAAGTTCCAAATCAACCAGCTTTTAGCATCAGACATCTCGGGTTTCATGATCTGAGTTTGTCTGAAAATGAACTCTATTCCAGATCGACTGGTTTCTTTATCATTATGTTTGGCTCTTCAAGTACAATGAAAAATTGGATTCTCATGGATTCTCCATATTCAGACACAGCCATTACCCATACTTGTTGCTTATCCATTCAACGCCCATTTCAGTGCCAGTTAAATCCTCATTCGTTTCGCTCAAAAAAAAACAACAAAAGCGCTTCGAATGGAGCCTGTTGATGCATGCTGATGACAAAAGACTGCGAGACAAGTCTGGTTGCTGGTGACTGGAACCATGGAATTAGACATGACTTTCCCATATTGGGAATGGAATGTCATCATCCCAACTGACTTCCATCATTTTTCAGAGAGGGCTCAACCACCAAGTTCTGCAGAGCATGATCCAATCACCATCGTGTCACAATGGTATTGGATAGCGGCAAAACCGGGTACTGAAGATGGGTCATTTCAGGATCCTGAAAAATAGAGATACGTTAGTACCATATGTTAGGCCATATTTTGGTGGGGTATTCCCTTACATAGGCCTTATATATATAATATATATATATAATATGGTAGGTACCTCCAATTTAGGTTCCTGAAATGGCCATTGAATGAAGATTGGGAACATGATAGGCAATGATAGGCGTTGGGAAAAAGATGGTAAAATTTTCCTGAAAAAAGCCACAAGGATTTGAACCATGTGGTCCCAACAACAAGCTACAAGTTGGAGATTATATTTACCACCCATCTATGGTATATTGAGGATGGTTTCTAATTGGATTTACCACATTCAAGTGTGTCGCGTTATATGATGTTTACCATAATAAATGATTGTGTTTTACCACACTATCAACATCTACCGCAATGACCAGTAAGTGGTTCATAATTGGATTTTCATATGTTTCTTACCCTCTGGTAATTTAACGTAGCTATTGAAAATGACCATAAATAGTGGATTTTCCCATGAAAAATGGTGATTTTCCATAGTTATGTTAGTTTACCAGAGGGTAATCCCAAACTTGTTGTTTGTGCTTCAGAATCAACGGAACGTCGCGTGCTCGCAGTCGGAGCAAGTTGGAACGGGTGGACATGTTTGGCTCAAAACACACCACAAGGATCCCAGGCAGTTGAGAAGAAAGGTAGTAGCCCACCCGCATGCTGTAAACGTAGACCTGTAGGTACAGGTAATATGTGTAAATATATGTAATTGCTACTACTAGACTAGACTTCAAAATAGTTTCTCTCATTTTTCTCAGATGGTATGAAATTTGTTGATTTTTCAGATTTGAAATTCAGTTGAGATGGCATCCAGTTATATTTGGTTAGCTCTCAGTAGCTCTCAGATATGGCCTTGCAGGCCGCTGGGCTGGGTGTTTTGGCAGTTCCAGGTTTCATTGTTTTTGGATCACAGGGATTAACCATAGACAACCATGGTGGGTATATAAATCTGGTTGGTGGTTTGGAACATTTTTTATTTTTCCATATTTTTCCATATATTGGAAATGCCATCATCCCAACTAACACATAGTCATATTTTTCAGAGGGGTAGGTCAACCACCAACCAGAAATAGTTATACTATGTTATACTTAGCTTGGATGGGATCACATTTCCAGGGGCCACTTTTTTTTAGTAAACAGAGTGGGTATATAACCATGGATAACCATAGTTATGGGGATGATATGGCAACTTATGGGGGGGCATTTCCATTGTTATACACATGAATAACCACAACTGCACCCCGAACTGATGTTTTGGGGTACCCTCTGGTTATTTAACATAGCTATGGAAAATGGCCCATTTATAGATGATTTTCCCATTAAAACCTCCATTCATAAGGGATTTTCCATAGCTATGTTAAATAACCAAATGGTACTTTTTTTACTTTTCATGTTTTCACCCAAAAAATTGGGATGTTTTGCTCCCCACTGAGGAGCATCTTTTTCTGGGTCGTTTGTGAATACTTCGTTTACCAACCACGTTTACGTGGAGAGTTTGACCAGTCGCAAACATGGGGATATCACTCCGGTTAAAGCACTGAAATTCGGGTTAAACGTTGTGTAGATCCCATGTGCCAAACGTGGAAAACCCGAAAAAAATGGATGATGATCCCATTCGACTTGGACAAAAGTAGATCTAAAAGCCAGGTCCTTACCTATCTTACCTGTGGATGCAGTGTCCAGCACAAGATGCAGGGATGTGGAGTCCTAGGAATACAGATTCCACCACACACCTAGACCTAGTCATCCTACACTGTGGGTGACACGTTTGCAGCAACTGTTCAACTGCAGCAGGACGGCACGCTGAATCTGTACACTGCTACGCATGACATTGCACATGTCATATCAGGGAAAGCCACGCTTTCTGACTGGAGGTGATTGTTTCAATGACGGCCCTTTAATCCTCATTCTTACATCCAACAACAACAACAGCAACAACAGCAACAACAACGACATCATTGTAATCATCGTCGTCGTCGTCGTCGTCGTCGGTAACAATAATAATCACCAGAAATAATAATGATCTGAATCATAACTAGTGATGACAGTTGTCAGTAATCATACATAGTAGTTATCATTAACAACAACATCGTCATCAGTACTATTCTTGTTACTATTACCTTTTCTAAATATATTAATATCACTAGGTTACTATTACTCTCATTTTTGTTATCATTATCATTACCATTGTCATTGTCATTATCATTATCAAATTATTATCATTATCATTATCAAATTATTATCATTATCATTATCATTATCATTATCATTATCAGTATTAACAACAACAACAACGACAACGACAACGACAACGACAACAACAACAAGAACAAGAACAAGAACAACAACAACAACAAAAGCAACATCAAAAGCAACAACAACAAAAAACACAAACAACAACAAAAAACAAACAACAACAACAACAACAACAGCAACAACAGCAACAGCAACAGCAACAGCAACAGCAACAGCAACAGCAACAGCAACAGCAACAGCAACAGCAACAGCAACAGCAACAGCAACAGCAACAGCAACAGCAACAGCAACAACAACTCGGACCTACCCGATCTCCATTTCTTGTGTTTTTTGCTGATTCGCGCCTATAGGAGGAAGAGCTGCGGATTGCTTTGCCAGCGGCTCAGTGTTGGACGTATGGAGAAATGATGTCCCGCTTGACCCGCTTGGTGAGTTTTTTCACCATGACATGGTGGTGACAATATGATGACAATATATGAACAATGTTTTTTTTTGGTGATTTACTTGTTTTTTTTGTGATTTAATATTTAATTTTAAATTTGGTTTTCTGGTGATTTGATGGGATTTTATGGTAATTTGATGGGATTTCATAGGATATAATGACAAAATGGAGGTTTCCTACATATGGGGAATCCCCCAAAGAGTTGGTTTATACTGGAAAATCCGAAAATCACAATGGATGATGACTCGGGGTACCATATTTTCAGACAAACCTCCCCTTGTGAGTGGAGATTGTACCATCAACAATGGGGGTTTCAAACCATGAACGACACAAGTGACAGATGATCCATGGCGGCTAACATGGGGATGTCCAACAGAATCGGAGCAGCAAAACCCGCAGCTTTGGAACGTTTTGACCTGTGCCCATTGTCGCAATCAAAACTGTTTTGATGCTGAAACTCCTCCATCTTTCTGGGTAAATTTGATCACGACCTCACTGTTCTCCCTCACTGGAATCATGGCCTATAAGGGGAATCATCCCCAAATGGCCCAACAATTCAGGTTAGTGAAATATGATTTCATTTACCCAGATCTTTGCTCCAAAAAGATCACAAGTTGTTGATTAAATCGCCATGGTCGAAACCTGGATCATCAGTGATGGATTGCACAGCAAGCACTGTTGATCTATGCTGACCCTTTCTGGGCGAAGGCTTACAGCATTGGCGAGTCGGGGGAACTCAGGGACATAGTGGGCCCCAGCGGCTTTTGGGACGTGGAACAGAGTCCCCTGCAGTGAAAAAACCGGATTGAGAAATGATTTAACCATAGTTTATGGTGATTTAATTGGATTTTATGGCATTTTATGGGATTTAATGGTGATTAGAAAGGATTTAATTGGAATATTATTGGTTAATGGTGATTTAATAATGGTGATTTAACATTGGTTAATGGTGATTTAATTAATAGTTGATGATGATTTCATAGTTTTTTTAACCGATAATTGGATATGTACAATGATCTATATGGGTTATTTACTATCCGCTGATCAGGAGGAACCGGGAAACGGAACTGTTGGGTCGTTTTTTATGTCCTTGACTGAGGAGCCACGGAGCTACAGATAGAGCAGCTAATCCCTTCGAATTCGCTGGTGACTTACGTCTTTTACATTTTGGGGGGCCGGGTTTCCATTGAAAATTGCGACCCGAATCAAAAAGTCCTGACCCAGTGAGTCTCCACTTCGAAGCGTCGGTTTTTTTCCACGTCAGGTGCTTATGAGAGTGGCTCCTTGCAGCGCATCTTGAAAGAAGTCCTGGAGTCCCCGAAGGCCTGACTGTCCCTGACTCGAAGAAAATCCAAAGTGGGGGCCATCCACAGTAATCGCCACGACCGGAAAAGAGGAAGGAAAAACATGGGAACCGCATGGGAAAATGGGGGGAAAATATTGGAACATATGGGAAAATATGGTTTCCACATGATCAATTTAAGGGAACATATGGGAAAATCTACCGAAAAACCATGGTTTGGTTTTTCTACCTGAAATATGGGAGTTTCCCGTAAATGTTCTCTTTGAAGAATATGGATGTTCAATCTCCTGTGTGAACGCGGTGATCTGTTGTTTTTTGCATGGAAAACCCAC